GGGCTGGGGTCTTACTTTTGGCGCTGCCCTTGAAATGGGGTCATCACTGCCTGGATCAACTAGATCCACTGGATCTGGGGCGGCTGGATCTTCTGGCGCTGGATCAACTGGATCCATGAGATCCGCTGCATCCATTGTATTAGAAATTTGGGCCTGCGCTGTCCATTGAATTAGAAATTAAGGACCCAGGCCAAGTGTCCCAGTTTCAGCCATGGAAGCGGCCTTTGGAGACTACCAAATCCTCTACCATAGCTGAAGTTGAAAGACTGGACCTGTCTCTGCTTAAATGTCATGGCCGGCTGGATTCACCGGGCCGGCTTGAGCATGAACTCCATCAGCTCCCTCCTATTCTCACCCATCCACTCCTGCAATTGTGTCTTGATGACATCTTCCTCAGCGATTGGGTTGGGTGAGGCAAGGAGGGCTGAGTATGGTTGGGCTTCCCACTCAACGACCCCTTTTGCCAGGTGGCAGCATCAATTGGGCCGGCCGGCGCTGGCTGAAGCAGCGCACGGACAAACCCAGGCAGTCAGCTCAGGTAGGAGTCCTTGCGCGCAGCTCACATGGGAGACTGATGCCACACAGGCCATGCCTGTAGTTACAGCAGCTTTGTGCGCTACTTATGTGGGAGGGTGTTCCAAAGCACAGGGCGTAGTTATCCTGGCGCCAGCTACCAAGCCAACAAGTGAAATCCACCTGCCTGCGTGCAATTATCAATTTTTGGCAGGAAGTTGCAATTGCAGACTCCTGGCTCTTGAGGAGGCTCAGCGTTCTCCCGCTCCACCAGCTCTCGGCATTCCGCCAGGCACTCCAGTGAAACTCTTCCCGGCAGAAGTGCGACAACAATGGCTTGGGAGGGGGGGCATTAGATACTGAGCTGCTGGGTCTGCTGCGTCTGCTGAGTGCCTGCTGAATGTCTGATGAGTGCCTTGCCAAAAAAAACTCTGCAGAACTGGCAAGCTGTCTAGCAGCATATATTCACCCAGTGCACTTTCACTCTTGCTTCACACATGCACGCTGCCCACCCGCACCTTTCAGCAAATCTTGCTGCACTCCGTGGCGGCTACGCCTTGGGAAGGTAAACCCTGGAGGGTGCTATGTGCAGTTTTCTCATGTTTCTCACGCATGTCTCATATGTTTCAGTGTGTTCATTTTTTATCATAATTTCTCATACTTTATCATGCTTCTCATATTAATATGTTTCATATGTGTCTCTCATATTGATCACATCCTTCTCCTATGTCTCGCATGTGCTCCTCATATGCATCTCAGATGGTTCTCATATGTGTCTCATGTGCGTCTCATAACTGTCATGTAGACCTTGTTTCTGTGGTGCATGGGGCCAACTTGCATGCGCTCAAACATGATTGGGCAATCCGAGCATAAGGAGGCCCGCCCGGGCTTCATCATGTTTGAATTGCCAGTCATGTTTGCACGCTGCTGCCTGCTCATTGCCTGGATGCTCTCTATGATGTGTTGCTATTGCAAAGCAGTTGGGTCAGGGTCAGAGGAAGTGCGCCCCACTCATTGGAAAAATGCATTTCCCCATGGGTAGGGTCCATGCTGGCTGTACACACACACACTCACTGGGACCAAGACTCATCAATGTGCCAACACTGTGACTTGTGCACGCATGTGCTCAAGAATGATCTATTACTATGGTTTCCTTTTGGGTGACCTTGAGAACTCAGGGAGGCTTTGCACTGGGGCCAGCACCCTGCAGAGCCGCTGGGCCCAGGGTCTTCTTAACCTCAGGTGGACAATTTCAGCTTCTTGATGATGTGAGAGCTCCAACTGTGCGGCATGATGGTGGTCCAGCAATCCATGTGACAATTTCATTGTTTTTGGTGGCCGTACTTGCCATTAAGGGCTGTGATGATGGGACGGTTCCAGTGTTCCAGTGGTCAAGTGTTCCAGTATTTTACTGGACCAATAGGTCAACAAGCAAAACTCCCAGTTGTATGTGAGGTGGCCTGGCAGTGCAACCCAAAATGATCTTTCTGAGTTCAGTGCTGTGCAGGCAGTAGCTCTGCCTTGCCTGGCGTGGGCTTTCAACACCATGCCTTTCCATGCTGTCCTGCCCCTCCTTCTCAAAGCTTAATTGATAGCAAAACAGTGGCTTTGCTTAGCACAATATGTGGCTTGGAGTTCCTGAGTGATTGGAGGTGTCTAGTTAAGAAACCATGCGCTCTGAAACATGCAGCTGTACTCGCCAATGCGCCAGGCAGACCTCCTCATGCTGTAGGGCAAGCCGCTGCAGCTGCTGCTTGCGCCAGGGCATGTTCCATGTTGGCATGTAACATGTGCTTTGGGCATGCCACTCCTGTGCTCAGCTCTTCAGCACAGGAGTTTCATGTCAGAAGCACATGTCAATCTTCTCAGTAATATGAACATGCACACACAGAAGCACACATGTAACCAATGAGGGCAAACAACGCACCACATGCGTGTCACAACCATAGTGCCTACCCACCCAATGCTCACTGTATTGTAACCATATCAAGCACTTAATCAACGCACATGTGTGGAAGCTATGCAGGCAACTTACCAACCCTCATGTGTGTAGCAATGATACTGGATGTGCATGAGTCTGCGGATAATGGCTCTGTGCTCCTCACATGCTTCTCATGTGTTTGCTAGAAACACATTTGAAGCATCTGAGAAACACTGGGCACTGAAATGCGCATGGTTTTATGGCCAATTCTTGGTTTATGGTAAACACGTACATGGCATGATTATGCCGAATTGTTGTGCCAAAATGGTCTGATTTTCCCCCATAATGTGCGCATATGCTGTATACCAGTTACCTTTTGCTAGTATACCACTTCCATGGGTCAGAGTTTGTATGTTGTTTTAGGGGACCGCGCAAAGCCAGCCCCAAAGTGGTTGCCCCTCAAGAAACCTTGGCCGCAAAAAGATGGGGTACCTTACACATGCGGCTTTTCTTGGTTTTAAAGCCATCCGAAAAGACTTGCGGTTGATCAAAAGGTCCTGGAAATCCACTTGAAAGATGAGATTTCGCACATGGGAAGAGTTACCCATGGTCAAACCTCGGGGCCCTTCCTGCCATATGTTTCTCAACCCCCACCTCCATAGCTTCAAAACCCAACCCCGGAAATGCCCTGGACCTGTTGATTCCATCTCCTTTCCCACTAGATCGGGCAAGCTACCCATGGTCATTGGGCCAAACATATGGCCATGGGTCAAAAGTCCCGTGCTTCCAGTGAACATCCCACTCCCCACTGACATAGGTTCTAAAATGGGTGGTGAATTCACCAACCAAAATGGGATCAACCACAACGGTTTTGACCACCACAGCCATATTAATCCCCAGGTTCTAAAATGGGTGGTGAATTCACCTACCAACCAAAATGGGATCCCAAAACAACCAAAATGGGATCCCAAAACGGTTTTGACCCATATTGATCACCCCCCCCCCCCCCCGGCAGACCCCCGCAGACCCCGCATGTCTCAACCGCCGCGCCTCGGAGCCTCGGGGCCGAGGCCCCGAGTCTTCAGATAGCGAGCGCGGTGCGGCCGCGGCCACGGGGCGCGGAGCCCGAGCTTGAGGTAGGAACGGTCATGCCGGGAATCTGAGACGTTCAGGTGGGTTCCTTGTCAGGTAGGATTCCACTTTACGTAGTTCCTTTGTTTATTTTTCTCTTCTTTACTTCTTTGTTCTGTTTTAATGATATATAGTTTATGTAGTAACACTAAACTAGCTACATCGACCTCCTGTTGTGGTAGCTGGCAACTCAGTTCTTCAGCTGCCACTGCCTGCTGACGTAGCACTGCCTGTGCACTTTGCAGTGGGAGGTGTGTGTATCCGGGCTGGGCCTTTCCAGTCCTCTGGTTGAACGGGGGTCCCCATTTGGAGCAGTCGTCTCGGAGATCGTTCGAACCGCAGGTCACAAATTCTGACAGCCTCTGCAGGATGCATGTTCGTAGATAGCTGTTTCACGACCATGTTTCATTTGTGCCCTGTAACGGGGAATATAATTCTCGTGTTTTTGAGTGCGTGGTGTTGGCCTCTACATGTGTAGCGTGATGCTGTGTCGGGTTCCTCTAAGAGGAAACCCGATAACAGAACACTTTGGAGTCGGCGATCATGGTTCACGACCTGTGATGTCCGTGTTAACGCCCAGTATGATGCGCCCGTTCCACTGGCAAGTCTTCAGCTGCAAATGCAGCTTGCAGGTTATGCCGTTTTGGCAAAAGGACACGTTTGTGATTGACCTGCGTTTTTCTTGGAGCATGGAAAGCGCTTGAGAGTATGGCATGGACTTTTGGATTGAGCGAGGACATACCGCATTCAATTCATGGAGTGCATTGCTGCATTGCTGAGTGCATGCCTGCATTGGTTGGCTTGGCAGCTCTTCAATCCAACCCAAGGTGTTTTATTGGTTTCAGTGCGGCATTGCGTTGTCTCTTCACAAGCCTCAGCAGCCCTAGCCACACGAGCAGGCAAGATACGCGCGGACAACGTTAGATTCATGCAGTCCATGTTTACTGTGCCAACAAGACGCGTGCCACGAGTGAGGGCCGCAACGATGTTATCAAGTAGCTTATTAAACTATACATCAGAGTTGCCTGGCATCTATCATCAATTATCCTTTTCCGAATGGCGTATGTATTATGTTTGTTTCTTCTTGCTCTCTCTCTGACTCTCTGTGTCTCTGTCGCTCTTGCTACTCCCCCTCTCCCCTCACTCCTCACTCAGAGCCTTGGCATTCACAAGCGGTCAGCAACCTCTCCACCGGCCAAGTTCGATGGGCGCCTTTCTTCGCTTTTTGGCTCCGGCACACGCCGTGGGACAAAAAAAAACAGTTGCTCGCAGGAAGGAAGGACTTGGCCATCTGAAATTTGTTTGGAGGGGTCGGAAAAACAAATCCCAGAATATAACGGGAAGACATATCCCAACATAAATCCGCACCCAAGTTGTTTTGTTTTGTTTTGGCCAATGGCTCACCATGGCACAGCTCGTTCAGTCCATTGAGCAAGAAGGTTGTTCCTGGACGCCTAACCGGCCTGTCCAATGGCGCAATGATGGAATGGATGGGATCACTTTGCAGGTGCAGTTGCCAAGTGGTTGCGAGGCGAGGCACAATTTGTTGAAGCAATTGGACCCTGCTCTCCCACAAAGGCATCTTGTCGTTTAAACAGTTGTCTAAACCCTGGGTCCAGCGCTCCAACTGTTCGTTGTTCCTCCATTGTTTTGTCTTTCTTGTTGTTTGGGGTTATATGCTTTTCCCCCTGGTGTTTTTTTTCTCCAACATACATATACACAGTATATACATATGATATTATTGTATAGTATTGTTTCTTTTCTTGCTTCTGTCCTTTTTTCGGTTTTTATGTTGTTTGTCTTCTTTTTGTGTGTGTGTCCTATGTGTTTGTGTTGTTTTCTCCCTACAACATCGGAAGCTTCCAGGCTCGTGCTTTCTCCATTTTATGTTAGTCTCAGAATCCCAAACATCTATCGTATTGATCTGTTGGTTGATCTTCTCCGCATTCTACAATCTACATTTAAGTCTCAACATTCTAAAGGTTTTGCTTGTTCAAATTTATTTCTAAACAAAAAATAAATAGCTTGTTCTAATGATGTAGGATCTTCTCCGCCCTTCCAGGCCATCTCTGTCTCGGGGGATGACCTGCGCGCAGTGGCTCGGGTGTGGTCCGGCTGCCAGACCTTGGCGCGGCTGCACCAGGTGAAAGACGCGGAGGTGCTGAGAGCGGATGGGGAGGTCTTGGATTTGGGCAAGACCCTGCAGGCCCAAGGACGGCTGGGCTGAAAACAAAGCTACACTCCCTCAGACTAAGATGGAAGCTCCCAAAAGGCTTTTGTAAATGGGACCAAGTCTTCCAAAACGGTCCTGGCAGCTTCCATGTTAGTCTGGGGGAGGGTCCTGTGGATGGACGAAATCCATTTCGCGCCACCTCAGCAACCCTGGAAGGATGCTTTGTTTGTAAATTCCAACAACAAATGGTTTCCCGTGGTTTCAAGGTGGTGCGAAATGGGTTTTGTCTTTCCACAGTATGTTAAGCAAAAAAGAAAACATCAAAACGGGGAGGGGGCGGCGGCTTCCATGGAGGGCTAGGGAGAAAGCTAGAGAGAACCCACAGCTTTTCCCTCAGCCAAATGTAACACGAAGCTTGGGCCGTTGCCCCACCAAGGTACCAAGGTGTAAGACCGTTTCAGCAACCTACATTTTTAGTTTGGTCCCTGCTTGGATGTTCGGCCAAGTTAGCAAGTGGTTAGCCACCTGGGGTATGACCCATCAATAACAAGGTGAGCTTCACTTCGGGGACCTACAAACGTGTTCTAACCCAGGTCCCAAGCAACTTACTAACTTGGCCGAACACCCAAGTAGGGACAAAGGTCTCTTTTTGAACTGAACAATTGTAGGTTGCTGTTGCCTAGGGGCAGACTAAAAGATTGTAGGTTGCTGAAGAGGTCTCGCCAGGGACAAGGCTGAAAAAAGCAGGCTGCTGGAGAGGTTTGCCGAAGATCCACGTCTTAACTCATGGTGGGCCCAGTTGCCCGGTGGTGCCCTTTTTCCCTTTTTTGTTGGGAGGAGTTCCCCTTGAAAGTCAACCAACCAAAAAAGGATGCCCTTTTTTTCCATGGCCACTGGGCATGTGAGTGGGGCAACTGCGCTCGAGCTGCGTTTTCCCATTGGGTGACATGAGGGGCAAGAGCGGCCTTGCGGAGGTCGGTTGGAAGGCCAAGGCGGGAAGGTTCTCATGTGCAAAGGGCCAAATCCTTGGCTTCCGGCGAGCTTTTGGATAAGCCGGCCAAGCCCAAGAACCCATGGCTTGGAGTCAAGAGAACAAGACGTGCGGTACCCAGGACTGCGAGATGGGTCTCGTCTGATTCTGCAAGAGCGGCAGCGGAAGCAGCAGCCAAGAGCCCACGAGACGGTGCTGGAGATGGACATGGGCACAGATGTGGAGGTGCCTGCGGTGCCATGCCCAGTTCAGCACCCCTTTCCGATTTTTGTTGACTTCCCCAGCCAACCCTCGTTCGATCGATGCTTGAGAATTCTGCTCCTTATTTTTCTATGTGGCTGCGTCTCAAAATAAGGGAACCCCGAACTTTCCGAACTGGTGGCCGAAAGCAACCCAAGAAAGTGGTGCCCTCAAACACAGGCAACCCCAGGTGGCGTTGCGCGGTTTTTAGGCTACTCCTTGTTGGGTTCTTAAACGAGGGAGACCAGCAGCATTTTGGGGGGTTCCCCCGTGTATTCATATTATGGGGTGCTTTTCCCTGGTTTTAGTGGTTGGATTCGGACCACTTTTGAAGGGCGCAAAAACCAACCCCCGAATTCAACAAACTGGAGTTGATGAATACGGGGTTTATTATGCAACCAAGAGCCCGCAAAAAAATAAAAATAAAAAAAATACCCACCCCCCCCATATTGCTAAACAGGGGTGGTGTCAAAGGGAATCTATCACCAGATAGGCATTTCCCCATTTTCCCCCGGGGGCGAAAATGCTAAATGGAGGGCTGGGGCACCGACGGCTCCCCGCAGCGTCTTGCTTCCGCATCCGTCCGAGGCGCCGCGCGCCGCGCATCTTTTTGACCGCGCGGAGCGGGAGGCGAAGGCCACGGAGCTGAAGCAGAAGGCCAACGAGGTGCTGAAGGAGGGCGGCTACGCGGAGGCCGACGCCCAAAAAGGGCTTGGGGTTGTCGCGCGATTTCCAAAAACCACCCCCAGCCGGGTGTTTTTTCATGCAGCTACTACATGGCTAGAGAAACCTAGAAGGGTTTTAATGGATATAGAACCACGGAAAAGAGCTACTAAGGGGCATATGTCCCCAATTTTTCTTTGGGGGTCGTGGTTTGGGGGTAGTGGAAACCACCTTCGATCCAAGAGGAAGGGTGCCCCCCAAATGGGTCGCTCAAGATAGCGCCGTGCCCGCCGAGGAGCTTGTGGGTTGGTGCGGGGGGCAATGTCGCAGTTGGGAGACAGATTCAGGAGGTGCAGGGGAAAATGGCCTAAGTTTGGCCCGGATTCACAACAATTAATATGCTTGAACTTCAGAAGTGAACCTTGAATGTCATAACTTCAAAGAGATCAAACAAAACAGAAAGGTGAAGCTACCAAAGTTGTACTGTAGCGAAAGTGGACCAGACGTCCCTTTGTGAGCATGAGCACTTGGAATCGAACACGTAGGTGGCCAAGCCTCTCTCGCGGCAAGGCCGAAAAGACCACTCGAAACAGGGCAGGAAAAACAAACCTTCATCACATCAAAGCCAGCTCCAAATCCCACCTGCTTCAAAATTAAGAATTTTGACAAATTTTGCTTCCCCCCCCCCTTGCCGAGCAGGAACAACAACGATGGCGCTCAAGTGGTCACGCGAATCCAGTGGGGGGGGGGAGTATCGTGTCGCGACGCTTCGTGTCGCTCCTCGGATCTGAGCGCCTGGGCCTCGGTTGGGGCGTGACGGCCAAGCATCTTTCAACGCGTCCACCTGTTTCAGCCGTGGGCCAAAGCCAATATTGCTTGAACAACCTGTTTTTGGGTTCCCAAAGGGGCTCAGAGTCTTATTGGGTCTCTCTTTTTTTAAGGCTGCCCCCTTTTTGGTGATTGCAAAGGGAGTACCGCCATTTTGTCCTTTTCGCCCACTCACGCCCAAAACCGGAGGCCTGCGCCATCTACTCCGCGGCCTTGGCCTATCTGCCGCCGGAGGAGTCTCAGTTGTTCAGTGGCCCCCTTTTCCCCCTTTTTTTGGTGGCCCCACTAAAATGGTCCAAGCCCCAAAAAGGGTTCCCTTTTTTTCTCCAGGGTCACTGAACAACTGAGTTGATTTTACGTCCATGTACCAGGGAAGCCCCTCGATTTTTCCATCAAAAAGTGAGCAATGGCCAAATTGCCAAACTGAGGCCCCGTTTTTCCACTTTTTTTGGTGGCTGCCCCACTAAAATGGTCCGCCCCAAAAAAGGGTTCCCTTTTTTCCAGTGTCACTGAACAACTGAGGAGTCGGACGTTCAGCTGGCGGGGGCCATCCTCGGGAACCGCGCCTTGGCCTCGCTGAAGCTCAGCCGCTGGGCGGACGCCCGCGCGGACGCGGAGAAGTCGCTGCAGCTGGTGCCGGAGAACCCCAAGGCGAGCGGAGGGTTGTTGGGGGCTGAAGAAGCCCTGCTTTTTCTGCTTTGCATGAGCGTTGTTTTTTTTTTTTTTAATATTATTATTATTATTATTATTTGCAGAGAGGGGGACGCTGTGGACCCTAGTGTTTTCCACATGCAATGGTTGTTTTTGCAGACGTGCAAACAGGTTACTTCAAGGCAAACCAACTGACTCAACACCAATCCGCACCTCAACAACTCCAAACATTTTAAAGAGTATAACTTTGATGTGATCATATCTGTAGGGTAAAGGATAAGTTATAGTTTAAGTACAAAGGTCAGAAAATGGGCAACACAAAGCAGTAAAGCAACATGTAACACAATGTCATACCATTAATCAATCAAAAGCTGAAACTGACCCTAATCTTTTGATTGAAGTTATATCTCAACTAAAAAGTAACCCCCGCCCAAAAGAAAAATAATGGTAGCGATATATTGGAACTAATCAAACCATTCTCATATACTGGGTTTTCTTTGCAAATATATGATCAACAACTATTTCCAAATACAAATTCCTCAAGTGATATTGATATATCTATAGACAACTTATATCAAGATATTGGAAAAATCAATTAAACCTAGTTAGTAATAAAGAAGCAACTATGCTTTTGCTCAAACAACAACAACAACAATGTGCTTTAGATAGTACATTAAAAAGTGTTCTTCAAAATGTCTTTGGTCAAGGAGTATATCCTAGCGTTGAAAACTTCTCACTGATGTTTTATCATTAAACAACATCATGTTGCAGGTCTTGCTGGGACAAAGACAGCTCAGGAACTTGATGGAAAAAGGTATATGATAAAATGTGTTGTTGATGATGATATATCTTTACAACAAGAAAGCATAGATCCTCAAAAAATGAACTACACAAGCAATATTATCTTCACAATTTGACCTTCTAGTTATAGCATTGCCAAAATCAGCTATCTCAACTATTAAAACATACACAACGGTTTAGAGACGTATTTTAAACGAACAAAGATCATGCCACCTCTAGAAGATGTTCTTCAAGATGAGAGTTGTATGTCACAGCTTAAGCCTGTTTCACTTTATGATTTACTTTCTAGAGAATTGAAAACTCTTGACAAAGACTCTATTTCATACTTTATTATTAAAGAGAAACGAGTCCTTATTATTCGCTCTGAAATTGCTAGGGAATGAATTAAGTATGAAGCTAAGCAGATAACTTTACTCGATCATAGTGAATTTACTATATATAACATTTCTGAAAACATGTTCTCTTTATATTGTAAAAAAGTAGTTTATGTTCTGTTTGTGATATAGAATCATTACACAATGTTTTGAGTGATTACTTTCCAGATGTAGTGTTTCATGCAGCAGCTTACACACGTGTGCCTGTATTGAGGGAAATATATCCACTACCATAAAAATAATATTCTGGGAACTAAACATACCATTGATTTGGCTATTAAAGCCAGTGTTAACATTACGTGTGCATGAGGATTACCATGATGTATAGAAAACCGGAAAAAAAGAACCACACATCTTGAGAAATCGACAGAAAACATGTTTGCAGAGGACATTACTGGTTTACCCTGTCATCTCTCCTAGAACTCTTTTTTTGTGCCAGCAGTCAGGGATGTATAGAAAAACACAACTCGAGAAATCGGGGAAAAAACAACAGTTTTTGCGGAGGACATAACTGGTATACCCTGTCATCTCTCCTATGACTTTTTTGTGTGTTTGTTTTCCGATTTCTCGAAGTTTTTTTTCGGTTTGAGGTTTCTAAGTGGGTAGAACCAAGCATCTCTCCCAGATCTTTTTTTTCTCAAAGCTTTTTTTGGTTTGAGGTTTCTAAGTGGGTAGAAAAAATATCTCTCCTATATTTTTTGGATTTCTCGACGTTTTTTCGGTTCACATGAAATCAGGACAAAAGCGCTGTTGCAAAAACCCAGGGCCCAGGACGTACCCTTCTGCATTTGTATTATCATTGGGGGGACCCTCCCAAGAATGAGGTTGTTGATTTTTGGTGTCCCTGCCAACACCGCCAAACAAAAACGGTGGGTAGGCAAAAACATCGTCGCAGCCGGGGTTTGGAGACCTCAGGTCCAGTTCCGCCTGGGTTTGGCGCTGCAGGCGCTGGGGGAGCTGCTGGCGGCTGCAGAGGCGCTGGAGAAAGTGGCGCACGAGGATTGCGCGGCCAGGGCTTTGGCGCAGGCGGGGGCGGCGCCGGCGGTGGCTTTGGTTTGCCTTTGGTTTTACTGCGGAATGACGAGACGAGTCCGGGTGTTGGGAATGAGCCGTTTGGGGATTCCCGAACAAAGGAAACCACAAGCCTCCATTTGCTGAAATGAATGTGTATATAAATATAAATATTTAATTTTCCTTTGTTGGTTTTAATGGAATCTGTGACTACCGGACATATTTTTAATTTCCCAGTGGGCTTAAGCAAGTAGAAGTTTAACATGTTTGGGCCGACCCCTTATGGGTAACCCTTGGTTGGTGGTTTGGATTGGCGCTTTGGGGATTCGGCTTGGCTTGCAATGTGTTTTCTTGGCGGGAACCCCAGCCATCCGCTTCCACCTAGGCTTTTGGTTGGTTTTAGTTGGAGTGGTTGGGTTTCCACTTCAGCCACAAGTTAGGAGCTTTTAGCAGCGGATCAGTTTGGAAAAGGTCAGTTTTGGGTTGGTACTCTTTTTGTTTACATCTGAACAAGCTTTGCGGGAAACTGTTTGTGTGTTTTCCCACGGACCAAGCAGTTTGGTACCCCCTAATTGTTGGTTTGGATTGGTGGTTTGGGATTTGAACCCCTGGTTTGTGGTAGAGGGTTTGCATGGGAAACCCCTTCACCACCAAACCGCCAATTCGGCTCCAACGCACCAACGCATCAAAGGGAAGCTGATACATGGGTTTGCCTGTACTTAGGGTGGGACCCCCCCCCCAACCAAAAAAAAGTGGGTGTTCTTCTTGGGTGTCCCTTTAAAACCAGCAAAAAACCAGCAAGGTCAAGCCTGTTGGAAACAAGCCCGACATGAGGGTTGGTTGCCATCGTGTCGCGCCAAGATTCTGCCCAATTCCGTGCTGCTTGAGTTTCTGAGGCACAGCTGCACTTGTAGGGATAATCTTTTGCTGTGTCCAAAGCTCCGACCAGACCTTTGGTGCATTTTGCTTGGCTGTTAGGACTTTAACCTTTTGCCAACTGATGGGTTTTCCATTAAACCACTAAAAGTTATTCACTTTTAGCAGGGGAGCAGAAAACAACCGAGAGATGTTTCTATAAATTCCGCTTTTTCTTTCTCGCCCTGGCCAAAAAAGCCAATCGCCGGAGGTGCGGGCGAGGCTGGCGCCGGCGCCGAAGGCCGCCGAGGCCTCGCCGCCGCGGGGGCTGAAGTGGCGCCTGGCATGGTGGCAGCAGGGCTTCAGACTGCCGCGGCTGCGGGAGGCGTCTTGGCGCTTGCGGTGGGGGGGGGGTTCCCTTTTTGAGGCTTTGGCTTGTTTCAAAAGCGCACCAAAAGGAGAACCACCGTTTTAAAGGGTTCAAATCAGCAGCACGCATCTGGGTGTTCTAGGGGTACCTTCCATTTCCATTCTTTCCAGGGATCCTTCTTTCTAGAAAACCTCCCGAAACCCAGGGAAACGGCCGGCTTTGCAAAAGAACGATGGTTGGAAAGAATGGGGAATCAACCCTTGGATTGGTGTCCCTTTTCAACTAGAAAAGAAAAGGGCCAATGTGGGGAGGGAGATATGGTTTTAGAGAAATTTTAGACTCCCAAAATCCATTTTGGGCAGCTGGGGCGTGGTCCTTGGGGTCTGTTGGGTGGGGGGGGCACCCATGCGGGGGTTAATCAAAAGGTCCTTGCGATGATTGGTTGGAAAACCACAAAGGTTGTATTTCTCACATGGGAAAAGTTACCTATGGTCATTTGGGGCCCAAAAATCTAGATCAACCCCCCATTTGCCCCCACAGTTGCTATGTTAGTGGGAGGAAGGGGAAGCTTTAGCAATTTGTAGCCCTTTGCCTTTTGGTGTTCCCTCACGAACCAAGAGAAGGTCAGTGGGGGAACTCCCGAGCGAGGTTTGGAGGGACTTCACCGACCTCACCTCGCCGCTTTCCAATGATCACGCTCTGGCATTGATGCACACCTGGCGATACCAGGGCCCACTGCACGACTTTTTTCTGCAGGAGACGTCCAAAGCGGCGCGGAGCTTTGGCTTGCCGGCGATCGTGGTGCTTGGAACCGGCAACATGGCGGCGGCGAGAGCTTGCCTGGAGGTGTTGCATAGCAACGACGCGTGCCAGGCCACTTTGCTGGAGCCCTCTGAAGGCCTGGCATATTTGGCCAGAGAAGTTTTGCAGCCCGAAAAGAGGAAGATGCGCGTCTTGCACCTCAGTTCAAAGCGAGTCGACCTTTTGAGCTTTCGGTTTCCCTCGGCCTATTTTTAGTAGACGTCCCAAAAGGTTCACTCTTGGTGGTTCCGAGCCATCCCCTTAGCTTTTCAGGTTTTAAGTTTGTTTAGTGGTAGTTTCCATTTCACCCGCAGGTTCGTCACTTTTCGCAGGTCAGCAAACGGGCCCCGTTTTATATGTCCAGAGCGAAATTTGGGCCAGCGAGGCACTCGTCTGGCCAGCTGGACACCGAGTTCGCCTACCCCAGCTCTGTGCTGCGAAAGCCGGGGCTGGTTTTGGTGTGCGACCGCCTGGCGGAAGATTTGGTGGGCGAAGGTCTGGTAAAGACCTTGGCGGCCGCCAAGGCGGCCGCGGAAAAGGCCGGAAACGCCCAGGCGGGGGGGTCTGTTTTGAGGTTGGACATCCCCAAAATGGTGGGTGTTTGCTTTAGTTTCCCCTCAAAATATGAAAAAAAACAACCCAAACATTGTGGTTTTCCTTTTGATTTCCCTTTCAGACACGAAATTAAAAGGGCAGCCTCCGAAGGACTTTGGTTTCCCTTCAAAACACAAGCAAAACCCCCCAAAATGAACAAACAAACTCCCAACAAATGGTGGGTTTCCCTTAAGGGTTTCCTTTTCAAACACAAAGCAAAACAGGTATAATACCCTCCAAAAAATCGGACAGAGACAGGTGGTGTGCGTTCCGGCGCGGGCGGAGCTGCTGATGGCCCCGCTGGAGCTGCGCAGCTCGGAGTTCATGGGGGTGGACGTGTCAAAGGCCAACGCGCTGAGGTTCACCGCTCATTCGGAGGACGTGCCACAGGAAGCTCGCTTGCAGAGCGCATCGATCGAATCTGTTTTTTTTTCTTTCTTTGTTTCTTCTTTCATTTCTGGGTCTGGGTCCCTAAGGGGCAACTGAGGAAAGGCTTTGGAAGTGCGAGGTTTGCTCCTGGTGCAACGCGCTGCATGTGAAGGGCTGCGAGCTCTGCCGTGCGGCCCGCCGCCCAAAAGCCGCCAGTCACCAGCAGTCGAAGCGGACGGAGTCCTCGGGCTGGTGGCCCATGGATTTGGACGCGGAAGCGGCACACGCAGGAATGGACGGGAGTATTTGTCGCTTGTGCGCGGAGGCACAAGTGATTTGCGCTTTCGACTTCAACAACGCAGCAGTGTTTCAGGAGCAGCAAAGAATGCTCGAGAAGACTGTCACAGCGATAGCTTCATGTCAATGCCACGTGAATGCTATTGCGGTGTGGTGGCGCTTGCATGGTTTCGACGACAGCACTATCGACACAAGCCCGGGAAGTGCTGGGACTGGAAGTCTGCCTTGGCCAACCAAGCGCCAGGCAGTGTTCCACCTAGGTTACGAGATTGGCATTGAGCAAGGGGAATCCATGGAGCTGAAGGTGCACTTCTCTGATGCCTTCTGCAGAATCCGCTTCGACTTGCAGAAGCCGCGGCTGGTTGACCGCATGGGATTGATCAAGTTCGAGGTGGACATTACCAGCCGCAAAGTTCTCGACGAGCTTCGCAGCAAGGCGAGAGGTGTGAATATTTTGCATGGCTTTAGGTCACATGTTGCGTGGCAGGTAGTTAATCCTCCAACTAGAACATTTGGGTAAAAGTAGATGGCATGTTTTTCCAGTTTGGCCTAGTCGTCCCATTACCCAAGTAGAGGGCATTGTGCCATGTGCTTTCTTCTGGTCTACATCTCCAGTGCACCATTGTCTTCCCCATCGCAGAATACATAATCCGCCTCAAGATAGTACTGCGGATGTTGATGAGAAGGACCTTGTGTTTGAAAGCACCGCTTCCGAGCGAGTCGTAATCTCAGGCTGGATTCCAAAGGTTCTTAACGGAACATTTGAATCGAATTCAGTAGCGCACAAAGCCCGTTTTTGCCGATTTATGGAGGTATAGGAAGGCCTTTTAATGGTTTTTGTGACCATGTTGGCGATTCATTTGGAACTATACACTGATTCATACACACCTTAACTTACACCCAGCTTCGCAGCGAGTTAGTCCTAATTTACAGTTGCTTTAGCATTGGGTTAGTACTGATGTAGGTCTAGGGATAAAAAAAAACGCGAGGCATAAATCCCGCCGCTCGTATCAGTCAACGAGCGCTTGGTGGTTTGGAGGGCTTGGTCTCGGTTGACCCTGTATAGAGGGGTTGAATTCCGGCTACCACTAACCCACACCACCCAAGGGTGTCTTTTTTGGAGGGACCCTGGTTTTTCTTTTGGTTTCCCTGGTTCGCTTGAGAATCCCGACGGGATGCGCACAAAAAACGTGTTCTTTGGAAACCGCAAAAGCTGGTCTTCCATTTGTTTTCGCTTTAGACCCACCTGAAAAGGGAGTACCCTCAAAAGAAAGCCGCCCACATAGATGGAAACCAGCTTGCTGCCCAGCGGCAGGCAATGAGAAATGGAATGACCCTTTCACCATCCAACTGGTGGCTTCCTAGGGAGTTGCTGGGTGCATTCCCGCATTCCCGACTTGGGTGTTCGGCCAAGTTAGTAAGTGCTTAGCCACCTGGCTTTTTTTTTACCCAATGAGTGGGTTAACCCCACTAGTGGGTTATAACTCAGGTGGCTAACCACTGAACTTGGCCGAGCACCCAAGTAGGGAATGTGGGAATGAACCCAGCAATTCCCTAGGAAACCAACCGTTGGATGGTGAAAGGGTCATTCCATTTCTCGTTCGCTACTTCACTTCTCGCAGCGAATCCGACGAATCCGAGAGGTGGACGTGAAGACGAATCGTCTGCTGGGCTCCGTGGACAACACGCCGCTGAGGCGCCGCGACAAAGCCCTGAGCTTCGGGCCCTTTGAGCTGGTGCCCGGCATGTTGAACCAGGAGATCTGGCGCAAGGTGGCGGAGAGGCGGGGGTTGGATTTTTTTTTCTGGTAAACAAACTCTTCTAGATACATAACATATACATATGTATGTATGTATATGTATGTATGTATGTATGTATATATATATATATGTTTGTGGGGAGGGAGTGCCGGGGGTTGGACATTGTTCTTTTGTTGGGAGGAAACAACCATTTTTGCTTAATCTTTCTCCGTTTTTTTTTTTTTTTGGGGGGGGGGGGCGGTCCATGTTCTTGGCTCCTGCTTGAATGAACTTATTTGTATTTTGATCATTTTAGAATAGCACGGTTGGAGGACGTGTAGATGAGGCGCTTGTTTGGTGTCTTTTCCTTAGAGTAGACCTGCAAAACACGTAGATGTATAGGAGCAACACACAACCGATTTACGATAGAGACCTTGTTTTTGGTTGGCATATATATATATACATATATATATATGTATGGCCTATCAGGTGTTGATTTTCGCATGCCAAACTTGCCGATCGCTAAGATTTTTCGGTTCGGCAGGGTGTTGTTTTTTTGTTTTTTTCAGAGAGATGACGGGACAGTATTTTCGGGGGTCCCCTAATTTGATACATACGCATGGATGTGGGCCACACGTTTTGTGTTGGGATAGGTTTTGGCAGGCGGCTCTTGGATGTAGCATGTCGTTTGCGCCACGGGATCCATACACCCATGTTGGGAGTATGGATGGTTTGAATTCTGCCTGGGGAATGGAGGTCTCTAACAGGGATAGGTTTGACCTTTGCGATGTCGGTGTGTCTCTTTTTAAGGTCCCCCCCAAAGAAAAACAAAAACAAGAAGTGGTTTTCCTTTCGATTTCCTCAAAAAACAAAACACCAAAAAAGGTGACCCCGCAAAAGAAGACTCATGGTGCCTCTTGAGGTTAGAGCGTCACAGCGAGCGTCCCCGGCGGGGGGACCAGCCCTTGCGCTGCGTCTTCCGGCACGGCGTCTTCGAGGGCTCCAGGCGCTGGCCGCTGCCCACGCTGGCGGAGACCTCCGCGGTGCCGCGGCGAAGCGGCTACTTCCGCTTCGCCGCTTGGGCCGCGTACGTGGAGGACATGGAGCGCCTCGAACGGCAGAAGACAAAAACGACGCCGCACGGCGCGCGCGTTTGGGTGGCTCAGCTTTTTTCGGGCGGCAGCCTGTTTTCGGTTGGTTTGCAGTCTACGCAGAATTCCGCGCCACCCGCGCCGCTGGCGAGGTCTGCCCTGGCCGACGTCTCGGACGCGGAAGGCGCAGGCCTCAGCGGCGGAAGGCCCCGGGTGCTGGAGCTGAACTGCGGCCCGGCGCCGCTTCTCAGCCTGCGCGCCTGCCGCGCCGGCGCGCGGGTCTGGGCGCGGCGCTCAGAGAGGTGTCTTGGGGGGCCTGGGGACCGAAAGCAGCACCGAGAACCACCCAGACCCAGAAGGGTAGGTCAAGTTTTAATTGGGCCGGAATTGAAATCAATGGAGCTTGTGCGCCGGAAGATTAGCTAGGAGTGGTCCCCGAAAATTGGAATTTGGTGGTATTTATTAACCCAATGTAAGCATGACAAAATCGCATCCTTCTCGTTTCAGCTGACTCCCCCGAACCAATGCGCTGACCAGGAAACCGGCTAAGTGGGCTCGAGACATACCTCCAGGGGTACCTTCCATTTCCATTCTTTCCAGGGATCCGAATCTTTCTAGAAAACCTCCGGAAACCCAGAGGAAACGATTTGCTATTTTTTGAAAAGAACCATGGTTGAAAAGAATGGGAAAGGGATCAACCCTTAGAGTAAAGGGAACCCGGCCCCAAATTGGCCAAAAGTAGTTTTGAGGTCCCCTCAAAATGAAATCGCGTGGAACACTGATCAACCCCTAGAATACTGCTTTGTTTTCATAGTGATAGCAGGCAGCTTCGAAGTCATCCTTGCCGTCGCGACATGTACTCCATCTCTTTGCCCATGGTCTCGTCGTCAGTCACTGGAAGTACGTAGCCAGGTGCCGGACATAGTCAGGCTCCCAGAAAACTTCCACCAAAAAAAATCGGGGGGGGGGGGCTTTTTCTTCACCACGACTTCCCCCAAAACAAGCTTTGGTTTGCTTTTTGCTTGTTGCCAATATCTTGCTTTCACCCACCCCCCCTTAATTTACTTGCTGGTGCTCAGCAGGGAATGAAGGAATGAACTGTGATTCCCTTAAAGGAAACCATAGGGGATTCCCTGCCTATCGCACCAGCAAGTTTGATAGGCCTTGGAGCCCATCCCAGACCTCCGGGAATTGGCGCTGGAGACGGCGCTTTGGCCGAGTCCAGCGAATTGCATCGCCGAAGATTCGTCGTCCATTCGAAGCAGTTGACGCCCACGTGGGCTGAAGCTTCCTGATTTGCATCGCCGACCCGAAACTTCAGGCAGTTGATGTTCCAGCACCCACTTGGCTGTGGGTCAAAACCATTTTGGGGTAGCCCAGTTTAGAACCTATTTTAGTTGGGATTGGGATGTTCACTGGTTATCGGATTTTAACCCACAGCCACTTGAACCTGAAGCCCTTCACCTTTGTTGAGACCTCAAAATTGGTCGGCGAATTGGGACCAAACATTTTCAATCAAAGCGGCGCGACGCCGAACCGATTCTTGTGGCTTTTTTTTTGTGGTTCCACTTGGTGCAAGAAGTATTATAGCAAGATGACCATTGGGGAAATCACTAAGATTGTATTTCCCACACCCATAGTCATGGCCGAACGGAATCTTGATCAAGCCCCTTGTACACCTTTGCAACTATGTTGTTTGAGCCTCAATACCCTTTAGATTGACAAGCCTGTGTTGATTTAGAGAGCCTGTGCACTTCCATATTTGGAGGGTCTAATTAAAATGGACCGCAACAAGAAGGGCATACACTTCCCTACAAATTAACAGCGAACCCAAATGGATCCCCCAAGAGGAGCTTGCTCCACAATCGTTTTTTGGGTGCCATCGGGGGAGTAAGGGTTTCCCTCAAACATGCTTGTGGTTGCGTAAATCCAACCATGTATTTCGGTGACGACCAGTTTGGGTCCATGAACATTTTATTTTTAAATTTTATTTTACCTTTTTTTTGTTTTATCACCTGGAACACGCGGGGGACGGAACCTCATTTGCCCATGTCCTTTGGAGGAACTGCAGACTTTTTGTTTTGATGATTTCATAACGCTCGGATTCCCTCTCTGGGCTGCAGGGAGCCCACAAGCCTCAAATTGATATTAAAGGCTTTGTTGTGAGGCTAGTAGGCCTACCCTCTCCACTTACATGGATCCTGACTGGGGGTGGAAGAGAAATGTCCTCTCAACGAGGACCAGTTGGGTGGGTTCGGTGGCCGGAAGGGCAAGGACGGAAGGGTAATTTGTTAGGCCCAAAGATCTCTCGGGTTGGCTGACATTTTGCTTAATCAACCACACCCTAGCCCCTTTTAAAGGGGATCAAAATCTTTTAAATGGGGGCTTGCATCTCACGAAGATCTTTGTGTCAAACATGTGGGCCTGTCAATCTTGAGGACTCCCAAAGATGGTGGAATTTCTTCAGGCTCTCCTTTTCAAACCACAAACAGGGTTGTGGGATCAAGGGGTTTCTCCAACCACTTCTGTGATACAAGGGAATCCCCCTTTATATGAAGAAGATAGTCTTTGGGGTTCCGCCCTTTCTGTTGTATCACAGTTGTATCACAGAAGTGGTCATTTCCCACAGCCCTGACCAAAAAGGCCTGAACAAAAAGACGAGCCATCCATTTCGTTGCAAACCAGAGGTGCGGGATCAGGGCATGGAGATGGTCTTCGAGCGCAAAGGTCTGGCCAGCAGCTTCTTCGGTGGTGCAAAGATGTCGAGCGCTTAGCTGCTTAGCTGCTTAGCTTGGCCTGCGTCCGTGGCAAAAGCTCATGGCGTCAGACATGGGGGTTTCTCAAAATGGTGGCCCCCCTTTCCCCCTATTTACGGTTGGAAGCAAAACAGGGGACGCCAAAAGTGGAAGCCAGAAGCTTGGGGTTGGTGGAGCAAAGATCAGCCATACGCCGTGTAACACATGGGGGGTGATCAAAGTTCCCTTTAAAAGGCCCCAAGACGATGATGGGTAAATTTCATGTGGTGATTTCGTCATCCTTGTTGGTGCTTGGGAGTTCAGGGTTCCACGTTTTGACTAGACAGACTTAAACCCAGGGGTGCCCCTTTGGGGCTGGCCCCAAAACGAGCATGGCACTAACTTTCCCCATGTGCTGACTGCGTCGTCTTTCTTGGTGCTTTCCCTACTGGTCCTTTTATGCAAAGGACCTTTTGATCAACCCTCACATAGGAGTTGCTATCAACATGGTGGACCCCCTTTGAAGGTTGAAGTTTCACCTGACACCTGGGGCTGCTTTTGTTGGGGCAAAAGACCGGCCGGAAGCCGCAGAATTGGGCGGTTGGGACTGCGGGATTGTCCACCCATCCGTGTGGGCGGATGTTGGGTGGTGTACTTTTGGTTCCCTCAACACCAAAAGGTGAAATCAACAAAAGCCCCGCCAAGCCGCCGGGTAGCAGCATCAAGTCACGAGAGCTTGCATGCTGATTTTTGATACATGGGTGTGTCCATTGTTGAGGGTTTGGCTTGTTTCAAAAAGGGCACCAAAAGGAGAACCACTATTTTCGGGTTCAAATCAGCATTACGCATATGGGTGTGCCCCAAACTGAGTGGGGTACACCTTTCGGTGTCCCTTTAAAGCCCACCAAACAAGAGGCTTCGCTGGGCGGTTGCGTGGCGATTCGATGGTTTAGGCCCGGGGAGCCTTCCGTGCGGGTGCTGAAGCCCATGCTCAGCACAGCGCTGCAGGCGATGGTTGCAAGTGGGAGCATAGGCTCCAAACTGTGAAATTCTAGGGTTGATTCGGTTTTCATTTGCCGGTGGAATATGTTGGTATTTTGAACCAAAGCAGACCCATGAACCAGACTTGGCAAAGATTCCTTTGGTTGGAAGGATTCCACCCATGAATCTAGGGGTTGATTCCTTTTCTATTGTTTTCAACCATCGTTCTTTTCAAAAACCATTTGTTTCCCCAGGGTTTTGGGTGGTTTTTTAGAAAGAAGGATGCCTGGAAAGAATGGGGAAGGTACCCCTAGAGAAATAGAATTGCCACTACTTGGGCGCTCGACCAAGTTAGTAAGTGGTTAGCCACCTGAGTTGTAATCCACAAAAAAGCGGGGTTGCGCAAGACTACCTTCAATCAGTGTCCGCAACACGGAAGTTTCTGCTAAGTTCTAAACATCCTTTGTTGAAGAAGTTGAGCTAAAGAACAAGTTTGGGGAGAATCAATTGAAAAGGCCTTTCCAAAAAGATGCAATTTGGGTTTGCCTCAAAATAGGACTTGGAACCCCAACATGAGTGTTTTCTGGTTGTTTTTCCCCCAACCCATTCACACAGGCTTCGCTTTCCCTGTGGTTCTCCGGAATAAAAAACAATCCGCAAGAAAAGACACGCCCACATGTGACTCAAGTGGTTCCTTGCAATAGGGTCTGTTTGCAATTTCTGGATAACCGCAATCATTACATGAACAGAGACGTCAAAATAGCCAGGAAGGACTTGCCAGGCATCACGAACTGTTTCGCAGTGTTCCTAAAAACGATTTCATTTTGAGGGGACCTCAAAACTACCTTTGGCCAATTTGGGGCCGGGTTCCCTTTACTCTAAGGGTTGATTCCCCATTCTTTCCAACCATCGTTCTTTTCGAAAACCGGCCGTTTCCCTGGGTTTCCGGAGGTTTTCTCGAAAGGATCCCTGGAAAGAATGGAAATGGAAGGTAGCACTAGACTTACACCAACCAAGAAGGCCAGGTGTTGAGGATGTCCCCTTGGGACGTTTCGGAGCACAGGCCGGCTCGGATGCCAAGTTCCTGGATGGCGGGCGCGCGGACCTCGTGGTGTGCCGCCCCGAGCCTGGGCCCGGGGCCCCACAGCTTCCTTTTGGTGGAAGTACCTAGCCCTGGTTGCTTCCCGAGAATTAGCTCCCCCTTTTTCCTTTTTTTTGATTTTTTGGAATTGGTCCCCTTTGTTTTCCACGAACTAGGCAAACAAGTTTTGTTTATTTTTGCTGGGCTTCTAATTCCAGCCTAGGTTTGTGGCCCTTGGCTTCCGTGGTTTCCAACCCACTTTACAAGGGTTTTTTTTCCTTCGTGTGGGGAGAGGGGTATGAACATCAGGCCTAGGGTCATTTGTCCAGGTATGTAAAAGGGGTATGGTACAAACACCCCACAGTTGGCTCAACGAAGAGCCGAGCCGTCCGACGGCCGAGTGGGCCGACGGCCCGCGCCTTTGGCTTGAGGCTCTTTGAGTCTCCGAAGTTGAGAAAACCATTCGCTCACTCCCTGAGCTCATGAGCTCTTATTAGTGGACCTTGTTAGTGGATGCTCTTCCCCGAGCTCATGGACGTTAAGCTTCAGAACAAAAATAGTGGCAAAGAACGAGTTTGGCGCTTTGTTTTGGCCAACCCACTCAGGAAGTGAGACAATGGGACGCTGAAATGGTGGGTCGTCGTCCAAGGAACCGGAAAGCCAAATTATTGTTGACCCCCATGAGGCACAGTCAAGAAAGGACTTTGATGACACATGTGAGTGTCTTTTTTTGGGGGCACCCCTTTTTTGGTGGTTTTTAGGGAAGAACAACGGGGAACACCACCATTTTGAGGGGACCCCTTTATCCAGACGCAGCCACACACTGTGGATGGCCAACATTCCCGTTGTACCAGTTGGAAAGGATGAACCCTAGGGATGAAACACCCAATTCCAAGTGAAGTGCGTTCTGAGATTTCGTCTATCCGCGGCAACTACACTAGTCTAGGTGAATTTAAACCAGGCAAACAACCAACTAACCAGGCAGCCAACCAGCGAACCAACCAACCAACGAAACCAAACCAGCTCAGCCCAGCCCAGCCAGCCCAGCCAGCCCAGCCCAGCCTACTAAAACCACCAACCAACTTGGCGAATTGCCAACCAACCCACCAACCAACCCGCCAAACAAAGGAAGCGATCGGCGGATCGGTTTGCGCCGATCGATCCTGGCGCCAGGCCGTTGGGGCTGGACTACCTAGAGACAATGCTCCACGCATCCCAGGAGCGAGTTGGGGTTTCGGATGCGAGAAAAAATGCAACGAGACGCCTTCTTGCATTTTCGTTATTTGTGTGTTTTCCTCTTGGGTTTTTCAGGGAATCTAGCACTACTGAACATCTTTCTCATTTTTACCGGGAACTTAAGCAGATGGAAGCCTTTGACCATGAAATCCACCGAATTCGCATCCGCATTCTTTCAGCCGGTTCGGATATTTCTTTGTGGCACCTGATCATTCTTCTGGCAGTTAAAGGCAAGATGTGAGATTCAACAGACAAAGCGAGCAGTGCATGGTTTGGTGTCAAGTGGTCGAGCAACGTGTTGACACTAGTCAAGACATCAAGGTCCAAGGCCATCAATCCTGCCTGATCCTAAACGCCCCATCCCTTCTGTTCCGTTTGTCCGTGCTTCGGTCGGAGAAGGCTTAAGCGGGAAACGTGACAGGTGCTTTTGTTCCCCTCCTTGGTTGGTTGGTTGGTTGGTTGCTGGTTTGCTTGCTTGCTTGCTTGCTTGGTTGGTTGGTTGGTTGGCTGGCTGGCTGGCTGGCTGCTTGCTTGCTTGCTTGCTTGCTTGCTTTGCTTTGCTTTGCTTTTGCTTTTGCTTTTGCTTTTGCTTTTGCTTTGCTTTGCTTTGCTTTGCTTTTGCTTGCTTGCTTGGTTGGTTGGTTGGTTGGTTGGCTGCTTGGTTGCTTGCTTGCTTGCTTGCTTGGTTGCTTTGTTGGTTGGTTGCTTGCTTGCTTGCTTGCTTGCTTGGTTGCTTGGTTGGTTGCTTGCTTGCTTGGTTGCTTGGTTGGTTGCTTGCTTGCTTGCTTGCTTGGTTGGTTGGTTGGTTGCTTGCTTGCTTGCTTGCTTGGTTGGTTGGTTGGTTGGTTGGTTGGTTGCTGGCTTGCTTGGTTGCTTGGTTGCTTGCTTGCTTGCTTGGTTGGTTGGTTGGTTGGTTGGTTGGTTGGTTGGTTGGTTGGTTGCTGGCTTGCTTGGTTGCTTGCTTGCTTGCTTGCTTGCTTGCTTGCTTGCTTGCTTGCTTGCTTGGTTGGTTGGTTGGTTGGTTAGTTGGTTGGTTGGTTAGTTGGTTGGTTGGCTGGTTGGTTGCTTGTTATGGTTGTTTAAGACTTGTTTCATGTCTCGCTGCGTGCTCCGCAGGAGCTTTTGGCTCCTGGCGGTCGCCTGGTGCCGCGTGCCTTGCTGGTACACGCCACCGGCCTCAGATCTGGGAGACCTGGAACTGGGTACTGGAACCTGCAATCAACGGCCTTTTTTTTTTTTTGGGGGGGGGGGTTGACGTTGGCTCAACGATAAACCGAAAGGAATGCCACCAGTCTTGGGGTGTTTGCTTTGATACTGCACCCTGGAGGCAAAAGGCTCCCGAAAGTGCCCAGACGCCGGAAAATTGAGGCTAAGCTGGCAAGGCTGTGGTACTAGGGGTTCCAACAAAAGTATTAGCGTTTCAGCGGCGAGAGGACTCCGAGGCGCAGTGTGAGTCATGCTGCAGCAAATTTCACCGAGCACCTCTTTTCCCCCTGCCGGCATGAAACCTAAACCAGGAACCCCCAGCCCATGTAAAATGTTTGTCTCACTCCCTGAGTCCCTGGACTTGAACAACTGGGTTTGGCCAACCCACTCAGGAAGTCAGTGGGGAGGGTAAATCTTTATTGCCTGTTCTTCTAGGGTTTGACTCCCCATTCTTTTCAACCATGGTTCTTTTCAAAAGCCGATCACTGCTTCCCCTGGCGTTTTCCGACGGTTTCCTTAAACAAAAAAGGGCTGGACAGAATAGGGACATGGCAGCTTCCCCAAGACTTTGGCATCCATTTTTGCCAATCCGGATGTGCACTATGTATCTCAAACCAGCTGACAGTAGACGCTTGCACCAAGTCAAGCCCATAGGTGTCCTTTTTGGGTTAGTCTGATTAAAAAATGGATGGGTTCCACTGGTTGAGACGGGGTTTCTTCCATTTACCAGGGAACCCCATCTATTTTTCCAACAGGCCACCTATGGCCAAGCCACACGCAGACCTCCGGCGTGAGGTCGTGGCTGTGGAGTACCCGTGGCACGGAGTCTGCCTGCAGCGCTTGGTGCGGCGGCAGGTGGAGGTGCCGCGCCGATCGGTGGGTTTCTCCTCCTCCCCGTACGGAGCCACAAGACCGGCGGGGGAGTTCCTTGGGTCGGCAACCATGAGCGCCCAAGACACACAGCAGACATGATCATTGACATGGGCGTTGTTCTTTGATTTTTCAGGGTGCCCTTTTCTCAGGCTCCTATGTTGAAGCATAGCCGTAGAAAAGCTGGTTCCCCTGTGGCTTCCCTTTGCACCCTCCAAAGGGTGGCCCTTAAACAATAACACTCACGGACACGCCCCTTCAGGTCTTTGAAGGCTCACTGGTCTCTGCGATTGGCCTCGGTTTCCCAAGGCTTCAGTCCCGAAAGCGCGCACTTTGCTTCAGATGACTTTGCATTACACCGGGCTCGCCGATTCAGGATCTTCCTTTGGCCTGAGTCTACAACATTAGCTTTGAAATCCTTGCTTGAGCCAAAGCACTTGCTTGGTAGAACCAGAGAAGAGGGGGAAGAGGCGAGACCACACTTTTTTCCTTACGAGCAAAGGTCAATGTTTACTTTCATCTACCACGTGGTGACGTTTGGCACACCCAAACTTCAAGGGCATTTTCAGGCACGGGTTTTGGAGGTATGGAGGTATGCTACTTATAGGGGTACTGTCCATATCTCCAACCCTACCTGGAAATGCCATGAGCAAACCGGCATTGGGAACTGGGGCCTCGCAGTTTTCCTGAGTGTTTGGTGGACATACATCCCCGCTTAAATGATGTCCACCATATGTTTGCTTGAACACACAGACACACCATTTTTTTCCAGCATCTCTCTTGGGAGGAAAGGTCCATGGAATGCTTTAACGGTATGTTTGGACCTAAGTGGACTTGGGGGCGCATTTGTTTGCGGTGTTTTGGGATGTTTTTTGGAACTTGCTGGTGCGAGAGGTAGGGAATCTGGGAATGAACCTAGAGGTCCCGTTAAAGGCAACCTGATTCTGAGAAGGGAATGTGGGAATGAACCTAGAGGTCTCTTAAAGGAAACCATGAAGGATGGTTTCTAGGGGTCAGAGCACCAGCAAGGAGAAGAGGCCCAAGCGGTTTCCTGCCACGTTCCTCGCTTGGAGGTGCCCTTTGACCAGCTCAGGACCTTGAGTTCACAGGCGATGGGGGGACTCGATCCACGCGATCCGGTGTCCTTTGAATCGGTTAGCTTGGTTTAAAATAGATGGGTTCCACTGGTTTCGATAGGTTTTATTTCATTTAGGGCCATGTATTATTCGGGATGGGATAGCCGGATTTGATTGGGAACCCGCCCCCCCCCCCCCCCATGGTGCGAAGCGGATGTTGCAGTGTATTTGTCAGGTCTTTGGGGTCAATTGGGGGGAACAGCTCTGGAAATTTACGAGGTGGAACTGGGACAGTTGGATGATAGTTTTTGTTGGAAGCGAGTACTTGCTGAAACCTTGGCTGGTGGCCTTGGCAGGCTAGATGCAGGGCCAGGATCGTTTTTCCGTTGTCTTTTTTTCCGCCTCTTTGGCTGAAAAATGGTATACAACGGCAAAATCATGGGTAGTCATCGATCTGGAAAGAGCGATCGAGGTAGTTTGCGCGCGGGCGGAAGAGCCGAATTCACCCGCAGGGCCACGTGTTCGACCCGCTTCGATTCCCCAGCTTTCGGATTTGCTGGGTTTTGCCAAGCATGTTTCATGCGCGGGACATCTATTCTCAGAGATTACGACGGGCATAATATGCATCTCATTTACTTCCAGTACTACGGAAGTTCTTGTTAAACATTTTTTGAATAGAATCCGGTAGAGGTGGCGAACGGACGTTTCAAACAAAATATTACTTTGTTGTTATTTGGTATTGTGTCTTTCTTCCTTCTTTGTTGTGTTCCTTCTGTTTTTCCTCGTTGTGTTTTTCTTCATTGAATACTATTTGTCCATCTATGTTAGCTAGTGATTTATCGATTTTTGGTATCCATCTATTTGTCTTATTTTTCTAGCAATTTATCCGTTTCATTTATCTAGTTTAGTCTAATCTAATTTAGCAGCGTACTCATCTATTTCTCGATTTCATGTGTTTATTTAGGTATTTAGTTTGGTATTGAGTTATTTGTATAATTTGTTTATGTATTTATTCCTTACTTATTCACTTATTTACTTATTTATTTATTTATTTAGTTATTTATTTATTTATTTATTTATTTATTTTTATTTATTTATTTATTTGTTTGCTTGATTAGTTTATCTATCCAGATATCTGCCGAAAGTGTTACACTTGTTACGGAAGCTGTACCAGACCGCGCAAACATGTTGCGTCTGCCATGAACTTGTGCTTGGCTTTGCGAAAGCGTTACGCCTACCACAAAGATTTAGTACCTCCTTGCAACAGTGTTGTGCTGCTCGATACTTTGCAAAAGTGCTGCGCCTACCACGGAATCCGTATTTTACTTTGCAAAAGTGCTGATTTGTATCTGACCTTGCAAAAGTGTTGCGCGTGAAAGGAAGACCAGCCAGTGCGGTTCTCCGGTCTCACCTCTCAGAACCAGATGTCGTGGTCGTGTGAGGCGATATGGCAGGTCGACTTGACCTCGCGCCCAACTCAGCCCTGTGATCATCATGTGCCAGAGAACTGCAATTCCAACCAGGAGTTTTTGCAATGGCACATGTGGCAGGAATGGTCGTTTGGCCTGGAAAAGCCGATCTGTTTCTCGTGGTTTTCAATGAACATCAAAAGGACACCAATTGGTCAAGACACATCCATAGCTGTCACTGGCCCTTGAGGCCCGGTGAGCCCTCCATGACTGGCGACCTGGAGGCTGACTGACTGCGGCCGATCCGGTGGTTTCGGATCCGGATCCGAGGATCCGAGCACTCGGGGATCTGGGTACAAGGGATGCCTTGGTGCATTTTGCCAAGGGCTGTTAGGACTTTAACTTTTTGCAAACTAATGGGTTTTCCACTAAACCACTAAAAGTTAAGCAGGGGAGCAGAAAGCAACCGAGGGTTGATACTTCATAAGGCACTCCAATCATATTTGGATGCCCCAACCATTTGTAGGCCAACTTGAGGTTAACTGTGGGTTGCTGGATTGGCTCCATTTGCAGTGGCCAAAAGTGGGTGTTCGGCCAAGTTCGTAGCTGGTTAGCCACCCGGCTTACCCACTGACTGGGTTAACCCCACAATAAGTGGGTTGTAACTCAGGTTAGCCACCTACTAGCTTGGCCGAGCACCCAAGTAAGGTTGCGCCCAAAGTGCCCATGAGCGCCCATGAACGGGTCAAGGTAAAGTGGCTTTGGATCGAAACGTTTGGACTTCGCTTGGGCGGATGAACCCAAGAAGGATATTTTAGGTTAGTTGAATGAGGTGACCTAAACAGCCACTTGGAGCCTTGGACCAGACGCTACGGTCATCCGTGCCCACATGGCACGCAGGTTTGCGAGCAGGGGCTGCTTGCTGGCTTTGCCTTCTGGCACGAGCCACTACGGAGAGAGGTGCAACGAGGCCGGCGCAATCACATGAAACCAAACACAAGGTAAGGTGAGGTATGCACCAAGCAGCTTGCACGTGGTTGGTTGCGGATTGGGAGTGGGGGCAGAATCCAAGCCCTTGCTAGTTAGCTGGTTTCCAGAGGACACGCCTTTTGGGATTTTGTGCACCCGCTTTGGCGCTTTGGACAAGCCGTCCCGCGCTGGCAAGGCCCACAGAAGCCTGACTATGTGACGGACCTCGCCTCGGATCATTTTGGGGTTCATGGGATGAAGCAAAGGGAGAATTCCATGCATGATCTCAGGATCCTCTACTAGGTCCCCCAGCTAGGTGCGAACGTCTACCGTTCCTTTTTTGGGGGAGGGTTCCAAACCACTAAAATAGACTACCGAAAAAAAGAAGAAGAAACGGTACCCATATTCCAAGCTCTCTACTGGACGACCTCGTCTATTTCCAGGGTGCGTTGCGCAGTCAGGTTTGCTTCGCTGAAGAGCCTCGCGATGTTGGTGAGGGACAAAGGCTGGATCGATGCTGATGCAAATGTCGCCTGGCCGGGTTGGTTGCTCACATCTTTGTGTTAAAGAAGACCCTACTTAGGAAAGCCACCAGGAGGTTGTTTAAACCAAATAATCTTGGTTCAGACTTGCTCAAGGGGGCAATGTGCCCGAGCCCGGAGCCTGCCGCAGGATCGCCTTCAGAGCGCATTTCGAGGAGTGCGAGCTCGCAGTTGTGCCCAGCGAGGAAAAACAGAGAGCGCCCCATCCCCGCGAGACCGCAGGGCGCGACGAGTCGCGGGAGTCGCGCGCCGCAGGCGGCCTTGGGTTTGGCCTGGCAAGCCGCTCGCCAGTTGTTCGCTCCCTACTTTGGCCCAAGCTGGAAGTTGACAGATCAAGCACAGATTCTGCAATGGTTGATAGCCAAGAACCGGCAGCTGGCCTTGTTTCTGGCTCACACCGCATTTTGACCCATCAACTGTTTCTTGTTTGTTTCCTGTTTGGCGGACTTTGAGTGTACCAGCGCGCGCCGTGTGAAACTCATTGAGGCCTGCGACAGAAAGCACCCATCAAGTCTCTCAAGTGCAGCTTGTGGATGCCGGGCCTTGAACAAATGTACCAACATGACCCTAGACAAGAAAGCTCCTTGGGATTGGCTTGGGGTTGGCAACCTCCTTTGACAACGCGTTGATTTCAAAACCGTCTCCCTCGTAAAGTGAGCCGACCCGCCATGCCCGCGCCGAATGCCGCTGCTCTTCTTCGCGCTGGCGTCTGCTTCCAGCGAATCCGCTTCCAGCGAGCCGTGCGCCAGCCTGGCGCTCCACGCGGGGTCCAACGGCTGGCAGTCGGCCCGGTGCTGCAGCTACCCCCAGGAGTTACTTCTGCGGCTCGAGAGGCCGGCGGCTTTGCGGCTGACGGCTTTCGCGCTGGCAGGGAAAAGCGAAAACAAAGAAAGGCCAAGCCGAGCACCAGCAACATACCTAGTTGTCTGTCAAATTGCCGGCCGGAAAAATTGCGATTGTGTCTTCTTATGTCTGCCCTGTAAGGGGCGCAGAGATCCATGAAATCGAGATCACGGCACGTGGAGACACAGTGCCAGGCTCCGTGGAGGTGTATCTGAGCAGCGGCGATGATTGGAATGATTCCATGCAACATGCCTGCACCTTGGACACGTGCCAGCACTCAGGTTTTGCCCCCCAAAATGGGGCAATGTTGAATCATTTCCTCTGGTTTACCTTCTCAGAAGCAATCCGCCTCTTTGCATTGACTTACCCTCTTTTGCCCTTTTGGAGTTCCTTCATGTTTTCCTTCTAGCCAGCAACACGCCAACTTTTTGTCAGCCCAGGTTTTGGTTTGGCCATGTTTGTGTTGGGTGAACCTTCCATCGTTCCACCAGCTGGGTTCAACGTTCAACTGGATGCATATGATTGTCCTGTGCAAGCGGTCAGAACCATGTTTGCCGGAGCCCGTTTTTCATTTGTCGTTTGATTATGGGGATCTGTGGGGTTCTGGTCTCACCCCCCCCCCACCCCCACCCCAAGAACAAAAAAGTGCGGTGTTCCTCTTGGTTTCTCATGTTTCCCCTTTGGACAACCACCCCAAAAAGGAGGGGTTGAACAGATTGTTGGGATCTGTGGGGTGTTGGTCTCAACCCCACCCCACCCAAAACAACAAAGGAAAAAGATATTGGTTTCTCATGCTTCCCCTTTAACCCCCCTTCGAACGCGTTGGCCTCAGGAAATGCAGTCCTGCGGGTTCTGCACAGCCCGGAGCACGCGGAAGGCCAAAACAAAGCTCTTCGCCCTTTGCTCGGGGTATGTGAAGCTATTGGTGCATGAGCCGTTGCACGTGGGGCCCAGCAATCCATACAAGCAGGCCGCTCGGCATGTGCATAGGCTATGACTTTACAGATGGACCCATGATTGACTATCGAAATAGTCAAGTAACTGGCCAGCTAGCCAGCTAATTAGCATGCAAACAAACTATCCATCTAGCGAACGCACGAGCTAACCACCAGCAAACAAACTAATCAACTAACTACACAGATAGGTGGATGGGAAAACATGTATATTTCATTCAGACACACAACTCATATCATGTATAATATATCAACACACATGTGTGCACGATTGTTTGCCAGTGTCAAAAGCCAGGAGTCAAGGCTGTTCCCCTAGGGTGTACCTTGCTGCTGTCCCTTCCTCTTCCATACATCAGCTATATGTTGTATGTATATGTTTTCGTTTTTGATACATGCATATATATATATATACATACACATTACGCAAATGTACGGCTATGTATGGGTTATACAGCTTGGGGCTAGGGAGGAACCCTCGGCAAATTGGTGAAGGCAGGGCGTGTCCCGTTTGAAAGCAGACGGCTCCATCTGCTTCATGTCAGTAAGGAGAGAGGGTTTTGAACCCCAAATGCGTAAGTGTCATAATGCGGGGTTTTCAAAATGGCTTGGTTTTCTATTGGTTTCTATCAATAAACACCCCCCCCCCCCCCAAATTGAGGACTGCCGAATGCCTTTCACTCACTTTATGGCTTGGACCTTTAACTTTTTGGTTGACGCTTTGGCGGATTTTCCGACTTGGACCCACCAAAAGTGTTTTCGACTTTTTGCGGGGTGCACCACTTTCTGAGGGGTCCACCACTTTTTGAGGGGTCCACCACTTTTTGCGGGGTCCTTCCAGCGCCCAGGTCTCCCTCTGCACCGTGGACCTTTGGGGCTGCGAGGACGTGCTGCCGAGGAGCGCCAAAGCCGCGCCCGTGGACCTGGGCGAGCAGCACGAGGAGATCGCCTCGGTGCTCATGGACCTAGGCACGGGGGACGTGGGGGGAAGGGGGCACGTGGCAATGAAAACACGGGGCAGAGTTTGCAGGGTTCCACTTTTTGACTTCCCCAAGATTGACTCAAGGCCAGGAGTTTCAAGTTTCGTTTGGGGGACGTCGACCATTTCTGGGTTTAAGCCTATCTTGGGGTAGTCAAGAAGTGGAACCCTGACAAAGAAAAATGGTACATGGAGTGCTTTGCATTTGTTTGGGTGGGCCACTTGAACATCCGGTTTTGATTGTGACTCAGGACCTTCAGTTTCCAAAACTTTGAGCTTCTGGTTACCATCACTTTAGTCCAGGGCTAAACTGTTTCGCCAGTTAACTTAGGCCAGCATGGAGGACATGGCTAAAATTTGGAAGGCCCCCCCCGAAAAAATGTTGGTGGACAGAATGTCGAAGCTATGATGGCAAACTTGCAAGAACTGCGCGTTGGTCTAGGGTGATATCTCGATGCGAACGAAGTCTTCGATCATCCAAGAGTCAGCCCAGAAGGTTTTCTGCAGCTTCGGCAAAAGCTTTGGGGCTGAGGTTTCATCTCAGGTTCAGCCAGGCACTTGGTGGTTCCCAGCCATCCGGTTCCTGCAGTTTTTTAGATGTTTTTCGTTGGTTTAGTGGTTGGGTTTGCCATTTCCCCCACATGTTCTGCACTTTTAGCAGGGGATCAGAAAACGGGCAGCCCAGGTGTAGGAGGTTCTGCGCTTGTTGAGGCGTCCCTTTGAGCTTGATCCCGGTGGACGAAGATGTGCTGAGCGCGGTGGATGTTGGCACGCAGGCCACTTGCTGGTGGCGGGGGGAATCTTCACAAAGTGACTGAGATTCTAGGGGTACCTTCCATTTCCATTCTTTCTAACGATCCTTTTTTCTAGCAAACCTCCCAAAACCCAGGGAAACGGCCGGTTTTCCAAGGGAACGATGGTTGGAAAGAATGGGGAATCAACCCTTAGAGAGATGGGAATCATCCACCTGGTATCCCTACTGCGGATGGACGAAATCCTGAGAGACTTTGAAACCATTGGGAAACATTGTTTGTTGGTATTTACAAGGGAATCATCGTAGGTGGTGCAGGAATTCGTCCATCCACAGTATGTCCAATGTCTGAGCGCTGGGTGTGGTTGAATTGTCCAATCAGATCCGGCCACAGAGGCTGAGGGTCTCCTCTTAAAGAATAATCAAGTATTTTAGGGCTTATGACACATTGTCTGACCATCTTGTTTCTGTTTTTTGTTGCAGTCCCCAGGCCACCAACCCCCCCCCCCCGAAGGGTAGCCTGGAACATATATCCCTGTTTTGTTGGCCAACAGCAGGTCGACCGGCCCATTTCCCACGCAGGCGTTGGTGAAAGAGCTGCGCGCTGTCGAGGAGAAGCTGCTGGAGGAGAGGAAGTTTGGCTGCTTGGAAGAGTTTGGAGTGGGAGCCTGCAACCGACCCCGACCCCAAAACCAAACAGAGGCGCATGATGGGAGGCTGCTCTGTTTTTTTGTTTCTTCTTTTTCCTGTTTTTTCTTCTTTTGGTTCTAGTCGTGCTACCTTCCCCATTCTTTCCAGGGATCCTTCTTTCTAGAAAGCCTCCCGAAACCCAGGAAAAATAGCCGGTTTTCGAAAAGAACTATGGTTGGAAAGAATGGGGAATCAACCCTTAGAAAGTTGGGTGTGGCTCAAAATTAGATAGCTGGGGTTACACAGGTGTATTTTTTTGGTTACATTTACCAAGCTGCAATTTTGGTACATGTTTTGGAGCCACAGCCAAATGAGCCCGACCTCAAAACCAAGCAGAGAGGCGCATGATGGGAGGCTGCTCCTTTTCTTTTTTCTCGTGCCTCCGTTGTTTGCTGCTGAGTAAAAGGGGGTCCTCCCAAAAAGACAATTGGATGCTACGTACCAAAGATAGATGAGGGAATGAACACGAGACTCCTCTCAAAATGGTGGTTCGTAGAGGCTGACGTCCAAGAACAGGAAAGGTGACCCCAAACGTGAACCCCCCTGTAAAAGGGCACGATCCAAAGAAGTGACTCTTTCTTTTTGAGCGGTCGAGAATGAAAGTTCATCTCGGATGTTCAGTGGCCGCTGCTGCTTGCAAAGGGGTGATTCGGAATCATGCTGGCTTCTTCCAGGCTGAGAAACCATTGTTTGGAAGGAACCATATGCTGTTTAATGGGAATGGGTGTGATCATGTTGAAGGGGTCCCTTTTGAATTCCCTTTTAGCTCACACAAAAGGTACCCTCAAAAGAACACACACCTATATAGGGACGGGAATCCCCAAAATAACTTCTGGGAATCCCGCCAAACGATTTCCAGATCAATGCACGTGAATCACAGGGAAGGACGTGACAAGCCTCCACGAGAATCTGTTGGCGTGTCTTTCTTTGAGGGTTTCGCTTGCGGGGTTGCTTTGCTTCTAGACTCAAAGGAAACCAACCATGTTGGGCTCCGAAACGGGGTCGACTTGTTCTGCCGATAATGCATTGCGAGGGCAGAGTGGTCATCAAGTTTTCCGGGAGTGATTAAGCGATTGGGATTAGCGATCAATCGATTAAGCGATTAGGGTGCGCGACTAAGCGATTGAGCGATGAGGAACAGCGATCAAGCGATTAGGTAACAGCAATTAGAGAGACGACTGCTTCTGTTGCCCCAACTCTACTTCCAGGATTGCGATCGACTACTCGTGACGCCTCGTAATGTTCCAGCCTGCCCACTACCACCTACTTTTCCTGGCAAGCGCTAGTGAAAAAGCGATGAAGCCAGGAAGCCATCAGCGCAAAGGGCTAAGCATTTCAGCAGCTAACATCAGCGAGCATGCGATTAGGCGATTGGGGAAAGCGACTAAGCCATCCGGGCAAGCTATGAAGCGATTTAGCGATTGCGTCAAACGAGCAAGCGATTAAGCTGTTAGAGAAAGTAGTCTAGCGGTGTGATAGCTTAGTAGCTTTGCGAAATGCGGGTAACAGCTGCATCTCTCCGAAATCATCCGGCAGCATGGCGCCGGGTAACAGCGATACAGCGTGTGTCGAAAAGCGCAACCAATCTGGGCGCGTTTCAGCGTAACGACTACCAGCATAACAGCTTGATAGCTTCGTCTAACAGCGTAACGGCTGGTGTCGAAAGCGCGATCACCCTGCCTACACCCTCCAATAACGATTGTTGGATTGGAAAGAACTAATTACCCTAGACATACTGTGGATGGACGAAATCCTGCAACAGGTGGGATGGGTGAAACTCATTTTTTAGTTCACAACCTGGAATAAACAACCTACCAGCTGGCGCAAGAATGATTTTGCTCATCCACAGCAGGAGAGTCCTCCCCCACCTCCCACATTGGCTAGTTTTAAAGGGAAGCAAAGCAATCTGAGGACACGGAGTTCTGAAGACTATGAGCGAAGCCCCCTATTAGACAGACCCAAGACGCCGTGTCCAGAAGGCCACTTGAGCAGCTCTAAAACCCCCCCGCCCCCGTTACATCCCAAGCAAGAGTTGTGTCATACCAGGGCCCCGCGTAAGCAAAACCCTGCACGGCGTAAGCCGGCGTAAGCACTTTCTGGGGAAACATGCTGCGTAAGCACCTGCGTAAGAGCTCTTCTTCCTGATTGCTTGGAAAGCTTTGTAAGCATGCTCGGATGAGTTGTTTCGCGCATGTGCTTATGGAGCTTGGCAACTTGCACGGAGACTTTGGCTGCAGGAACACGCTGAGCTTTGGTCGTCAGCTCTTGGGGCTCATGCTAGGTGCTGTTGCAACCTTTACTCGAATAAACAAAGGCTTCTGTAACGGGCTCGGGCGCGTAAGCTCGCGAAAGCAGGCGCGTAAGGTTCGAGTAAGCTCGCGTAGCTCGGCTGCCCGCTTTCCCTCGCGATGGATGCTAACGCAGAACATGTTTCTCGACTTGCAGTAAGAACAACAACGCCAAGCCGATGAAACTCGCGAGGGTAGCTCTTCGTCATCTTCTTCCACAGAGTCATCCACATCATCTTGAACAGTTCTGGCGGCTGCATGAGAAAAGGAGCCCGCGTAAGCAATTCTTGAGGGGAAACGCTCAAAACGCCGACGCGTAAGCGCTGCGTAAGCTTAACATGCTCGCTGGCTGCCGCGTAAGCTAAAACATGGGTCGCGTGTCCCTTTTAGGTGAGCCTGGTTGATTAAACATAGATGGCACTGGTTTAGATGGGTTCCATTTACCATTGCCATCTATTTTTCCAAAAGGTCACCTATGGGGAGGTTCCCTTTGGAGACATATCCCTCTCCCATCCAGCTGGCCGCTTGGTGGCCTGCTCGGTGCTTCGAGGCGAGGCCCAGCAGCTCGAGGAGGCGCTGCAGCAGGTGTCGCAGATGGGCGTGGAGCTGCAAAGGCTCCAGCAGCGCCGGGAGGCGCACCGGGCTGAGGGTGGGAGTGGGCGGGGTGGGAGGTGGGGAGGTAGGGAGGGGTGGGCGATTCCAAGTCGTTGCTGGGAGAAGATGCGTGCCTGCGGGCCTGCGGGCCTGCGGGCCTGCGGGCCTGCGGGCCTGCGGGCCTGCGGGCCTGCGGGCCTGCGGGCCTGCGGGCCTGCGGGCCTGCGGGCCTGCGGGCCTGCGGGCCTGCGTGTGTGTGTGTGTGTGTGTGTGTGTGTGTGTGTGTGTGTGTGTGTGTGTGTGTGTGTGTGTGTGTGTGTGTGTGAGAGGGTACTTGTTCTATCTGTCCTTTTCTACCAAGGTGTGTCTGTTTTTTGTTGCTAGCCATGGCACAGACCTTCACCCTGGAAGAGCATGATTGCACCAGAACCAAAGGCAAGCTGTTGACGAAGGGGGTGTATTTGTTGCAAGATGCGCTGGGCCGCAACGTGCATTCCACATCCCTCTATTTTGAGTGACAAACAACATCCGTGTGATCTTGATGCTTGAGCAGATCAAAGACTTCCATGGGGAGGATTCCCGGTCTCCACGTTTTTTTTTTGTGTTTTGAACCCAGTGTCATTTTTCCCAACAGCGACAGCTACGGGTTCGTTCCTAAGTTTTGCAGCCTGGGCTGGCATCCTAAGTGAATAGAGGATTTTTTTCAAGTGAAGGTCAAGGGACACACCCCGCAATTCTGAAGCTCGGATTCAATTCTGAACTGGATTGAATGAGGAGAAGGCGCCGTTTGGGTCGCAAATGGGATCCCTAGAGCTTTTGGCTACCCCTTTGGCTCCCCTGATTCAATTTTTACCGCGAGTTGGCGGTTTGGAACTGCAAGCAGATCAATTCTCCCAGGCCTTGTTTGCCGGCGGCCGTCTTTGCGGAGATCCAAAGGAGCTGGAGCATCTGGGTGCACGGATCCGTGGACTTAATCGACCCGCCCTTTTGCTCACCAAAAACGAGCGGCCTTCGTGTTCCTTCAATACCGGAGAGGCAGCGTGGTCTTTTGCGGTTTCGCCCAAAAAACACTTTTAAAAACCCATGCAACTTGGTGGTTTCCAGCCATCTCCTTCCGTTCTTAGGTGTTAGGGTTTGGATCTTTGCATTCAACCCGCAAGCTAATGATTCGCTTTCAGCAGGGAATCAGAAAGGCACAGCCCAGACACCAACATATGGGGGGTTGATTAATATTCCTGGCCCCCGCATGACCATAGATTACCTTTACATTTAGTGGGAAATATAATATTTTCGGAGGTTTTCCAACCAATGCTCGTCCCATGTTTACCGGACCTTGTGATCAACCCCATATCAACTTTTTAGACGTCCTTTGGTCTAAGGATCAAAGATCTTGAGAAGGCCCGGCTGCAAGTGGCGGCGCTTTATGACACAGACTGGTGGCTGTCCAAGATGTCCATGGGCGAGGCGAATTGGACCCGGAGGGGGGGGGCGGGGGCGGGTCTCCCTATATTTCCCGATTGGGTCAGTTTAAACAGCAGCTCAAAGTGAGTCTCTTTTTTTTGGTGGGGTGATGTAAGAGGGAATGTGGGAAGCCTGGAGCCGGTGTTTGAACAGGGTCTAAGGCCTAAGGTTCGGGCGATCGTTGAAGGGTGGTCTTTGGCCACGAAAACGCTTTTGGCAGGGGCGTTTACGGGGCCACATGCCGTTTCTACGAAGATGGATAGTTTGTCTCCAGGGATTCGGACCCTTAAAATGGCGCAATGTTTTTTCTTCTTCTCCCAACCAAAAAAAGGTACCGAGCCTCAAAACAGGAACCCAGCAAACGGAGCCAGCATTTGAGCAGTGCCTTGAAGGAAACAGCCATTTGCCAGACCGTTCGCAACAAGTTCTTGGTAGAACAATACCCTCCGGCCCATGCCTTGGCCACCATAGGGTCTCCTTCTTGTCCAAGCCAGGGAGCTCCTTTCTCAGCTAGATGGAGGGTCTCCCTGGCCAGGGTGGGACGAAGAGCTCCTATTCCATCAGCCCCGACTCCAGCCCCTTGGGCATGTCAGCAATGACCGGCGGCTCTTTCTCGAGCCACCCAGCGATGCCCGAGCCCGAGTAGAGCTCGCCGAACGGGAGCGATGCGAGCCTTGCCACGCTGCGAGGGGTGCATTTTCGACGGGCGGCTTGCAGCGCCGAGCACGAAGGAGGCAGCGAGCGTGAGACTGGACGGCAGCATCAAGTGCAGCGAAGCGTGGAGAAGGGAGAGGCGCTGGACAGATGGCCACTATGCGAGGGCTCCAACTGACATCCGAGAACAGTCGCGGGAAAATGATGCAGCTCGGATTGCTTTGAGTGGGTTGCAAGCAGACGACAAGTTGCCTTTGAATGATGGGCTCAAGGCATTGGTTGCATCAGGCCAAATGCGGGAGACAACTTACCTTCAGTGCATGACAGAGGCAAAGCTGTAAAACCAACTCGACTGACGCAATTGTCACAGAACAAACAAATGGCTTTGGCTCAAAAACGAGTAATTACCAAAATGGCACCTTGGTAAATGGAACAAGGACTAGCACCTGCGTAACCCTGGTTTTTTGATTTTGAGCCACACCCAAATGGCAACCAATGGTACCATTCTGAGATAGGTGCACCACCCATTTTAGAACCTATTTTAGTGGGGATTGAATTGGATGTTCACTGGGGGTACGATTGGGTTTTGACAACCACAGCCACATAGGTTCTCGTTGCCATGGCCGCTTTGGAGTCGGTGCGGGGCTTGTCTGAGAATCTGGGGCTCCTTGCAGAGCAGCGCGGCAGCAAGGTTTCGGCGGATGACAAACTGGGCGGATGAAAACGTTTCGGCACATGGCTTTGAACGCTCAACCCTTGAGCTCTAGGTTCACATGTTAAATGAGAAGGCCATATTTCACGTGGATGTGTAGATGTAGATGGTAGATCCTCTAGGCTCACATGTTGAATAAATAGGTTCCATTAAAAACATGAACACCCCCAACAAGGCAACTTCTGAGCAATGACAATCTTTCTCGTGCTTGCTGCTGTTGTGGGGGAAACTGAAGGGTCGGTGAAGAGTGCAGTGTGAAAGCAACATTTGCAGGGACTGCATTGAAGGATGGTTTGTGAGTTGTTGAACGCCTGTCAGCTGTTGTCTTTGTCACGGCTTTTTCCCAAAGCCAAAGGATGGAGAATCGGCGACTTCCAAGACCCTATTTTTCAGGGCTCTTTTGCTTGCCTTTGGGTCTGTCTTTTTTTTTCGGGGACCCCCCCCCAAAAAAGACAAGGGAGGGCTTTCTGTCCGGTTCCCCTTTCAAAACCTACCGGCAGAAGGGCACCAACTCCCAACAAAGACTTCAGCACCCCGTGATTCCCCACGTGACCTGCGGCATCCGATGGCCCGGTCGAGGCGCGACGTGGCGCTGGCGGAGTCGCTGGCGGCGGAAGGCCAGCAGGAGATCTTCGCGGCCTGGGACGCGCCCGGCACCGGGGATGCGGCGCCTCGGCTGCGAGGCGAGGACTCGAGGTGGAGGACACTTTGGGTCCTTCCGTTGGCTGAAATGACCAGTTGTTTCTCCTTTTTGTCGGTTTTTTTGGGGGGAAGTGATTGCACTACTGGAATTTGGTGTTTCAGTTTTTTGTCAGGGGGCTCAAGCAAATGGAAGCATCACTTGCCTCGGGCCTTCTAGACGGGTTTCGGAAGACTCATTCCCTTGTGTCCCAGTTGTTTTGGACGTATCAAATCAGCTGCACCGCCGCTTGAAATTTGAAGGGCAGGAGTGTGTTGCAGGAGCGGCCGCGCAAGTCAAACATAGGGCTGTGCAAGTAAAGCGCAAGTGAAGCGCAAGTGGCGCAGTGATGATTCATCATCATCATCATCATCATCATCATCATCATCATCATCATCATCATCACCATGGCCCAAAGATTAACAAGTTTTTCCGGCAAATCTCGCGCAAGTCGCGCGCAGCCCGCAGATGCCCCCAAACTGCTTGGAGCAGGAGTGGCCCATTTCTGTATTTTGCATTTTCGTTTTGCTGCCGATCCCAACAATTTTGCCGAGTGAATGTGTTAGCAGAAAATTTGCAGCGGTGCATACACATGAGACCTCATACACTTAAAGGGGCATGCTATTGGGGGACCTCATGCTTATGAAGACCGCCTCTCGGATTTGCAATGAAAACAACTTGGGATAAGAGTTTAAATCCGGGTTTATTTTTCCAGCTCACTTGGCTTTGGACCATCTTAGTGTCTTAGTGGAACCCAAATCTTTCCCTGCGACAGGGCTCCCTGTATTTCCCTTGGGTCACGCATCACCTGGGATGGGTGAGTTTCTCCTTAGATTTTGTCCCCTTTTTGTTCTTATCTTGCTGGTTCTCAGGGAACGAGAGAATGACCATAACCCTTATAAGAGCAATCCCTTGTGGTGTCATTGGCGGAACTCCCCTTCCTATAAACTTGTTTTCTTGTGGTTTCCTTTCCGGAAATCCCTAGGTTCAATCCCAACACTCCGGGTCATGCCCTACCTATCGCACCAGCAAGATTAGATAAAGCCCTTCGGAAAGGCTCAGACTTCTTCGCCTCTCGAGGAGAAGCTGGACTTCTTCAAGCAGATCCGTACCCTAGATGGCAACTATCCAGGAGTCTCCAGGGTCCCAAGCTGCGAAATATTTGGGCGTGTCGGATTTTTTGTAGGCCGCCTCCTTTTTGTTTGCTTTTAAAGGGAAACCCCCAAGGAAAGCCATATTTGGGCGTGTCTCTTTTTTTAGGGAGCCTCCTTTTTGTGTGGTTTTACGGGGAACCGAACCCCCAAGGCAGGCCACCAAAATCTGGGTGTCCCGGGACCCCAAAAACGACCCACGAGCTGAGGTGTGGTTTCTTGGTTGGCTGTGGCCTGAGTTCGGTAGAGACGAACCGGAACTGGTCGTGTTCTGTTCGGGTCTCTGGAACATTCAGAATCAAACACGGGGGCTGGATTTTTTGAAGGTACCACTTTGAAGGTATCGATATTTTGAGGTCTGGTTTTTGGAAGCTACCATTTTGGGGGTTGGTTTAAAGGGACACCGCCAGGACACCTCTTATTGTTGGCCCCTTTTTTTGCACATACTCACAGCCCACATGCCACATGCGGTCAGCTTGTTTGAGACTGTTTGCTTGGAGTGACGGAACATGACTAGAATGTTACCATTTAAACAACGTCATCAGCCTTTGGACGGTAGAAGCTTGGCTTCTTCAGATATGCCGCAGGAGGCTTGGGCTGCTATCTCCGCAATGCCCGCGGCCTGCTTCAGGCAGCTGAACATGGGGCAAGCTTGATTGACATCGCGTGTAAGAGGGCGGTGGATTCAGCTTGACGTTCCCTAAGATTCTAGGGATACCTTTCCCATTCTTTCCAGGGATCCTTCTTTCTAGAAAACCTCCGGAAACCCAGGGAAAACGGGGATCCGGTGCTTGAAAAGAAAGATAGTTGAGAAGAATGGAAAAGGAATCGACCCTTAGAACAATTGCGATTCAAGTGGGGGCCAACCCCCCCCCCCCAGATGGGGAATCAATCCTTAGAATAGAACCAATAGAAATATGGGGATCAACCCCTAGAAATATTTGTCACGTGGAGTATGTTTGACCCGTTGGCTTCTTGAATGGCGAGCTTGGACTTTTCCTTGAAGCAGACGGGTCTTATCGCATGATGATTTTTGCATATACAAGCGATGGTCTTGAGTCCTGAGTCACCAACATGGGTTAGTATAGTCTTGTTGGTGGAATCGACAAGCAGGACATGTCAGCATGGATTCCGGTCACCTGAGACTTGAGACATCGACGGAAGTGTTAAGACTCTTAAGCGCTTATGGAACAATCCACGCCAAAGACGCAACGTGATATTCCTTGAATGACTCATGACAGCTTCATGACTCCCGAAGTTGCCGGGCTGTAAACTCTTTTGGGAAGACCATGCTTGTAGTAAATTGACCATTCGACCTTTTTTTGCCCATCAGGAAGAAGAAGTTTCAACTTTTTTTGGGCCATCAGGAAGGGAGAGGTAGTGCTTGAGAAGCGCAGCAAGATGTCATGCCTAGTTCTGTTCAAACAAGTCACAGCAGTATGACTGAATGACACAGCCCTATTCACAATCTAGTTGGTTTTCTTTCAGCAAAGCCACCAGCAGCAGTGCCATCTTGAGACAGACCCAATGATGCATTTCAAAGCAACGGTTGAAACCCCGATTATGGCAAGTCAACCCGTTGGTGTGCCTTTGAAACAACCTCTCACCATGCACCCGTCACAAGAAGACACACCCACTTGGTTTCGAGTCTTTTTTCGAGGTATCTGTTCAAATTGTGAAAAGAGGAACAGGAGGACGCCACGCATCTTGAGGGTGTCATTACCGAATTTGAGGCAAACACAAATCTTCTCTCAGAAGCAGCCATGGGACGTGCACACGTCTGCGCACCGTTTGTCCATGGTGGAAGTGTCCACAGCCAAAAGGCTCCGTCCATTTAGACTTGTTGATTTGGCAGGCAGGTGCTTGCGTCTCTCTGGGTGGGGGCCGCGTCAGAACTTGTACGTTGAAGAACCTCATCTTGAAACACCGTGTGTTACACACCGCCTCGTTTGGTTGCGCCCATGTTGTGGAAGGATCTCGCTTTTCTCGCCGAATGCCCCAACCAAGCCATGCTGCATTTCTTGTCTTTCTCCGCCATTTGTTTTGGAAGATTCCCATACCGCATTTGTTTTTCCGCCATTCGCAGAGTCCGGGTCGGCGCACTTTTTCGCGCAGCAAACACCCGGCTCACCCTCGCGCGTGTTTCCAGCTTCCCCTGCATTGGTGGTTTGGGATTTGGGGCCCCACTTCGTTTTGAAGCCAAGTGGAAAGGGGGCCAGCGTCCCACCCACCGGAACCAATGCGGGGGAAACCGACGTCTGACGCGCTTGCGCGCGCGTTTGCGCGCGAGGCCTCGGCGGAAGGTGCCAACCCCCTGGCCGGGTGGACGCCCTCGGTGCCGCGGGACACCTTCCGGCCGGAGGTGGGCTCTGAGGACCTCGGCGCGGGGGCGCGGGTGCCGAGGGGGTGGACCAAACTTTTTTTTCTGGAGAAGCTGAAAAGAAGGCCGCTTTGAATTTCACCAAGTTGGATGTTGGAGAGGACTTTGAGATTTTCTGGATGGTTCAGAAATTGAAGCTGAAGAATTTGCGAGTGCAAATTACAGAAACTTGCCCATCCAGTTTGTTGGGCCCATCAACCAGCAAGTAAAGTGGACTTCGAAAGCAGGCTTGGTCCCCAAAGGGACGTGTCAAATTTAGGCACTCCTTCTTTGGACACTCGAACCAACCATTCAAAGATTGGACCACACAAGCAAGGCTGGAACGGACAACAAACCAAACAATCGCCGTAAGTTTGAAAGGACAAAAGACAAGAAGCTCTTCAACTCCATTCAACAGAGGACATTCTGTGTGGAAAGTGTGTTTGAGCTTGTAAGGACCCCCCCCCCAATTGGCATACTTTGGGTGAGGGGAATTCTTCTTGGTTTCTTGAAGGGAAACCAGGCAACCAAACCCGGAGTCCTCGAGCTTGACCTCGGCCACCGTCGGCAAGGTTTTGCACACGTGCAGAGCGCGTGCTGACTATATATGCCTGCCAAATCACTTGTATCCCAGAAAATTGTCTGACTGAAGCCGCAGCCTCTTCCTTTGCTCATGGTCACACTTCTCTGAACCTTTGGAAGTCGGCAATATCTGTTAAGTTTGGATTAATCCAGAGGACCGTACGAGGAAAGACATGATTTTATTTTAGATGGTTCCTTTGTCTAGGGAGATTGATCCGAAGTTCAGGCTTTCACTAGGTGGGTATGGGTCAAAGTTCGCCCAGGATATGGATGGCAGGTCTTAGCCCTGTAGTTTCCGAACGGGCAAGCCATTCTGCGGTTAATATTTTGGACCCACACCCAGACGGTTTACCTCCAAAGTTTGCCGCCCGAAACTCGCACGGAGCCCAAGCGAGCCCGCCATGAATTCCGGAAGGAGTTCATGGCCTACGAAGAGCTCGGCGCGTCCGAGGCGCAAACGACGATGGCTTTGAAGCTGCTACGCTCGTTCCAACAACTTTCTATCCCTACCTGTCCCATTCTCTTCAGGGTTCCTTCTCTTTCAAAAACTGGCCACTCCCCCAGAAAAATGGGTGGTTTCCAAAGAGAACGATGGGTGAAGAGAATGGGGAATCAACCTCTTGAAGCTGGTCCGCTCCCGTGTCTTCACTGTTATCAGGTTTTTTTGTTTTAGTTGTTTTATGTGTTGTTTGTTGGTTCTCTTCATTTTTTGTGGGCTGCAACAACAAAGGCCAGTCCTTCGCAAGCCCACAGCGTGTGGGTTGTAAAGATTTAAAGAATTGAGCCACGTCCTCAGAGCCCAAAGCGAGAGTCCCAACACATGGGTGCCTTAGCCGCCGCTTTTTTCTCGTTCTTGAAGCATTCGTGGCAGACCAGGGTGGGATCTCTCGGGGTTTATCCAACCACTGTGATACAAGTTGGAATCCCCTTCTTTTAAGGGGCGGGCTAGTCTTTGGGGGACTTTTGTTTTTCTTGTATCACAGAAGTGGGCATTTCCCACAGCCCTGGGGTAGACCATTTTAATTCCAGGCTTTGATTTGGACTCACCTTTCATGCATCCCCATTGCCGTTCCTACTAGGGTTGACCAAAATGTCATTTGTGCTGCCGCCGTGAAAATTCTGCATTTGTCACAAGTGCGAACCACCAGCCTGCCGCAAGCTTTCAGGAACAGTCGTAGCAACCAGCCCATTTGTGAATTTAGTGTTCAGCTTTCCTGCTGCCTTGAGCCATTTGTCAGCTCTCTTCTTTGGAGCCGCATGCCGTCCTTTTTGTCGACGCCTGATTAATACCCCCCTAGTTATTCAGAGGTCCTGGCGCCCGTGGAAAGCAATCCAACAAAAAAGGGGGACCTTGACAAGGGAGGGTTATTACAATTCCTCCCAGTAACATGGCACCTGTGGGGCATTTGCATGATAAGTTTCCTCCTGCAGGGACCGGGTCCCTGTCAGGTGCCATGGCAACATGGGAGACAGGGTATACAATCAGTTTGAGACGTCTCAAATTTGGTTTGGGGGTTCAGGGAAGGTTTTACTTCAAACCATGCTTCGGAAATTCTTTTTCAGGATATGCCAGTCAAACACAAAGCAACACTTCCCCCCCGTACAAAAGCCGCGATGCTGTTTTATTATTTCCTCTTTTTTTTTGGGGGGGGGGAGGGCGGGGGAGTTGAAATCTCAAAAGGGAGCTTCTCAAAACTCCACAACAACCCCCACACAAATATCAGAAATTAGTGTTTTTGCATGCAAACAGTGAAGGTCGGGTAGCTTTTCCATTCTCAAAGGGATCTGAATAAAAATGGCAAAATTGGGTTCCTATTGAATCCCTTCAAATACCAACGGCTCTGAATCTCATGAGAAACTCCCAACTTGGTGGAGGCCTTGGGTTTAAGGGCACACCCAAAGGAAACCAGTGGGTACCCCCGACCCCCCCAAAAAAAGAAAACAAAACAAACAAACAAACAAAAAAGCACATTTGCAAGCCAACCAAGAAAAGGGTACCCTAAAACATACAAAAAAAACAACTCAAGTGATCCGTTCGCAGGTGGGTGCCTGCTGCTTTGTGATCCCGGCGGGTGGCCTTGGGGAGCGTCTGGGCTTCCACGGCGTGAAGCTGGCGCTGCCAGCAGAGCTGGTGACGCCTTCCAAGGTGCAACATACCCCTCGCGAATTTTTCGAAAACGAGAGCTGATTTAATGAATCCCGGATTAATACACCCATGTTTTTCTTGGTGTTTATCTTGGTGGTTTTAGTTGGTTTAGTGGCTGGGTTTCCATTCACAAGTTAAACTTCTAGCGGGGAACCCGAGGACAGCCCAGTTATTCATAGGGTGTGTGTGAAGGGAGAACCTCCATTGAAGCAAGGGGTAATTCATATTAAGGGGTTTACTAATCCTGGGCGTGTCCATTCACCTGTTCCCATAGTTAAGAGTCCCTGTTCCCAAAAGTACAGTCACCCATAGGCGTACTTTGGGTATGGTGTTCTTCAGGCGCCTGACCAAAACAAAAACCCTGAAGGTGCTGGAGGTTTACTGCGCCTATCTGAGGGCCTTTCAGGAGGGGGAAAGCGGAACGCTGAGGCGTTGTGTGTTTGCGTGTGCGTGTGTTGGTTTGTTTGTTTGCTTGCTTGCTTGTTTGCTTGTTTGTTTGTTTGTTTGATTGTTTGTTTGTGTAAAGCCGGGGGGGGGGTTTGGAGGGGGGTGCAGGGTGTTCGAAGGGTTTGGAAGCGTTTCGGAAGCTTTTTCCGTGGGTTTCTTGCACGTTTCCCAAATGTCCCAAATGTTGGCGTCTTCTTCGGGGAGCGGGGGGTCTCATTGTCTTCTTTTTGTTGGGGGGGGGGGTACTGATAGGGGTGCACTGATGGGGGGGACAACGCGAATTTCTCGCAAGTCCCGTTCCGGACGGGACAAGGTGGGGTCCTTCCTTGGCGGGCATGAAAGGAAGCTCAGGGGTTTCGGGTTGACACCCGTATATGGAAGTTATCACTGATGTTTGTTTTGCCTCTCTTCCTCTCTAGGTGTGACCTTTTTGCGCGCTACATTGTTTGGGGTGGGTTTAAAGGGTTTAAAGGGATACCAACAGGAAAGCACCATTTTCTGGGGTTCCTACCTGACACGTACTTAAGTGGGAAAAATTGTGCGGCGGTCTTGCATTTATTTTGTTTTGCAATGTGTCTTTCTTTCTTTCTTTCTTTCTTTCTTTATTTATTTCTTTCTTTCTTTCTTTCGTTTATTTGTGACTGTTCAGACGGCTCTGGTTTTTCGTTTGTTTTGTTTTTCTTGTCTTATCAGGATGTATGTATTTCCTTGCCTTCTAGGACAACAGGCAGGGCCCTTGGCCCATTCTTGTAGAGCAGTGCTCCTTTGTGTTCAAGGTCGGTGTGAACCTCTATATTCAGCAGTCGCGTTGGATTTAAAGAACAGACTATTTCAGGACTTGGCCGACTGGGCAGGAGGACAACTTCCATTTGCTTACGGATATTTTCTATATTTTCCCCTGTTGGTTCTAAAGAAAATCTATCACTACTGGAAACATTTTCCCTTTTTTCCAGGGTCTTAACCAAATGGAAGAACAGGTCGCCATGAGTCAGCCGCAACCATTGATGACGAGCGCGGACCAGCGCGGTACCTTGCTTGAAACTTTGGTCCTGATCTCTACCAGAATCAATTCGTCCTCAATTCTTTCACTGGACTGTGTCCTACCATGGCTCAGGGCACCCTAAATAGCTTTTCTAACGCACGGGTTCCAGCTCGCACCGAAAGCATCTTAGAATCCATTTGTTTGAACACATATGGCTGGCGGCTGTGGGTCAAAACCAATGGCACCATTTTGGGGTAGGTGCATTCACCACCCATTTTAGTTCCTATTTTAGTGGGGATTGAATAAGTTCACTGGCGCTACGATTTGGGTTTTGACCCATGGCCATATAGGGTCACCCGAGTTCTGACTCGCTGGCTGTGTCCGAGCCTTTCGTTTCCCGGAGGACTTGGCGGAGAAAAAAAGCTCGTCTCGGAGTCGGCTGCCCTTGGTGATCATGGCAAGCTCGGACACCGAAGCTGGCGGGGCTGCAACATGCTGGGGCCTTTCGAAGTCCCTGCTTGAACATCATGTTGAACCCCCGATATGGGTCTGTATTTTTTTTTTGAGGGCACCCTTTTGGGATGGTAGCCGCCCATGTTGTGTTGTTGTGTTTCTCTTTTTCTTTTTATTTTTTGGGGGCGGAGTCCCCTCTTTTTTGCGCCACACCCATATTTGTGTAGAAGCGCTCCTTGGAGGTATACGATCCTTGCTGGAAAGCAACAACTATTTCGGGCTGGAGCCTGAGCAAGTGACCATCCTGCTGCAGGAAAAGGTTGCGGCGCTGGCGCGCAGCGATGCTCTTCTCAGCATGGAGGGCAGATACAAGGCTGGTACATGCTGGTACTTTGGTTTGGGAGCAGTGAAGTGGTTAGCTTTGCCGTGGTTGTACATGGCGATTCGGTCTCAATGGTGAAACCCACTTCGCGATTCCTCCCAGACCGTCTAGGCAAGCTTGGAATCTTGCTCTTGCTTCAAGCAACGGCTGAGTGCATGGGAACGTGCCAATGTTGCCCTGAGGTTGGAACCAAACCTCACGGGCATGGAGATATCCATTTCCTTCTTCACTCCAAAGGCATGGCAAAACGCTGGCTGGAGGAAGGGAGGAGATGGGTCCTGTTCTTTCAAGACACCAACACTCTGTATCTCACAACCTTCCTCTGCTCTCTGGGGGTGTCGGCCAAGCACGGGCTGCGCGCCAATGTTGTGGCGATGCCCCGAAAGGCGAAAGAGGCCGTGGGCTCTATCGCTCGCTTGACGCACTCTGACGGCAAATGCATCGTGGCCAACGTGGAGTACAATCAGCTGCTTACCCAACGTTCAGCTTCCCAGCTTTTAGCTTCTTGTTGCCAGGTGTCTTCATCACTTTAGGCCAACAAGCTTCAGGCGTTTTGCCGCCAAGTAAGCCTAGGCTGGAGCCCCTTTTGAAGGCTACAGGAGGTGATGGAGACGTGAATGGCCCTGATGGATTCTCCCCCTACCCCGGCAACACGAACGAGCTGATCTTCAGCCTGCCCCAGTACGTCTCGGTGCTCGAAGAAACGGGCGGACAAATGCCCGAGTTCATCAATCCCAAGTACACCGACGCGAGCCGGAGCACCTTCAAAAGCCCCACGCGCCTGGAATGCATGATGCAAGACTTCTTGAAGCTGCTGCCGGCCGAAGAGGTGAGGGAGAAGCGGGAGAAACATCCTCAGGGCTCCTTAAAAGAGAAACCGCCATTTACAAGGCAATGTTCAGGTGTATAGTGTAAGGATCCCTGATCCTTTGCCTGGGGGTCATGTCAAGCGCGGATGAATTAAGTAGTATTGCCCAATACTAAAGTAGACCTCGAACTTAGTTTGGGGCCAGGTTTTCTTTTGAGAGCCCAAACACCTTCTCGACCTTCTCAGATTGGGGGAATTAATCCGATTTCAGCATGAGTATGGATGGACATGAACCTCTCAATATCTCGATAGGGGTTTGAGACAACCAATGCAAAGGTTCTTCGGGAGCAAGGGACAAAACGGGGAGCCGCTGCCCGGCCAGCCGGGAGCATTTGGCTTCCCGTGAGGCTTAGGGCCAGCTCTTTGAGAGATTTTCCGAGGTGGGTGTCACCTGCTATCCCCTGGAGTTCGGCTACTTTCCTTGCAAGAACCTTGCCCTTTGTTTTTCCCCGGCAAAGGGGTGGGGTGGTGGTGGTGGTGGTGGTGGTGGGAGTGGGGTGAGAATTCTGCCAAACCATGCACCTTTTCTTGTTTTCTGCTGCTTTGTGCAGTGTTTTTTCTTGGGGGTTGGAGCAATTTGTTCTGAGTTGATGTGGCTTGCTCTTGACTTGGCGCTTTGGGTTGGACATGGGGCAACCGAGCAGCGCCGAAAGCCTGGTTCAATGGTTCTGCCCATAGGTGTCCTTTTGATTGGTTAGTTTGGTTAGAAATGGATGGGTTGCACTGGTATAGATTCGTGTTATGCCATCCATTTTCCAGGGACACCTATCGATTTGTCCAAAAGGGTCACCTAATGCAAACCACCAAAAAACCACGTGAGTGGAGGCAAACACCTATCTACTTTTCCAACATCATCCATGCAAACCACTACAAAACCGCGTGAGTGGAACCAACACCCCATCTACTTTTCCAACATCATCTATGCAAACCACTCTAAAGACAAGTGAGTAGTCCAAGAACCCCCGGGTCTTGGGGCCGCGCGCGTCTCGTTTCCGTCCGAGGAACGACATCGCAACGGCTGCCCGGCTGGCTGCGGAGGGGACCCCACCGCATGGCGCAGCCTCTGCAGAGGCGGCCTGGGACCGTTGCCGCGGGCGGTTTTGTTGGGCTTCGACATCTGATGGGTCAAAAAATTGCACCACCAGGACATGGGCCGTAGCAAGCCATTTTGGGGTTGCCCGTGCCTGTCTCACTTCCTGAGTTCCTGGAGTTTAAGCTTTTTGGGTGACCATTTTACTGGCAAATAGCAAGTTTGGTTACTTTTCTTGGCCAGTCCACTCAGGAAGTGAGACACACCTCGGAGTTTCTTGTTTTTTCCGCCTTTTGTGGCGGTTTTAAGCATCGCCATTTGGCCCAGTTTGAAGTAAGTGGCATTTTGGTTGGGTGATGGTTGGGTGATGTTGGAAGCTTTTCTGGTTTGGCCAGTTGTTTGTACGGTTTTGCTTAGTGGTGCATGGTGTTTGGTTTTGATGTTGTATTCACTCCGCTTGATTGTCGTTGGCTCTTTCATCGGATTGGACGTTCGGCTTGCAGGCTCGCTTGCACCACCCATCGACAACCCGCACCTTTTGCTGATTGATTCTGGGGTTTGGGATAGACGATACAAACATGATCAGAACCAGGAAATATGGTTCTCTATAGTATTATAGCCAAGATAGCCATATGTCCGCTGTTCCGCTGGTTGCTTGTTTGACATTGTTGCTTCCTTCCTGTGGTAGCTTTCCCGCTCTTTCCGAGGGACCCTCCTTTCTGGACAACCACCAAGAACCCACAGATCAAAACCAGCTGGAATAGGATTCAACAGAAAAGGAACAACCGCGCAGATCACAGGACACGCGTACGAAGGCATCCTTTGCAAGGCCTCTTTTTTGGCCCGCCCCTTTGTTGTCCGTGCCAATGCACCAATGACAGGGCAGCAGGCCATGTGCCACGTACCATTCGGTTCCTTTCAGATCACAGGATGTTCTTTTTTTGTCAGATGGTGTCCACTACCTCCAAACCTCTATGCCCAAGGGACATGTGGGGTATATAACCGCTATACAAAGACTAGGGGGTATCTTTGGACAGTAGCAGTAGATTTTCCATTGGACCCACAAAAAGTTAAACTTTTGCAGACGGGTCAAGAGCAAGCAAGTAGCAGGTTGGGGGTGGTGGTAACCCTCGCTTTTCCCGCACGGGCAACCGCTAGAAATGATGTTTGTTTCTGAAACTGACCCGCAGACCTTGGGCGGCCCAGTTGCTTATTCAATCATGGCAATCCATTAGGCCAAACTGTGGCCACGGTTTCTTTGTGGTTTGCCAAGCCAACCAAAAGGCGGTACTCCCCAGAGAAAAGGAAACCATGTTGGGAACACCCGTCCACCATCTAAACTAGTTTCCAAGCACCAATGGGGAATCAACCATAAATTCTTTTTGGCCCAGACTGTCCCTCCTTTGTCGATTTCCCCCCCCCCCCCCCAACAGTGCAGCTTTTGTGTTGCAACAGCAGGGCGGGGGTGTTTGTTGGTACAAGTCAGTTTTGTCCCTAAAAAACATATACTAGCAGGGCTATTTGGTTTTAAACACAACCTCTCTTTTTTTACAACCAACTACAATAACAACACTGAACAAAGCAACCGGACCACGGCTTTTAATATTAAGAAGCAACCAAACCACCCCCCACCATTTTTATGGATGCAAACCCAAACGTCAGGAAATCCTTACTTGGTGACTTAAAATGGTGGTTTGGGGATTTGAACCAGTTCTTGTAGAGGCCAGATAGGAAACCACCTAGATGGGAAACCACCCCTTCGCCACCAAGTCACCAATCCAAACCACCAACAAAGGGGGGAATCCGCCACGGTTTCCACTATGCTTCAAAAGACCCACCAAATACCCAAATACCGTTCCCCACCGTTCCCCACCGTTCTCCCACCGTAACCCTCACCGTTTTGCTGGATATGAAACCCCCAAATCCCCCCAAATCCCCCCCCCCCCAACCGTTTTGGACACAAAACCCCCAACGAGCGGCTCCGCCTTTTGCGCGTCGATGCGTTTTGGACACCAAACCCACCAGCTCCGCCGCCTTCGGCCCCAGAGGCGGCGGTGTACCACGCCTACGCGGAGCTGCTGCGCCGCGTGGGGCGGACGAGTCACGTGGCCGCGCCGACGGCGCGGCACTGGTGCGGGGGGCCGCAGCTGCTGGGCCCGGCGGCCGGGGAACGCCCGGGGGCGGGGGGGGGTGTCGAAAGGTGGATAGGAAAGGCAGCCGGGTTGCCATGGCATTTTGCTGAAACCAAGTTTTTTTTGTGTGTGTGTGTGTGTGTTTTTTTTTGGGGGAGTCTCCCTTGTTTTTTTAATGGGAAAGTCTCCCTGAAAGAAACTTAGTTTGTTTTGTTTAAAACAAAAGAGATCCGCTGTTGGTTTTAAAGGGGATCTATCACTAGGTGGAGATGTGTTTGCTTTTCCCAGGGGACTTGAGCACATGGAAGGAACCCAATCTGGGGTGAGTCTCAATTCGCAGTGACTTGACTGGGGTGAGTATGAGGCTGGCCATAGTTTATGAATGGTGACGAGCATCGCTGGCTCTGTCCACTGAGATTCGCACGAGTAAGAGCTGATTCGGGAGCGGGAGAACTCTAGGGAACCTGGTGTTGCCTGGGCATCGTTGGCTGCTGAATCACTAAGATGGATGAGCCTTGGTCAGAAGAACATGGAGTAGCCAGTCAGTGAACTTACAGTTGTAGTGTTGAACATTCTGGCAAGTACAGCCAGCTGCCCTGGAAAGCGGAATTGGCCAGATTTTCCTGAAAACCAATCACCCTTCCGCGAAACAAAAGACCAAATTCTGGGGCACTGAGGTCAGGCCCGTGATTCCACGTGATTCCTTTTTTTTTTCCGCAGGCATTCCACGTGATTCCTTTTTTTTTCTCCGAGGGCAAGTTTTCTCTACGGGTCTGTGGGGGTCTTTAGAACAGGACACCCCCCAAAGGTTCGTCTTTGGCCTCTCGGAAGCCCCATGGCTTCTGTTTGCAGGTGTACACCAGTCACCCCTTCTTTCCTCGACCCCGACATCCCACACGCACGTCTTCACCAGTGGCAATGGTTCCAGTTTGTTTTTTTTAGGGTGCCCCTACCAACTATATATATATATACACGTATATTATATATATAATATCCATAATATGGACGTATACATTGCGGCCGCTGCGCGGGTACCACTTTTTCACCCGCAGACGAAGACAAATTACGAAGACAAATTCAGCAATAGAACAATGCACAGAAAGAAAAAGCAGCGAAAACGAACTACCCCCCCTCAAAAACGAATCCGAAGACGAACTTGTCCGAAGACGAATTCCCACCTGAAGACGAATTACCCCCCGAAGACGATTGTCCGAAGACAATGACGAATTCCCACTTGAAGACGACTTACCCCGAAGACGAATTCCCAAGACGAATTGTCCGAAGACGAACTCCCACCCGAAGACAAATTCCCCCCGAAGACGAATTCCAAAGACGAATTGTCCGAAGACAAGTCCCCACCCGACGACAATTTCCCCCCGTGAAGACGAATTGCGCGAAGGCGAATTGCCCCTCGAAGACGAATTGCAAGGATGAAGCTCACGCTTTTGAACACAAGTAAGGATTTCAATCGTGAGCAAGGATCGAGTTGTGAAACGAAGAGGGGGGCTTGAAGCAAAAAGGCAAAATTGGCCAAATTCTAGGAGGACTTGAAATGGAAGGTGAAGGGGTTTAACTTGACTGAAGTAGAAGGACCTGAAACGGACAGGAGGATTCGATGCGAAAGGCGGGCTTCAAACAAAAAGGAAGAATTGAATCGAAAGGAAAGCTTAAAGAGGAAGGGCGAAAAGCAAGACTCGAGACGGAATGGAACACTGGACCCCAGACTGGAAACGAAGGAAAGGCTTGAAGCAAGAGAAGGACTTGAAGGGTTGACACGAAAGCACATCCTGCGCACAAATGGAGTTGAAGCAAAAAGGAGGGCTAAAACGAAAAGAAGGGTCTAAACAAGGAAAGGGGCTTGACGCGAAAAGAAGGACTTGCGACGGAAAGGAGGACTTGCAACGAAAAGAAGGATTGGCTGCGAAAAGAAGGACTTGAAACAGCAACGTCGACTAAAACGCAAGAAGGCACGGCTGCCTTTTTGTATTGACTGTCTTGTCGCAGTAGGTAGATGCAGGCTTTTGTTTCACGGCCAGTCACCCGCTCAAGCAGTTGTCCCAAAAAAGAGATAGATGCGTAACCGGGTATGTCGCAACAAGGAAGCCGTAGGAAGCCGACAAGCATCCACCAGCAGCAGGAAAGAAAACAGAAAACGCAACAGCTTTACCGAGTTTTTAGAGCCGAGTCAGTTGCCTATTGGGCGCTGGCGCTACGAAGCGCGCAGTCAAAAAGGCAATGAAGATGCTCCACTGCGAGCCTCGTAAAGCAGGACTTGAGATGGAAAGGGCGGCTGGAAGAGCGAGAAGGCGTCGCTGCATTCTCGCACTGCGCTTTGTCGCAGTCGGTAGGCCAAGGCTTCTTGGACTTGGCGCCGCGAAGGCTTGGCTGGCGTTGGCAGGGCGTAGGCGCATGAAGTGATCAGAGTCCAGGCAGCAACACAAGCTGCCCTTCCCACAGTTGTTCACTCCGCAACGAAGCCCTTTGCTCAGTGGCCCCTTTGCCCTTTGGTAAACCATCCGGGCAACGCGTTGTCGAGGAATAATGTTTCGTCGACTCACAATGCGTCACCGGTGTGTGATGCAACGTCATGTCAAGGGGTATATTGTGTTCAGCCAGCTCTCCGTCGCAATGCATTGCCGCCGGGTAATGCGGCGTCAACGGAGAATGTGTTGTCAACAAAAGTGTTGTCGCGATGCATCGCCGCTGGGTATTGTGTAGTCAGAAGGTGCGGTGTCGCCGTCTGGTATGTTGTGATAGTGCGTGGCCACCTGTGTAGTCAGACGTAGTGTCGTCAACCAATGTGTCGTCACAATGTGTCGCCGCTGGAGGTTTGGGTTGTCAGGCATTGGAATGCATCGCCAGCGCCAGAGCGAATAGTCACACCCAACCGGTGGGCGCTGTGTATACGGAATATATAGTACTTCTTTAAATATATGTCTAATATCCATACCCAACCTGCGGGCGCCCTGTATACTGAATATAACACTTTTATAGACTTATTTCAACCATCCATATATACAAGCAAAATATGGATATATATATATATGCACACAAAGGTCTTACAGAGAAACCAAAGGGCGGGTTATGCGCCGTGCGCCATTTTTTGCCCGCAGGTGGTGCTTTGGCCCAGCTTCGCCCCCAGCTGCGCCGAGCTGCGGAGGCGGCTCGGAGAGGTAGTGCTGGAAGAGGGCAGCACTTTGGAGGCTCGTTTGGATTCTGTCGAGTCGTTTGGGGTTGGACGCCCGGGTTTTTGGCTTCGGCTTTCCGCTCGGTTTCCCTGTAAAACTAGAAAAGGGGTGCCAACTCCAAAGTTCCTGGACGTCTTCTTTTTTGGGTTGGGGGTGGCATGTTTTGAAGTTTGGCGATTTTTTTGGGGAAGTGAGTGGTGGGTTTCCTCTCTGTTTCCCTGTGCCACAAAGAAAGAGGTACCCGTGCCCTCAAAAACAACAAAGAATGTCAATCCCTTGGCAATTTGAATAGAGACTGAATTGGAGTCAACAAGGAACTGCTCATTCCGAATCCTGGAAGTTTGAGACCCTTGCCAAGCAATGCTTTGCAATTGGAGTTTGGATAGAATTTAATAAGGACATAATCCAATCAGAATTCCTATTTTAGATTAGCATTTAGGTAAGAATTGTTCTGTTTCAATTAAAATCTACACAGGACGTCTTTTCCAATACAGAGGCATTTGAAAATCAGCTAACTTTGAGACACAATGTCTTCGAAGCAAGTTCAACTCGAAATTCCATATTTCAAGCAGGAAGTCGAAGTAGGAATTATTTCAAAAGAAAAACGTCCACTGGATCAGCCCTGCACACAACCAAAACCCGCAAACAACCCGAGAAAGAACAAACACCTTAACCCCAAAACAAAATCAGCAATACACCACTCTCCCCGAACTACCGTGAGTGGCTACCTCTTGAAGTTTCTGAGGAACGTGTTTTTTTTTGTTGTTGTTTTTTTGTTTTGTTTCGGTTGATGTTCTGTTCAGGGACGGGGTCTCTTTCAGAGGTTTCACGTTTGTTTTCGGCTGGTCAATTGCTGGTCAATGGCACGCGGTTGACATGTGGGCCCAGCCGTCATCCTGGTCTCAGTGACAATTTGCATGAGCGGAACGCTGCAAGCCAAGCCACAGCAGCACCAATCCATGCACAGCATGGAGCAACCTGATGTAAGCCACGAACCCGAATGCAGAAGAATTGCCCAACCCACCTATTTGAACTAGCATCCATTCATGACAAGTGCACTTCTTGAGCTACTTTCGTGCTCGTAGGTTGCAGCTTTTTTTTGACGCCTGTCACGAAAGCCAAAGGTGAGCCGTTTACGAGGCATATCCAAAGTTGGACTGTGGCGCCAGGTGGTTTTTTTAAGACGCCTTCGGCTTGCGAAAGCACGCCGATGCTACGACCAGGCCAACAAAAACCGACCGCTCGTGCAAACAAATTGCGAAAGCGCGCCTGCCAAGCAAAACGCTCAAAGCGATCGGCCCTGGTTTCACCGTGTAGAATGGCACGGCGATGCAAACGGGCGCCGCAGCGAAACGAGGCGCCGAACACGCGCTGGCCCCCAGAGCCCTTTTTTGCGCATTCGGGAAACACTGGTGTGATTTTTGACGGTACTCTTTGCAAGTTGGCTCAAAGGAACCGAAAGGAACACCATATTGTGGGGAGGCCCCTATTCAACCCACCCTTTCCCAGGAGATCAAACAAGCTGGGTGAAAAGGTGCTTCCTGGTTTCACTCTGAAACTGTCTTGAGGGTGTCAAGCAAGCAGAAGCCGACGAGACCTGCTGTTTTTAAAGCGTGAGCTTTGGCAAAACTCCCGGCTATGCTTGATTTGGGCGGGACATGGGGGAACTCGCTTTCTCACAAGACCAGATGACTCACACTTCACCTTGGCCATGTTAGTAGGTGGTTTGGTTCCTACCTGGTTCAATTGGGGGGTTGTAGAAAAGCCAACAAACAAAGAAGAAAAAACACATTTTCCATGTTTCGAGCGTGGGTGAAACGGGAGGTCCGTGGCGACGTGCACCTGGGCCGCCTGACGCTAGCTGGGGCTCTGCGGGTGGTAGCAGGCGAGGGGGCGACGCTCCATGTGCCGCAGCTGGAGGCTGGACGTCTCGGCGGAATTTTGGGGACCGTAGCATGGTTGCTGTTGGGAAACATTTTGACATGTTTGCTTATTGCGGTTTAGTGGTTGAAATTCAAAACCACTTGACTGCTAGAATTTGAAGCTTTTTGCTCCCCTTCCAACGTCAACCAAGGTAGTCAGGAAAATGGTTCGACTTTTTGTTTTACCAATCCACTCAGGACGTAAACCATTGCAGAAGTTGCAGCTTAGCACATAGTTGTGAGAGATCTGGCTCTAGGTTGCCAATCATCACGGTTGCTGTTGAAGATGACAATTTGCAACCAACACTTTCTCACTCAAAAAAGCATGTGAAACAGCAAACTTATACACAATGCGTATATATATATATATGCATGTATGCATATATATATATATGCTTACCCCCTTTGTCTTTGAAATAAGAGGTTTTGCATAGTTTGTATGTAGAAAGGCGGCCCTGGCGGGGCATGTTCCTATATACATACATGTAAGAATACATATATATATATATATATGTACAAATTCAAATTGGTATGTATGCACGGAGCTCATCCGTTGCAGGGTCGTTTGCTGCCGGGCAGGGAGCTTGTCCTTGGCCTTGGCTCGGAGGTCCGCAACCGGGGCGGCGAGTTCGTGGCCTTGACGGAGGCGGAGCAGGCGGGCGAGGCGCCGGAGGAGCTCCGAATCCGCGGCTACAGGCGCGGGGGAGATGGGAGGTGGGGGGAGGTGGGGGGTGGGTGGGGGTGGGTGGGGCGGGGGTGAGGTGGGGGTGGGGGTGAGGTGGGGGTGGGGGTGAAGTGGGGGGTGAGGTTTGGGGGTGAGGTGGAGGTGGGGGGCGAGGTGGGGGTGAGGTGGAGGTGGGGGTGAGGTGGAGGTGGGGGTGAGGTGGAGGGGGCGAGGTGGCGGGCAGCATTTTGGACTTTCAGCCGTGGATTTGATTTCCTTCGGCCGTGGAAGGGTGTTCCTTGTCTTTGGTTCCTCTCGTGTTTTGCTCACTCCGGACGTTTCTCGAAATCGGGGACCACTTTTTTGGCCTCCGGTTTCGGAGGCCAGCCACGAAGAAGCAAACACCGGTTTAGGGTTTTTCCCATGAGAAACACCCGGTTCACCTTTCCCGAACTGCCCCTTCGTCAAGCTGAAGAGGTATGTGCTGCACGAGGTGGAGGAGATCAAGGTGTCGGAGCCGGGGATCTACACATATGCGGATGGCACCCTCACGAGGAGCTGAGTGCCCACGGCGCAAAGAAAAGGAGCTCGCAGACCGCCCACAGACGCGCATAGGTTTCATCGCTGGCTTTCCAGCTTGCGACAATAAATCGCACGCCCCTGCAACATGCGTGTTTCCTGTTGAGTCCTTTGAAAGAATCCGAAAAGAGGCTTCACGGTTTGTTGGAACCACCTACTCGGTTTGACGCACCACGGCGCTGGCGGTGACGGGCACCTTGTGCGGAGCTTGAGTCTTGCTGCACTTCCGCGGAAACGTGGCCTGTTGACCAAGCGAACGGTTTCGGTGCCCACAAAGGAGGTTAAACAACAGGTGCGGAGTTGGGAAAAAAACCGCTGGGTTTCATTTGTGTTCCGCAGCTTGCAGGCTCGCCCTCTGTCGGAATTCATGTAGTTTTTTTCCGCCGATGCTCCGGGCTTGCCTGGTTTTTCCGTTCCTCACCGAGGGGCAGAAGGGCATTGGCAGTCTGAATGATCCTTGCGACTGCATGCAACATCACGACTTCTGGGTCGCCTCCCGCAACTCGGCGGCCTTCCCGGGCAGATATTTTTGAGGTGTGGCCGGAGGTTTGCCATATTTCAGCTCCATTCGGAAGACGCACCATTTGGGCGGGAGTTTTTCAACACACATATTTTGGGCAGAGGCTTGGGGCCAATTTGGGAGCAGAGGGTGTGAAAATTGGAGACTTGGGGCTTGGCAATTTGGGAGCATGAGTTTTGGACAACAAAGATTTGCGCTGGATACTTGGGGCCTGCCGATTACGTGGCGCATCTTTTTCAAGCACAGATTTTGGGTGGAGACTTGAGGCTTGCCAATTTGGGACCAGAGGTTTTGGAAAGCAGCGGTTTGTGCTGGAGACTTGGGGCCTGGCAATTTCGGGCGCAGGAGTTTTGGAAAATGCTGGAAATTTGATGCCTGGCAATTTTTGGGGATTGAGTTTTTGGCAGCAAAGATGTATGTTGGGCAATTTGGGGCAAGAGTTATTGAAAGCAGGCTGCGCTGGTAGCGCTTGAGGGCTGGTTGCGCGAGCTAAAGAGCACTGGTCACCTCTAGATCAAAGCGTAGACAGACTTTTCGAGAATCCTCCCGAAGATGTTGCCCACTTGTCAAGGGCTCCCAAAATATCCCTCTAGCTGGCCGGAACGGAGCTAAGGAGCTGGTATCCAAATTCGCCTTTCAAGAGGGAGCCTTTCGGAGCTAAGAATTCTCTAAGGACCTGGTCACTAAGGCCTTCAGCTTGTAGTGTCCCTTCCATGTCGCACTCAGCGACCCCCTCACCTAGCACTTGGTCAACTGAGGCCAGTTTATGAATCCGATGTTTGAGGTTTGGGTTCTACACGCACCTAAGGAAAGGCCCTAGTGGAGATCTTTTGGACCCCCGGCTATCCCCTGCGCGCCTTGGATCCCACGGACCACCTGCACTTCTGGACCCGGCAGCAGTCCTGCATGTACTCCCCGGAGAACGAGGAGTCTCATCGGCCCACAGCGCTATCGGACTGCATCCCCGGAGCCTCGATTTTTTTTGAGTTTTTGGACGACGTGGGGTCTGTCTTGAGAAAGATGAAGGCTCCATTTTGTTTCACCTCCAGTTTTCGGCGTTGAGCAAAAATCCAGGCTTCATTTTGGTGCTTCAGCCACCTCCAGTCTTCGGTGTGCCTAAGGCATCATATCATTTTTTGGTGGTTTTCCAAATGGTCGTCCCATCCCATGTAATTATCACGAACTTTTTTTTTAATCAACCCCCAGATTGATGCTTCATTTTGGTGCTCATTTTGGTGCTTGCACCTCCAGTTTTCGGCCGTAGGACAAAAACACCTAGAAAAACACCAGCCCTAGGGAACCAGCCCCAGGGGGAAAACGACACCTCTACCAAAAGCTCGAGGTTTCATTTTGGTGCTTCAACCACCTCCACTCTTCGCCGCTTTTGACCAAGATCAAGGCTTCATTTTGGTGCTTCCAGCTCCAGATTTTTGTCCGCCCTTTTTCGACCTGAAACAAATTCTTGGAGGCTTCATTTTGTGGTTTCAACCACCTCCAGTTTTCGGTGTGCCTAAGGTTTCATATCATCTTCTTGGTGGTTTTCCTCCTGTTTTTTTGGCCAAGATCGAGGCTTCCTCTTGGTGCACATCGTCTGCATGCAGCGGCACGTGGCCAAGCGGAACCCCGAGCGCGCCCTGGACTTCGCCAATGAGTTGGCGCGGCTGCTGCCTTTCGGGGCCGGGTGCCTGGACCGTGCAGACGGCTGGCCCATCACCTCCCAGCAGGCGAAGCCGGAAACGTCGAGCCTCGGGTTTCCTTTCATGGCTTCTCCTTTCTTTTTTTTGGGCCACCTCGAATTTTGTTCGGTCAGTTTTCAAGAGCAAAACCACTAAGAAACACCTCCCAAGAGAGGCTTTGATCGATGTCCGGTTCCAACTCTTGGGATCTCTTAAGATTCATAGCCATGGGCTGTCCTCTTTTTCGGGCTGCCTCTTTTCTTGTGTGGCTCGATAGTGAATCGATCTTAAGAGGACTTCAGAGTTGGAACCATCCCAAAAGTGGTTGGTGGTTGCCTGATGTTACCGAAAACATCCCCACCGAAATCATGTCCATTTCGGGTCCCTATTTGACACTCATGCCCATATCCAGAGAGGAAAGAGGAAACCAACCATTTTTTGGGACCTCGTCTGGGACGAATTTCTATGGTTTGTAACCCTGGCTCTAACAAACAGAACGGGGACTTACGGGACTTACAACCATGGGTTTGGTAGCTTATAGCCACGGTTGCTGGCCACTTCGCAATTCGTCCAGACCATCTAAGCAGGTGCCATGTAACAGCGAGCTCTCGGAGAGGTGAGGGGTGAACAACCAAACATCTAGATTACGCCAACCAGGGCTTGCCCTATTGAAACTAAACCAAGCAAAACAGGGCTAGAGCCTGCCCTACTGTGATGCACAAAATCCGTTCGCACCACGAAATGAAACCATGGTTGAAACCATTGTTCATTGGTATTTACAGGGGAATCGACTCATTTCAGGCTTTAACGGTGGTGCCGAATCGAAGGATTTCGCAGCCATCCACAGGATTTCTTGCTGGTGCTTGCTGGGCTGTGGGAACGAACCAAACCGATCTCGCAGCAGCAAGAATGTATGTTGAGCATTGGGTGTTCACCAAGACGCTGAGATTTTATAGGGCAAGCCTTGCTTGGCTTGATTTAGATGTTTGGTTGTTCACCCCTTCTAGTGGAAGCCCCCAATTTCAGCCTCCCTCCAATTGGTGGTTTGGGGCCGAATCGGTGGTTTGGTGGTGAAAGGGAGGGGTGTCCCATTTACCATTCAGCGCTTCCCGCTTCCCTTTAAAACCACAAAAAGAAAAGAGGTGCCCGAAAAAGAGGACAACGAACCACAGTATTTCGAGTCCCATCACACCGTGGCTTTTGAATTCCAGAGACAGGGCCCCTTTGTGTTGCAAACTAAACCAAAGGGGCCAACCAGGGCTTGCCATAGGTGTTTTTTGTAGGTGAGCCTGGCTAAAAATCGATGGGTTCCACTGGTTTAGATGGGTTTTGTTCCAACCAGTGCCATCTATGTTTTGCAAAAGGCCACCTATCATGGTTGTTGTTGGGAATTTTACCATTTTTGCTTATTGTGGTTTAGTGGTTGAAATCCCCACTTAACTGGTAAAAATCTCAAAAATGCTCCCCTTCCAACGTCAACCAAGCTTTGGTCGCTGAGTCGTCGATGGTTCATTCTTGGGATGGACGAGGCCCTCAATCACCCACAACAAAAAGCGGGTGAACCACGAAGGCTCTTTTGGTCGCTGGAATGCTTGGTGCAAGTGTCCTGAATTCCAGCCGCAGGTCTTGGGCTACTACCGCCGCTTCCGCCGCGCCTTTGCCGCGGGCCCCAACCGCGGCGCGGCCACAGGCGACGCGGAGGCGCGCCGAAGTTGCGCCACGGAGCGGGAGGCGAAGGAGGAGACGCGGCCGGGCGGAGAGAAGGGACGCTCCGAGGGAAACAGGGTCCAGGGTGTGTGTGTGTGTGTGTGTGTGTATGTGTGTGTGTGTGTGTGTGTGTGTGTGTGTGTGTGTGTGTGTGTGTGTGTGTGTGTGTGTGTGTGTGTGTGTGTGTGTGTGTGTGTGTGTGTGTGTGTGTGTGTGTGTGTGTGTGTGTGTGTGTGTGTGTGTGTGTGTGTGTGTGTGTGTGTGTGTGTGTGTGTGTGTGTGTGTGTGTGTGTGTGTGTGTGTGTGTGTGTGTGTGTGTGTGTGTGTGTGTGTGTGTGTGTGTGTGTGTGTGTGTGTGTGTGTGTGTGTGTGTGTGTGTGTGTGTGTGTGTGTGTGTGTGTGTGTGTGTGTGTGTGTGTGTGTGTGTGTGTGTGTGTGTGTGTGTGTGTGTGTGTGTGTGTGTGTGTGTGTGTGTGTGTGTGTGTGTGTGTGTGTGTGTGTGTGTGTGTGTTTTTGGCTTTTTTGCTTTGTTAGTGTTTCTTTGTTGGTTGTCTTTTTTGCTTTTTTGTTTTGGGGGGGAGGCGATGAGACAGGGGGGTTGGGGGTGCCCTTTTGGAGCTCGTTTCTGAAGGAAAACCAACGGGAAACCCCCCGCTTGTTTTTGCTTTCTTTTTTTGGGTACCCATTTTGGTTTGTGGTTGGAACCTGAACAGGGAATCCTCAAAAAGCACACATGAAAACGTGGTTCCCTAGGATGGTTCGTGTTGGTATCCCACATTTTTCAGCTTCTTTCTAATTGGTGGTTTGGAGCCCGGTGGTGTTTGTGTCCTTTACACCTTTTTAGCTGGTTTTAGTGGTTGGGTGTCCCATTCAACCCATAAGTTGTACATTTCTCGGTGGTTTGTGTGGCCACTTTTGTAGTTGGTTTTGTGGTGTGTCCAGTTCACCCACAAGTTAAGAAGCCTTTTCGCAGGGGGATCCGCAGCAAAAGGCCCAGCCAAAGCGTTGCCCAAAGCCGCCGGCGGTGGCCCACGTCGCAGGAGACCACCTCGGAGTGGCCCACGTCGCTGCTGCAGGAGAGACGTCTAGACGTCTGACGCCAGTCAGGTTCCATCCATAGGTCCGGAGGGCATAGCAAGAGCGGAATCATCTTAGTGGTTGGATTTCCATTGAAGAATGTTCAGGGTTTTTGAGCCATGTCCATTTTGTTTTGGAACGTTTCGGAATCATCTTAGTGGTTGGGTTTCCATGTACCCCACTGAAAGTTAAACTTTTAGCAGATCTGAGGGCAGCCCAGAGTGGAGAGGGCCTAGTTTCCGAGCCAAGTTTGGTTTCAATGGAAACCACCAGCAAATTGGATCAACTTCTGAAGGGGAAATCAGTGACCGTCATTGAACGACAACTTTGGTGCATTTTGCCAAGGGCTGTTAGGACTGAATAACTTTTTGCCAACGAATGGGTTTTCCACTAAACCACTAAAAGTTAAACTTTTAGCGGGGGAGCAGAAAGCAACCGAGACAATAAATTTGCAGTTCTAGTGAAAGAGCGCTCTAAACGCTCAACATGAGATGGCGGATACCGCAAGCGTACAAATATATCCTAATTGATACGTGTTGCATAGTTTGCTGGGCACATCACAGCATGAACTCGCTGGCAGTTGGACGGGTTGGACAAGAATGACTTGACTCACCACCATCCTACTTAGATATTTGGACTCTGTTGACCCCCTTCGATCAGAGGGAGCAATCTGCCCCACAAAGCCTCGTGGCAATGCAACTGGTACACGGAAATCACTTCGCCTCGTAGGGAAAATGAGGGACTGGCCTTCGACACTTTGGACTCTTTTGGGGTTGCCATACTTGTTCCACTAACGTGTCCTGGTTCAGACGCTCGTAGTTTGAAGACGGAGTTGCATCAACCTCCCGGCGACTGGTTTCTGCAAGGCTCACTCCCTGAGTTCATGCACGTTAAACTTTTGGGAAGACAATTTTAGTGGCAAACAAACAGTTTGGACTCTTTTCTTTCATTTGCTTAAGAGTTTTTGTTTTTGTTGACCTGTTGGTTTTAAAGGGAATCGATCACTAGTGGATATATTTTATGTTTTTCCAGGGGTTTGCAAGCAAATGGAAGTTTTGGCCAGTCCACTCGGGAAATGAGAAGGACCTCAGCTCTTTGGTGGTTCGAACAGATTCCATGCACGCGAACATTGGCACTGCCGACTTTGGATTCGACGGTTTTGTGAAGGGGCAGACCATGACGTGATCCAAGTAGATGTGCTCCCGGTGTGATTTGGTTTTGGCCCAGCAAATGTTTGGATCGCATGGATGATGTAGTGTTGGCGACCCTGACATGGTGCCTTTCTATTTGGTCGCCTTTTTCGTGCACAGGTGCAGGGACGTCTCCCCAGGTCAACCAACTCGGAGTCCAAAAAGAGCCTCCGATTCCCAAACAGGAGCTTCCTCTTTTTGCTTGAGGGTTTCGTGGCTGGGCTTCCATCTCACCCACGAAGAGTAAAATAGCTTTTAGCAGGGCATCCTCCAACGGGCAGCCCAGTAGATCTAGAAGGTGGTTTGGATGGTAATTTCGTGGAATTCGTTTGTTCTTCCCCCGGTTGGTTCTCTTTTAGTACTCTCCCACAAACCGTTTTGTAGAGCCCAGCAGAAACCACCGGGTATTCGCAACTCGTTTTTGGGCGCCCAGGAGATGTTCTGGCAGGCTGCTGTTCACCAGTTCACCGCTGAGTGTTTCTCAAAGTGGCGACCCCCCTTTTGGTTGGTACCCTCCCACCAATTCGCGGGGAACCTGACGTCCCAAAGGAAAATGGTCTGCCTGTCAGGTGCCATGTCAATGGTTGGGAAGGTATAAAAAACGAGAAACCAGCCATTTTAGGGCAACTGAACCCCCTCAGATGAGCTTACATGGGGAGCTGAGAGACTGCTTCTTGTTCTCACCCAATTGGGTTGACGGTGCGGTCCCTGTTTGCAAAGGAAGCAGTGATTTTGCGAAGTGTCCACTTTCGAATGCCGGGGTGTAAGAGTCGCAGCAGTTGTTCGATTCCTTTGGTCGGCGCTTTCCATGACCTCCGCAGCTTCCCGCTGAATCCCAAAGTTGCGATTCCTTGAGTCACAAACTTGCTGGTTCGCGATAGCTACGGAATGACAACGAGTCCGGGTGTTGGGAATGAGCCGTTTGGGGATTCCCTTAAAGGCAACCACAAGTTTCCATTTGCTTAAGAATATTTCTTATTTTCCCCTGTTGGTTTTAAAGGGAATCTATCCCTACTGGAATTATTGTTTGTATTTTTTCCAGAGGCAAGGGTTTGCTTAATCTCGGGGGCATTCCATTTCTCATTCCCTGCCGATCGCAGCAGCAAGTGGAAGCACCCGAGCTAGTGCGGCTAGTGCCAGGCTGGGCAAGGTGACGACGCAAGGCCCAGCCTGCTCGCAGCAGCTCGGTCATTTGGGTGTTGTTTGATACCGTGATACCTTTTTGAAATGGCTGTGGGTCAAAAGCAATGGGATCCCATTTCGGGGCAGGTGCACCACCCATGTTAGTCTATTTTAGTGGGGATTGGGATGTTCACTGGGGGTACGGGGATTTTGACCCATGGCCAAATGAATTGATACTGTGAACCCGAAATGAAACCGAGAAGCTGAAGGGAAGCCGAAGCCTGGCAACTTTTTTGATGCTCCAATTTTGATCGAGTGAAACCAAGTGGACACTGTGCGGCATCCATTTTGTGAGTGTTTCGCATTCCATGTGGCCGCCCCCCAAACGGCCGCGGTTCCCTTGTGGTTCCCTTTCAAATAAACCACAACTCCTCCAAGCATACTTTCGATTTTTGGGTAGACGATGTCAACAATGAACCTGCCAAATCCTTTTTGGTGGTTTTCCTGATGGTCATCCCACGTTTACCGGACCTTTTGAACAACCCCCATATCAAGTTTTAGCACGTCCTTTGGTCTAACGATCACCGATCTTGAGGATCTAGGGTAGAGTATAAGGAACTCGGAAGGCCTCGGGGTAGACTAAGATGAATGTGGAACAGAGTCAGAACATATTATCTTTGGTGCATTGTGCTTGGATGTTAGGACTTCAACTTTTGGCCAACGAATGGTTTCCGCATTGAACCACTAAAGGTTGAACTGTTTTCAGGGGAGCAGAAAGCACCAAGTAATAAGGGACCCTTTGGTGGACATCATTTAGGTGGGGATTCATGTCCACCAATCACTTTTGAGGTGGTTCCCTATTCAAATTCATGGCTATATGAATGTGGAACAGAGTCAGAACATTTTTATGTTCCATATCCAGATGTGCGACTTCAAGCTGCCGCAGGCAGCTGGGCGAAGAGCCAGACGTTTGTCAGGAGCTCGGGGATTTTTTTGTCCGGCGCCGGCTCGGTGTGTCCTTTGGACCCGGCGGTGTGTTCCAAAAGACCGGGAGCCCCTGAAAACGGGTCCGATGGAGGAGGATGTGATGGATTGAGATGGAATTTGCTGAGAAGCTTCCATGGGGTTTTGCAAAATGGGCAGCGCATTCTCCAACCATTTCAGGACATCCCAGTTGCCCAGTGGCGCGCCCCTGGTTTCTGGAACGGGTTCCCCTTTAAACTCAAATAAATCTGAAGAATAATCGTTCGCCGATGCCTTTTGTTCTGGAAATTTACTGGGCATCTGAGCGACGCACTGTTCCCATTTGAATGTCTACACCCTCCTTTGCGCAGGGCCCCTTTTTTTGTTCTGGGGAAGCTAGCTCTAGCTGGATGAGTGCCTCATTCATTTTTCTTGGGCGGGGGGGACTCCCAAAACGGCGGGTGTTTCCCATAGTTTCCCCCTTTTTGTTGGTTTTTCCCTTGAAAGCAGACCAAGAAGGGTGCACTCAACAAAAATCAAACCACCCATATGGCCATGGGTCAAAATCCCCGTACCCCCAGTGAACATCCCAACCCCCATTGAATAGGCTCTAAAATGGGTGGTGCACCTATCCCAAAATGGGATCCCATTGGCTTTGAACCATGGCCATATGTTGCAGAGATCCACAGCCCCTCCCATGGAAGATCCCTATACCTGAGGTCCTGCAGGCACCTTCCCGCAGCAGGATGCTTGCTGGCTGCTGGGCAGAGTCGGCGCCAGCTGTCAGGCGCAAGAGATTCGAACGTCTGGACAGGGCTTTGAGAGCTACCGAAGAGGAAAGAGGTAAGATCTATAGTTGGGTATGGGTCAAAATGAAACCACCAGGAATTGGACCGCAGGTTTTTGTCAATTCCATTTACCAGGGCACGCCATTTTGAGGACATATTTTTGACCCACAGCCAGTTGTTCCCTTTGGTGTTCCCTTTGGATCGTCTTTTTCAGGTTCCGTGAAAAACAAGCAGGCTGTGAAGATTTCGGTAGGAGGCTTGGCCTTTGACCCACAGCAGAAAAAAGACCACCAGTGTGCGTCTGTGTGACCCGGGTTTTGCCTTTCTCCCAGGTTTGGCAAGGCGTCTTTGTTATGGGGTGTCCGGTCGGTGGGTTCGTGTCCGGTTCCACGAAGAATCATAAACTAGCTACGCCCACTTAAAACTTCATTTTAGAGACCCCAATCCAAGCAATCTCAAGCCAGCCCTCAACCAAACCCTAAACCAAGCATACTCCCACCCTAAACCAATCCTGAGCACACCGATCTTCGCCCTAAACCAGCACGAAACCAGCCCCAAACCAACCCTAAACCCACCCACAACCAACACTAAATCCCACCATAACGCATAGGCTGTGTTTGTGCGTGCTGAATCAGAGTACTGCAACTGTTCTGTTTGTTTGTTTGTTTGATTGTTTGTTTGATTGTTTGTTTGATTGTTTGTTTGTTTGTTTGTTTGTTTGCTTGCTTGCTTGCTTGCTTGCTTGTTTGTTTGTTTTGTTGGTTTGCTTGCTTGCTTGCTTGCTTGCTTGCTTGTTTTGTTGGTTTGCTTGCTTGCTTGTTTGTTTGTTTGTTTGTTTGTTTGTTTGTTTGTTTGTTTGTTTGTTTGTTTTGTTTGTTTGTTTGTTTGTTTGTTGGTTTGTTTTGTTTGTTTGTGTGTTTGTGTTTGGGGGCGTTTGTGGGGAGAAGGTGGTTGCAGGGAGCTGGCCAAGTTCTGTCCTGAATCGCAATGCCAGGAACCAGGAAGAGACCAGCTACCATAAGTTCACACTCCTGGGGCATTTGGCAACTGCCCTCTAGAAAATCCTGGAACTGGTTGCTGGTTTCAAAAAAGGCGTCCTTTTGTCTCAGAGAGGAGAAAAATCCCTCGAAGCCCGTTTTGGACAGGGGCTTATGCGTAGGCAAGGGAGTCTGCTTTTTGTTGCGTGTTTTGCAGTGGATATTTCTGGGTGTCGCACGCGCCACAGGAGGCTTGCGAAGTGCCTTGGCAGCAACGTGGTCGCCAGGGTCCGCGCTGTGGTTTTCCTGGATTGTCTGTTTCGCAAAGTCAGACCAGTGCCGCGCTGACCCAAGTCGCAGTGTCCCTGAGCTTATTCGGTTTCATGATCCCTCCATGGTTTTGGAAGACTGGTTTCCCCACTTCCACGGTGGGAGGGGCAAGTTTCCGCTCCAATCGGTTGTTTCACAATCAACATGGCAGTGCCCATTTTCAGTTGCGAAATTTCCTGGACAAGTTTCCCTCACTAGGTCCCCCAGAGTAGTGCCCTTTTACCCTTTTTTGGGGGAGGGTTCCCCCACCAAAATAGACTACAGAAAAAAGGCTACCCTTATTCTAACCTCTCTACTGGAGGACCTAGCTCATCTCGGACAAGCTGCGTTTTGTCCCAATGGAAGACGTCCTTTCGAGCCAGAGCCCAAGGAAGCAGCGATGCGTGTGAGACTCCGAGAGAAGACCAACGAGCCTGAGCCTTCGCTCAAGTTGTCGCCCGGCCCTGAGTGAGGCTTGCCGGTTGGAACCCCTTTTTTGGTTGGTATTGAAAGGGAGGCAACAGGAAACCCTTGCCATTTTAGGGGACAAGGTACTGTTTCTTAGGTGGTTCGCAACCAAAAGGCAGCCACCATTTGTGATAAGGGCCCCCTAATTTGACACGACACATACCTTTTTTTCTCGGCAGTTTGGTTTAACGATGAATGATTTCACGGCGATTTGTGGAATCCGTTTGGTCGTGTCTCTTTTGAGGTTGCCTCTTTAACGGTTGGTTTGAAGGGAAACCCAAGGAACAACAGCCACTCTTTTAAGACAACCCCATCAATTTGTCCAAACCACCCAAGCAACTTTGTTGGTCCATGGCACTGCATGAACACCATGTCTTCCTTCCAGGCGAACCCTCTGGCGCAAGACTGGCATGAAGCGGCTGATTCCATCTGCCTAACTCTTGAGACTTTTGGCCTCCGCGGTGATTGGGGCAGCTGGTGGAGAGCTCAAGGCGCTGGATTGGACTGTGAGCAGCTGAGGCCCGAGCAGTTTCCCGAGCGCAGAGCTTGGTGCAGTTGAGGATGTCGGTGCAGTCTCTCCTGCGAAAAGAAACAACTTGACTGCTAGTTATTGGGTTGGACCTTTAGACTTGAGCTTTTTGGGAAGTCAAGGGGTTTTCCATTAAACCCACAAAAGGTGCAACAGCAACCAAGACAAGTACTTCCCGGAAGGGTTGACCCATGTCATCAAGGCGGAACCACCATCCACTGCTTGGCCCGAGCGCTGTTTTTTCCAGTGTGTCAGCGTGTTTTTCCAGCAGGGCTCGTATGTACTTCTCCGGAACTGGGGGGCTGAACTTCTTCGCATTTGATTCTATAGCCTTGGCTTGATCGGGCGGACGGTCGCCGTCTTGATTGTCTCGGCTGCCGTGGGGTCATTGGCCGCAGAGCGCGTGATCAAACTGGCTGCCAGGTTGTACTTAATTTTGCGCTGGTTTGCAGCCTGAACTCGAGTTGGGCCTTTCGCCTGCGGCTCGCGATTTTTGTTGGTCGAGAGAATGCCTTGAGGCTGCATCGGTTTCGCGGCGGCTGTTTGCTCAGAAATTGGACGAGAAAAAACATGGTCCAATCAAGAGCAGGTGCAACCTATTTGGGTTCGGTCAAATTTCAGCCCCTCAATTTCTTGGACTATACAATGAATTCTGATACAGTGCTTGCGCTGAACTTACATTGGGTCAACATATCTAGGGGAACTCAGTTTTCCACAAACAACTAGGGGACTTACTCACAGTGTTTATGTTCGGCAGGGGAGGTGTAATCTTTGATTATGGCTGCCTGCTGCCTCGCGCGCATGGTAAACAGCGCCGCTTGTCGCAGTTAACCTCAGAGCACAGATCCCCCGTGTCAATGGGCACCGTCTTCATCGCTTGCCTTCTGGATGGTGCGCTGTTTTGGCGCCCCCTGTGGCATTGCTGTCAAGCGTGTGCCATCAGAGGATCCGACCCCAAGGCTGAAGCCGTGCCGGTGCTGACACGTAGGAGTTGCATCCTTCCCGATGCGTGGACGCGCCCTTCCGCTGCCACGGCAGTATCATTGCAAGTGTGCTCGCACGCCCAGCGGCGCAAATCTGTGCTCCGAGTTGCTTCTAATGCCGCCTTTCGCATTCGGAGAGTGGCGAGGCTGACGGATGGCTGAGGGCTTAAGGGGGGGCTTGGGCGCCTGAAGCTTAAGGAACCTGAAGCGGGCCTCGCTGCTCTCGGACCACCTCATCCGAGTTCGGAACCTGTGTGGTAGAACCCGTTGGATTCGTGGTTGGTGATTTGAACTCCTATTTTGCAGAGGGCAGCTGGGAAAACCACTTTAAACGGTGAACAAACAATTGGTCGCTTTTCTCCAGTCCACTCAGGAAGCGCGACCCAACTTCGATACATTTTCCCGACGTTTTGCTCTCAGGCCGCAGGTGCCACACATCATCTCCGCCCAGATTGGCGCAGGGCTCGGCGGCTGGCGACAGACTGCGAACATGGCTTGGGTGGTCGTTGGACAGCCCGATTTTGGCATGTGTGGGACGAAACGTGCATTTTCTCTGGGGCGCATATGCATAATATGTCAAAATCAGAGAAGGCTCAGATGCGAAATGTAGTCAAGGACGAGTCATTTGAGTGGGGACTGCAAGGGATGGACGAAAGTAGCCCTCGGATTTCTGTGTGCCGATCCTCCCTTGGCCCTGAATCAGTCTACATTGAGCCAGTCAAAAGATCACTTTTGCCAGGCGCTTGGCAGGATCCCCTTGTAAAGCTGCTTTTTGCATGTATCATGACGTACTGTGTTAGGCGCTCTTTTGCTAGTGGCTGGTCTCCAAACATACTTACTGTGGTTGGACGAAACCCATTTCGCACCACCTAAGAAGCCCTGGAATGATTCGGTTCTTTTGTAAGTACCAACCAACATTATGGTTTCAGCCATGGCTTCCAAGCGGTGCAGAACTTCGTCCATCGACGATGTCCCTGTAGCGCCTGTCCAAAGGCCAGAGGATGTCTTTGGACATCCAGCACCCATGGGCCCCCTTCGAATGCTACGTGCCCGCTGGCTCAGATGGAGTCGAGTCGGAGTTTTGGGCCCATCCGCAGTAAGAAGCTGCGGGAAGTGAAAAAGTGAAGCTCATGGGACATGATTTTTTGTATTGCTAAGCGCATGGGCATCAGCCTCTCGAGCCAGAAGCGCGGTTCGCCGATACGTGTGGACGATAACGTTCTATCATGTTAGCAGCCAACCCACCATGGAACCATGGAGCAGGTTTGCGGGATGTTGTCCATCACGAAATTGATTCCAATGTCCAATTGTTCGAGGATCTTAATTTCAATCTTGTCCTGCTCATTTTGTCATGAAAATTCCCTGTGCCCGGCTTGTGAATAGCCAAACAAAGCAAACAAGGCAGATATGGCATTTTGGCGTGCGCTCGCGTGGGTGATTTGAAGGGATGCGAGACCTAATTTGGCTGGTGGAAATTTGTTTCAATGGACATGCCAAGACATTCACCTTCCATTTGCTTTCAAGGGAAGCTATCACTACTGGGCATTTTTTTCCAGGGGGCTTAAGCAAATGGAAGTCACAACTTGGATAGGCCCGTGGCCCTGTTGTGTTTTTGGCCATCGGAGCTCATGTTGCGGTTGGTTTGGCTCGCTCTATTCCCAGACGTTTTGCAACGGTTTGAGGACACCAGGGTTAGCCCTTCAACTTGTTTTCGCCTTTGCATGGTGCTGCAGGACACATCCACTCTCCACTCTCTCCACTCTCTCCTTGGTCTCCACTCTCTCCTTGGTCTCCACTCTCTCCTTGGTCTCCACTCTCTCCACTCTTTTGCCTCTTTGTGCTCCATCTATCCACACGTCACTCGCCGCGCCTCTGCCTTTGCTCATTGAATTCACTGCTTGTTGTCGTCATGAGATGAGAAAGGAGGTCTATTTGGCCATATTGGGAGAGAGGGGCCAGGATCGAAATCTGAAGTTTGGGGAGTCAAGCCAAAATCAAGCCATGGTCAACTGTCCCCTGTTGCTTGGGGGGAATGACCATCAACCTCATAGGACTCATAGTGGGTTTAGAGTTTAGACCAATGGGGAGCCCCGCTTATCGCCAGAATCAACGGGCGTGTTTTGCCAGCTGTTTTTTTTCTTTTCTTTTTTTCCGCTGCAAGGCCAGAGCAGAGTCGGTTCCACTTGGCCGCCACCTGGTTGGAGCAGGCATCAACGCACACGCCATCGTTCATCAACTCACAGTCGCGGGTTTGTTGTTTGGGGGTCCCGTTTGTTCTTGCAACCCCAAAGCGGTTTTATCGGCCTGGGCTGAAAGGCGCACCAACAGGCCAACCATTTGTGATTCTTTTGACACACTTTCATGTCACCAGTTGGTTAGAGATCAGGAAAAAAAACACGTTTGGAGGGTTTGTTACAGGTTTTCACCCTACAAGATTTGCTGACAAGTGTGTTGGCCCATAGAGCGGCTCGGTCAAAAGAAGTTTGTCTGACTCTGGTTGACTCAGGAAACCTGCCCTCCCACCTTTCTTTCACATGGAACCGTTCGGGATTTTCGGGGAATCGGTCCTGGTTTGGACCATTTCTTTTTTTAGGGACCGGGTCCCAAACGTCAGGTTCCATGTTAATTGGTGCAGGGCAATCCAGATGCAACCGCACCAAACGCCAAGAGACAGAAGACACGGCCGTGAGGACCCTTCCTGGAGCTATCCTCTTTGTGCTCTGGTTCTGCGCTGAGGCAATTTGACGCTCACATCAAAGGACACAGGAACCGTGACAGGCCAGTTGCTAAGCAGAAGCTACTCAAAGTTTAGGTGGCACTTGTAGCGACAGCCATCTTAGCGACAGCTATCTTAGCGATCCTCGCTATGAAACCCTATGAACCTAGCGTGAGCTTTGTCCATCCACAGTAAGAAGCTGCGGGAATTGATACATGAATCTCATGGGACATGTTTTTGTTTGCTACACGCATGGACATCTTCTTCTCGAGCCACACGCGCGGTTTGCCGATACGTGTGGACGATAACGTTCTATCATGTTAGCAGCCAACCCACCATGGAGCAGGTTTGCAGGATGTTGTCCATCACGAAATTGATTCCAATGTCCAATTGTTCGAGGATCTTAATTTCAATCTTGTCCTGCAGCGTGTTGACACATTGAGGACAAGGACGGACATCTTGTAAGATTTCTCATTTTGTCATGAAAATCCCCTGTGCCTGGCTTGTGAATAGCCAAACAAAGCAAATAAGGCAGATATGGCATTTTGGCGTGCGCTCGCGTGGGTGATTTGAAGGGATGCGAGGGCTCAAGTCAGTGCCGTGTTTGAGGACTGCAATTGGACGCTCAGCCATTGATCCTGAGATGCACACGAGCAATGCACAATGCCCCCAACGGGGCAGGCCAGTACTAAGAGGACTCTGCCCTCATCTCCGCTCTTTTCCGGCTTTAGCTTTGTTGTGCAAATGCTAGAACGGGCTATCGGCAGGATTCCGATTTGATTCATTCCCGAGCAAAGCCCGGTTCTTGACGGGGAATTCCTGAGTTCATGAACTTTAAACTTTTTGGGAAGACCATTTTAGTGGTAAATAAACAGTTTGGACTTTTTTTGGGCCATCCACTCAGCAAGTGAGTAACATCCCTAGGGGAAGCCTCCGCTTGGGGCAACACCAAAAACGGGTTCCGACACGGCCTGAGGCCTGTCCCTGCGCACCGGTGCTTGACCTGCAGGAGGTCCTGGAGGCGCCGAACATCTGCTTCCGTTTGCTTAAGATTTTTTTGTCATTTGCCCCTGTTGGTTTTAAAGGGAATCCATCACTACTGGACAGATTTTATGTTTTCCAGGGGGCTTAATGGCAGTTTGGCGAGATGGCCGGAAGCGGAGTCGTTTGACCTCCGGCTGAATGCCCCTTTCTGAGTCTCCTAGTCTCCTGGCTTGGCATGGTTTGGAGTTGCCTGGACAAACAGTACAGATAGGTTCCCTCCCCTGAGGTCAGCCTTTGCAAGAAATGCTTCTTGCGAATGTGCGAAGTTTTTTTTTCAGCTTGCCGGGGGGTCCTACTGGCCCCTTCCATTTTTTTTCGCCTCTCGCGTCATCCCGTACTGGCATGGAATCACAAGACGGGTCTTCCTCAAGAAGGTTCCGCTACAAACGACTTTTCTTCGTTGAGATACATGTTCCGCGGGCAAGTATCATGAGGGAATCAATCCCGCCATGCAGAAATATACAGATGGAGCACCCTGAAAGTGGCGGAACTGAGAAACTTTTGGTCCAGTCTCGCATTTTGTTTTTGGTGCTAGGGCAGGTCAGAACCCTTCGACGTCAAGTGAGCCACAATCAAAACCCGGGTAGATGAAGGTTAGTAAGGGACAATCCCCTTGCCATAAATAGCTGCGGCCGCCTTCTTTATTCTTTACATGATTCTAGGTCGACCATTTTAATACCGGGTTTTGATTGTGTCCAGTGCTTGGACGTCAGAACCCTGCGAAGAAGGCTCTAAGACCCCGAAAAAGGGGGGAGGGGGGGGGGGTAGCAGCGTGCGAATCGCTCCGGAGGCCTTACCTCTCTGGCCGTCGTAGGCACCTTCCGCGTGAGATCTGCGTGCGGCGAAAATTGGAGCGTCTGGGCTTCCAAAGGGCAAAGATAATACGGGGCTGAAACAAGCACCTTCGTGGTTGCCGACAACAAGTGGGTTTTCTTTGGGTGATGAGGGTGATGAGGGTTCCCTTTGGGGTGAAAGCGGACATCGAATGAGCCCTGACTTCAAAGTGGTTTCTTTCCTAAGAGAGAAGGGCCCCTTTGCTCTCGATGCGTGCTCGCTAGCTGCTTGGCTTCAGGACCTCAGGACGGATCTTAAGATTCCCCAGCGCGGTTTGATGTTGTGAGACAACTGTGAAGGCTGCGATGCGGCTTTCTAGCAGCTTGCGCAAAGTTTGCTGGTCGAGTTCGTAAAGTTTGTTGGGTTTTTAATGTCAAAGTTTGCTGGTCGAGTTCGTAAGGTTTGTTAGACAACGCCTGCGGAATTCACAGCCTTTACCATGAGAGTGCGGAATGGTTTTTCCACGGAACTCCAGATGGGATGGCTGCCACACGGATAGCTCACCGTGAGCTATGGCAGAGGTCGGGGGCTGAGCGGCTGAGCTAGCTTGCCTGCTGCTGTTCTAGGGGTACCTTCCATGGCCCCATTCTTTCCAGGGATCCGAATCTTTCTAGAAAACCACCCAAAACCCTGGGGGAAATGGCGATCGGTCTTTGCAAAGAACGACGAGCTGTGACCGCCTCAAGCTCCCAGGATGGAGACGGCAACCACAGGCTGATTGAGCTAGAGGATGGTGGGGCACTGAGATGCTGGGTGGGCAATCCCCGGAGAAAAACAACAAACTCACACACACACGACGCGCAGCGAGAAGCAGAAGTGAGCCGGCTAAGTTGTTCTATGCAGGGGTTGACCGGTTGATCTACAAACAGCGACCTGGCATGCAACGTGCAAGGAACAGATGCTTATGTGCGTTGTGGGAGTGAGAGTGGTAGTTTGCCACGCCATTCCAAGAAAGGGCACCACGAACGCCACATTGTGGATAGCTTACTCACTTCATACGCTGGGCATTTCAAGATGGCAGGAATATGTGGTGCAGACCTGCAGTATCAAGTGCGTATCGAACAATCCTTCTCTGTCCATTTTGTGCCCAAAAGCAGGATCCGTGCCCTTTTGCGGCAACGTAATGCGTGGCTTACTGAATTCCTCTCAATCCCTTTGCGTTAGCTCAGCCCCACACGTGACGTTGTCTGCGGCACTTACAATGAACTGCACAACAAGTCAAGAACAGGAGAGCGGAAGATAACTAAAGAGGTGCCCTTCTGAGGTGAGTTAGGTTAGATGGAATCCACCAGTTTGAGTCGGTTTTCATTGGCCGGTGGAATCTGTTGGTATTTTGAAGCAAAACAGACCCATGAACCAGACTTGGCGAATCCACCAATGAATCTAGGGGTTGATTCGCCGTTCTTTTCAGCCATCGTTCCTTTCAAACACCCGCTGTTTCCCCAGAGTTTTGGGTGGTTTTCTAGAAAGATTCGGATGCCTGGAAAGAATGGGGCCATGGACGGTACCCCTAGAGACTTGGCAAAGTTTTCCTTTAGAAGGAATCCACCCATGAACAGTTGCCAGACTTAGCTCAGCTTTTGTTTTGTCACCTGCCTGGGCTCAAAGTCCGAAAAAAAATGCGAGGCCGATCGGGCGGCTTCTCCTCAGAGGTGCCCCGGCCGTTAGAAAAACCGAGGAAATCAGGAACGTTCCCCCGCTTTTGGTCTGAGCAATACTGATGGTTTTGGTTTCTCTCATAGCCTTTTCAGGGGGGTCGTTGAAAATGAAGGATATGCCTGCTTTTCGGCGGGTACTCTGAGGTACTTGTGGTTGATTTTTCTTCCTCTAAATAGGAGATACTCTGCAGATGAACGGAGGGAATCCGAGAAGGGGATCCGATTTGCCACGGTTTTGAGGGGGTGGGGTGCCAGGTTGATCTGATTGCAGTTGGCGATTCAACACCTCGCCGTTTCGAGCGGACCGAACACCGAAAGGAAGCCACCGCCGTTCTTCGGGGAAGTCGATCCCAAAGCGCTAGAGCCAGCCTCATGGGTCCTCGGCGTGTTTTTGCTTGGGAGACTGCCACAGAGCAATCCCGGAGTACATGGAGATGCTCCATTTTTGCTGAAATGAGGATTCTTTTAGGTGTTCCCTCGTTGTTCTTAAGGGAATCTATCACTGGACAGATGCTTATAGTCCCTTGGTTTTCGAATGAGTCGATTTCACTACTGACACTACTGGAAGCATGTTTGCTTTTTTTTTTCCAGGGCGCTTAAGCAAATGGAAGGAGAGGAATGACTGCACGAGGTGAAGCCGCCCCAAAGGGGAGTCTGTTGTGACTGGGGGCTCCTGATTGATTGCAATGCCGCGGTTGGGTGGCTCCTTTGGCCATGGGTCAGAACTGACATGCCTCTCCATTTTGGGGGGGCGGAGGAACACCCGCGGATTTGCGGATGTATGCCACCCGTTTTTTTTTTCTTTTTTTCGATGTTCGCCAGGGGGTTTCAAATTCTCGACGTCCGGCCCTTCGTTTCGCTGGCTCGCGGCTTCGAGGGAAGAGGCCGGCCGGCCGAGGATTCGAGCGTGATACACTCGCCCTGGCCCGGCAACCTGCGCCAGAAGCCCAGGATGAGAAGCCAAGCGACTGGGGAGAAGCGGCGGTGGTCAAAACCGTTTTGGGATCCCATGTTGGTAGGTGAATTCACCACCCATGGCTATGTATGGCTATATTTTCACCCATGTTGGTAAGGCTAATTATTTTAGTGGTTGGATTGAATCGGAGGTTCACTGAGGGGTGACAGAGCGCTTTTGGCCCATGGCCGAGTTTCGGTCTGGGCGTGCTGGTGGTTGAACTCCTTGCTTTCCTGCTTTCGTGGCTCAAAATTAGGGAGCCTGGATTACGCAGGTTTTTGTCTTTGTTCCCCCCCAAGGGGCCACAGCCAAATGTGGCGGCTCGCGAAATCGTGTCGCAAACACAGAGCCGTGTTCGTCGGTTCGAGATGCTCGAGCGCATACCCAGGCGCTAGAGGGCCTGCAAGGGACAAATGCTACAGGCGGATCTGCCGCGCCAAAATCGGCAATGGACGTCTACGGTGACTCAGACACAGCCTTTAAGAATGACCATGTGGGTATGGGTCAAAGTTAAACCACCAGGGGACCACAGGTTTTGGTTTTTGGTCCATGTTACCACTTACCAGGGTTCCATTTTGGGTACCTATTTTTGACCCACAGCCATGTGTCGAAGACCATCTCTGGGATGGGATAAGTATGGAGCCACAGAAGGGAATTATTGGCAGCCATCATCAGCATTTATGAGCCTTCTTGAAGCGGAATATACTGGACTATGCTCTCCATGTTTCCCGTAAATATGGCTCCATGCCTGGGGATTCAGTTCCCAGAAATGGCCTTTGAGCATTGTAAAAGAGAGAAATGCCCCGAAGGTCCACCCCTTGGAAGTTTGGACACTGCGGTCTGGCGTGCCCTGGTGCTTGCAGTTGGCAAAGCGACGACGTGCCAGACTTGCCACAAGACGAGGAGTGAAAGAGGGACACCCTGGCATGAGCAGGTGAAGCAAGGCCGGTTCCCTGAAAGCCAGTTTCAGAATTGCGCCTTTGCCAGACAATTCCATTGAAGCCCGTCAAAGGTCCTGCATCCACAAATGGGGGAGCTAGGGTACCCTTTCCACCACTCGGACCTTCGCAAGAAGCCTCAGTCATCGGCAAGAAGTATAATCATGCGATCGAGACTGGCAAATATCACTCGGGCCAAGCCGAGGGGTCGTTTTTCGCCTTTCTCCTCTAAGAAACCCACACGTTGCGAGCGACACGCATGATGCAGGCACAAGCTTCAGATGTCCAGGTTGAAGTCGCCGACTTTGCAAATTCTTAGTGATCCGTTGTTTTTTGATCAGATATGATGAAACCTAGCATGTGCGGCAAGGCCTTTGCCTCCCCATGTAAGAACCATGGCAGCTCATGCCTCAACGTTTTGCTTCAAAGATCATACCCTCCTGTGGGAGGGTACCTTGAAGATAAGTTTCCTATTTGAGGGACCCCCTGTTGGGTGACATGTTAGGGGGAGGAAGGGTAGTGGGATAAAAGAATGGGTATGAGTTTTAATCACAAGCGCCCTTATGAATTGGTGGACATAGCTCTCCATGTCCACCAAAGGATCCCCAACGATTCCCTTGTCAGCCGCAACAAACACAGGGTCTTGCGCTAGCATTTGCAGAGACACATCATGAATCTGCGTCCTTGAAGCATGCAAACTCCTGGTTTTCTCGCTTAGCTCCCGTGAGGAGCGCGAGTGGACGCAGGGTCGTACTCGGCCAGCCTGGCGATTTGAACTTCTGGATGCTCCAGAAAACGGTTTGGATTTGCGCTTCCCCCTGTAGGTTCTGCTTTAATAATTGCTCTTTTAGTACTCTTTTGATATCCTACAGGTGGATCCACAGATTCGCCACGTCCAAACCGCTTTCTAGAGATGCTTACTTGTATCCATGGGCAACATTGGTTGGAACCAAGGGAGGTCAAGGGAGGTGGTTCAAGCAATAGCTTCAAAATGTTAAGGGCTTGGTCCTAGCCTGCTTGTATCCCGGCCACGTTTGGAGCATAGCCAAAGCCGATACGAGATGCTGAGAGTTGCGCTTCAACAGAAACTCGGCAACCAATCCTCGGCTAATGGCCTGCACAGTTGTTTGTCCCTTCAGCTTCCGACAATGCAGTGAGACCTTAGGACGTGGTCTTCGCTTTCTTTTGCATGCCATACGCGGGCGTTTCAGGATTTGATTAAAGCAAAGCCGACCCTTTGACCTTTTTGCTTTCCCATTTTGGCAATCATCTTTAGTCATGCCCCCCAACAGGTGAGCACAGGCTTCGTAGCTCCCTACACATAGCGATCGGTTTTGCTTGTGACTCACCTTTTCTTTCTAGGTCAACTAGGTCTCCCAGTGCTCTCTTACTCTTTTTTGGGGGAGGGTTCCCCTACTAAAATAGACTACAGAAAAAAGGGTACGCTTATTCTAACCTCTCTACTGGAGGACCTAGTCAAGAGGCAACCGAGTAGCTCAGCTCGAGTCGCTCGCAGATTCTCCTCCTTCGGCGGTTCAGACTTGGAGCTGCGCTGGGAGGACCGGGCGTGGAATTTGTTATTACATGGTGAAATCTTGAGCACCCAGCATTTTACCTATGGCTGGGGCAAATAGGGTAACCCCAAAATGGGTTGCCCTGGTAAATGGAACCAAGGACATTCGAACCAGCGGCCCATGTCTCCTGGTGGTTAAATTGGACGAGGATGTGTGCTAATCCACCATCTGGAGGGCATTCTTCCTTAAGGTTCATAGCAGGAAACGTGGCTCGTTTCTGTGTGGGGGACGGCAGAGAGCTTTTCCATGACTATCCTTCGGAGCGTGGTGCTTGCTTTTGGGGCCTCATCCGGCAGGATTGTTCTGAGGTAGTCTCAATGGCTCGTATCTAAGTCGATGAAATCGACTTGGTAGTCAGGTGAGCCACAATCAAAACCCGGGTAGATGAAGGTTAGTAAGGGACGATCCCAACATAAATAGCTGCGGATATCCGCCTTCTTAGTTCTTTACATGGTTCTGGGTGCACCATTCTTGTACCGGGTTTTGATTATGACTCAGGGGATCCGTTTCTTCCGTTGGCTCCTCACAGTCACTTTCCCGTCGCGCGAGTCTTCGAGCGCAGTTTTGGCAACTCGCGCAGGCGCTGTCGATGTGCTCCTGGCAAGTCTCGCGAAAGAGCCAGGAGGCGAGGAGATCAGCTGTCGGCGGCAATTCAGAATGGGTCTGCCTAGATAGCCAAGTTGCTGCTTTTTTCAGTCACGGTTCCTGGCTTTTGGTGTAAAGTGCATGGGAAAAAACAGCAACTGGCGATCCAGGTGTGTATCTTTTGGGTGTGGCCTTTTGAAAAGAACGCCCTATTTGATACATGCCCAAGGTGAGATGCGGATGAATCCGGACCATACAAATCAGAATTGGCAAGCGTGCGGTGAAGGCCCCCCCAACTTGATGTTGGGATCCCTCAGTTTAGTGGGGTATCCTCCACAAAAAGCAACCCGACAGCAACGGGCGATGTGGGTATGGGTGAAAAGTACCAGGAAATGGAGCACAGGTTTGAATGGTAAAACACCCGGTGTCCGCCAGATTTCCATGTAAAAACAAGTTCCACGCAGCAGCTCTGCGCCCGGTCCTCCCCATGTCTGGATCTGCGCCAAAGAAAAAACCAGGCGGTGCAGATCCTGACCAACGTCAGCGGAGCTGCGAGGCTGCTGGTTGCCAACCCCTCCTTTCGTTTTGGGTGTCATGTCTTCTTGGTGGCTCCCGGCCATCCAGTTCTGTAGTTATGTTTTTTTTGTTTTTTTTTGCTTTTTGGCGTTTTATGTTTTTTTTTGTTTGGCTTTTTATGCTTGTTGGCTTTTTAGCTTTTTGGCGTTTTAGCTTTTTGGCGTTTTAGCTTTTTGGCTTTTTAGCTTTTTGGCTTGTTAGTTGGTTTAGTTGGTTTAGTGGGGTTGAACTTTTAGCAGGGGGACTTGAAAACGGACAGCCCAGTTTTGCCAGCGGCTTTCGGCTGTTCTTGGGCTGCCCCTAAAACGAAACACGACAAAGCGGGGGGATCTTCCCTCCCAAAGTATATTGGACGCTGGTTGCAGGACTGGCTCGGACCATTTTCCGAGCAAACCGTCTGAAAGAGGTGGGGACCATGACCATAGCAAGAAAACTGGACCAGCGCCAAGAGACCGGATGTTCGGTTTCCTTGGGTTGCCCCCTTGAAATACCAAAATTATGCCCAAAAGCCAAATTACCTGAAAGCAGAGGTGTCCTTTTTGGTTGCTTTGCTTCAAAAATAGAGGGCGACTCCTGGTTTACCTGGTGGTTCTTTCTCATCTACCAGGGAAACCCATCTATTTTCCAAGAAGGACACCTACGCCTGACAGGGAATTGCTGAAGGGCCCCATGAAAGGACCCCCGCTCTCTCGGGCGGGTCCCATTCGCTGGCTTTTGGGGCAAGGACCACCGCCGAAACGCGTTGGTTTCTCGACGGTTTCCCGCTTTCCCCGCTTTGAGGCTCCAACAAGACGGCGGGCTTCCCCCCCTGTTTTTTTCTTCTTTTTTTTTCTTGGGTTGCCTTGGGTGGGCACCCAAGGGTGTCCTGTTTTAGGTTAGTTTGGATGGAAATAGATGGGTTCCACTGGTTTGGGTGTTGTGCCCATTTTACCAGGGCCATCTAATTATTTGTCCCAAAGGTCACCTGGATTGAACATGTGAGCAACGTTGCCCTTCAAGTCGACTATACTCACGCTGAAGGATGACCTAGGTGTGAGTGGTTTGCAAGCCTGGTTATAACTCACCTAGCATGGTTATAAGTCTTCGTTCAGGTTAATTTGACGTAGCGAATCGGTCGCCCCTTTAAGTAGGTGCCCTGTCCATTTACCTACTTTTCCGAAAGGTCACCAATGATCCTATGTCAAAGGGTTTTTTTTCGTAGGGCCCGGTTCCAAAAATATGTCAATGGTTTGGGTTTGGGGATTGACTCAATGGTTCTTTCAAGGAAAGCCTTAAGATGGTGCTATTCCATTTACCAGGGCCATCTATGTTTCCAACAGGTCACCTAGGTGTTTACCCCTTTTCCCCCCAAGAAAAACGGACAAGCGACGCGGAGAGAAAAGACCAACTGCCAGGGCCGGCAAGATCACCTGCATCCTGGGCCCCAGCGGGTCTGGCAAGACCACCCTGCTGAACGCCGGGCCCCTCGAGGGGTACCCTTATTCTATCCTTTTTCTACTGGAGGACCTAGGGAAAGAAGGACACCAGCCAGGTTCTGGGACGGGACGGAACTTCCTGAAAAGTGGACAAGTAGCCTCACAAGTGGCTTCCCCTGACTTCAGCGCCATTTTTGGCTGGGTCAAAAGGTAGGGTATCCCCAAATGCGTTGCCCTTGTGAATGGAACCAACGACCAACACCTGTGCTGTGGTAAGCTTTTTGACCGACACCCGGTTGGGTGCGTCAAGTCTTTTTTGGGGGCATGGTAGGATACAACGGGAAGCCATCAGGAAGACCCTCCCATTTTGGGGGTCCAACCAAGAAAAGGACGAGCCACCCGCCATGTCCCTTTTTGGAACCTCCAAAAGTGGCGATCGTTTCGGTGGGAGCCACCAGTTGATCAACTTTTGATTCGGGTTAGAGACCCCTGAAAATTCAGCGGTGTCTGTTTTTTTAGTTGCACCCCGCAAACGGGGAGCGTTTACCATTTGGTTTCAAACCAGGACAGACCCAAGTGAACGTTGAGGGTAAGGGAAACCAAGAGGAAAGAAAGAAGCCCGCCCTCGTTTCGGGGGATTGTTGGGCCCCCTCCCCTTTCTTTTGGGCGTTACTTTTTGTTGGGAGGTTTTTGGCCCCTTCCTTTCTTGTGGGCGTTACTTTTTGTTGGGAGGTTCTTGGCCCCTCCCTTTCTTTTGGACGTTATTTTTGTTGGGAGGTTTTTGGCCCCTCCCTTTCTTTTGGACGCTACTTTTTGTTAGGTTCTTGGCCCCTCCGTTTTTTTTTGGGTGGTGGGCCCCACTTCCCCAAAAAAAGGACGAGCGAGCGCCAGATCCCGCCCTCGGCCGAGCCGGCGACGTCAACTCGAGGTCCTGGCAGGTCGCCAGAGCGGCGGCCACCGGCACCGCATCCGCATCACCGGACAGGCTCGATCGCGGCTCTCGGTGTTTCCCTTGGCGCATTTTGCCAAGGGATGTTAGGACTTTAGCTTTTTGCCAACTAATGGGTTTTCCATGAAGCCACCAAAAGTTAAACTTTAGCAGGGGAGCAGATTTCGCAACCGAGTTTCCCAGCCATTTTGATAGGTGTTCTGCTTTTCCCAGGCCCAGTCCCCGAAAAAGGACAACCACCAGAAGCGGATGGTCAACTGTGAACCTAGGGCTGTGCCCTTAAGAGAAGCCAGGGCACCAGTTGGCACCGGTTTTTTGGCTTTGGGTCGTTTTCCGTTTCTCGGGGCTGCATCTCTTGCACCAGCAAGTTGTCCTTTTTCTCGGAGGCTTCGGTTTTTTGGGGGAAAGGGGGCATGGTCCGATTCGACAACGACGGCCCCCATGGTTTGGGGGGTGGTTGGGGTGGGTGGGTTGGGGGTTTGGGGTGGTGGGGGTGGTTCGGGTGGTGGGGTGGGGGTGGTTGAAGGTGCTTGAGGTGGATGGTGGTTCTACCTGGTGTGCTGGTTTGTAGTAAAGTAAAGTCAACTACATGAACAACCTCAAACCACCGACGAAAACTGGGGCATTTGCGGGATGATGATCTATGGAAGAGAGTCAAGAAAATAAGAGTTTTCGGCGTAGCCCAGAGGGCCGGGCTTCAAGGATGCACCTGGGGTGCGGCTTTTTTGATTGGCGGAGCTTGCCTTTTTGGTTGGTGTTGAAGGGGAAAAACTCAAAGGAAACGGATGCATTCCCGGGCCTCGAGTGGGGTGCTTCTTCTTTTTTTGGACAAACACGGGTTTCTTTTACAACCAGGGCTGTGGACATGCCCATTTCTGTGATACAACCAAAATTGCCTCCCAAAGACTGACCCCCACGTAAGGGGGGAGATTCCCTTGTATCACAGAAGTGGGGGATAAACCCCTTCATCCCACAACCCTGTTTAAAACCGACTACAAGATGACAGTCCAATTGGGGGGTTGGGCCTTGGGGTGTTCTTATGCTGGGAGAATCCCTCTTTGGTTGGCTTGAAAGGCAAAACAAGCAGGACACCAACCATTTGGGCCATTTTGAGCGACCCCCATTTGGGCCGTGCAGGTAAAAAGCCACCTATCAGCTGATTTATGAACGGATCCATTTCAGATCTTAAAGCAGGTGGTCTAAAGATGTTTCCTTCAGGAACCGCGTCAGAGTGGGACCCGCGCGGCGGATTGGGGTTTGTTGCCGAACAGCGCATGAATCAGCATCGACAATTCCCCGACATCATCCCTAGGATGGCTCGAGAGTTTATTTGCGACACGTTGAAACGTGCATGTGGGAATGGTACTCCTGCATTTTGTCCGGATTGTCAACTTGGAATCATAATTTCGGACAGTTGCAGAAATCCGCGGGGTTTGACCAAAGTATATCGGAAAAAGATGCCCCAGCAAAGCGCACCAGGAATATTTTTTTGTTAGAGACCTGGAGATACGATTGTTTGCGCCTCATGTTGGGACTGCTGGCATCACAGATTTGCCTTGGTCTCAAAGGCGGACCCCCCCCCAGAAAAAGGTGCCTAAGCCAAGCATACCTGGTCCCATTTCAGGTTGTTTTGTTTGAAGGTACCCTTTTGGGGGGTTGGTTTGAACGGAAACCAAGGGGAAATTTGGGGCGATGCGGCGCACCCAAACGGAGCGCCAGGTCTGGGTGTCTGGGTCGCGTGTTGACCCACGTGCTGTGAGATCGCGGATGGCGTATGCCGGACACCCGGGCAATTCGGCTCGGCACAGCGGACACGCTGGTTGCATTTGGTGAGTCCGACTGCGGATGCTTGCGACATCCATTTCGCACCACCTAAGAAGCACGGGAACCATTGTTTTGTTGGTATTTGTCAGCGGATTTATCATTTCAATATTTCTTAGGTGCAGGAGTTTGTCCATCCACAGTACTCATGGCAAACCCTCATACATGGTGTTAATTCATCTAATTCGGGCCACATGAAAGACACAAACCTGAACCAAGTATTCGGGCCGGAAAGTCCAACAGCCATGAACGACCTTTTAAGCCTCTACTTGGGTGCTCGGCCAAGATAGTAACTGGTCAGCCACCTGAGTTACCCACTTGTGGGGTTGAGCCAGTCACTGGGTTACAAGCGAGGTGGCTAATTTCTTACTAATCCAAGCACCCAAGTAGGAAGCACCCGCTGCACCTGGGCCTTTTAAAACTTCCCACCACGGGTCCCCCGGCGCCGAGGTCATGCAGAAGGACGAGATGTTTGCAACCTCCACCCCAACGGAGGCGGTCCTTGGAACGGATACCCCGAGTATTGCAACTAAACCGATGAAACTCAAACACAGAACCATGGAGTATATCATGGTAATTCCCAGGGCCCCTTTTTTTGGTCTTGGGAATATTGACGGCCTCCATCGGAAGATTGAAGCAGCACAGAGAGGGAGAGAGGGGGAAAGACACTAGTTGGACCAGGAACAACTCAAGCCACAGTACAAAAGGCCGTAAAGCAACCAAGTGGGTATGAATTTCATTTGCGGCCCTTTGAAATAATCTGACATGGTGTTTCGTGTCCACCAACCCAAGCATCTATATCCATTGGCATGTTGGGCCTGTAGTCTATTAGTCTATGGTCACTTGTTCGTGGCCAGAGCAAAAGTTTCGCGAACCTGAGCCTCGTTTCATTGCTGAGGGCCCCTCACTTGCACCAAAGGATGCGTAGCATCCAGTTGCGGATTACTTAATCTTCCATTTGCTGAAATGAATATATAAATATATACATATATATGTATATTTTTCGCCTGTTGGTTTTCAAGGGAATCTATCACTGGACATATTTTTTCCAGGGGACTAAGCAAATGCAGGCAATTCTTACCCTTTGTTCCAACCTTGTGGACCTGGACTATTTTGCCAAAACTAAACAGGGCTCCTGAAAAGAAATTCATTTTGCAACCATTTGAAACATGTTGCTTTTTCAACCCAAAATAAAGGGAAACCACCATTTACAAGTTGCAATGTTCAGGTGTGTAATGTAAGGATTCCTGCTAAAAGACGCCCATGTTCTCTTTGTCCTCTTCGGGTTTCCTGGAGATTTCCCTTTGTGAACACCTCCAAACAAATTGCAGTTTCAAGAACAACCGCCTGCAAGTTGATCAACTGTTGATTTGGGGAAGTCCATGTACCCCTCTTTCTCGCGGCTTAAAACAAAAAAACAACAAAAACAAAAAAAACTGAGACACCTCCACAGGGGTCATTGTTTGTGCTATTATTGTTATTATTATTATGAGACACCCTCCATAGGGGTCTTAAAAAAAAAAAAAAAAAAAAAAAAACGAAGCCCATCCACTCCGCGAGGCCTTGAGCTTCTCAGCCTCGCTGCGGCTTTCGGGCCCCAGGGAGCGACTCGCGACTCGCCTCGTCGCCTTCGTCGCGACTCGTGGCGAGCCGCCGGAGGGTCCCGGGGAACTCCTCGTCTGGAGGTGCCCCTTTTGTTGGTGGCCCAAGGAAAACCAAAAGGACGAGCCTCCCATTTTTGGGGGCAAGTCTTGTCATCAAATGAGTCCGTGGCAGTCTTTATCACCCCACGGTGCAAAGTTCCTAGTGCAACTCCAATTGTCAGCTCTCATTAAAAAGGGCCAAATCTGGCAGTTTGGGCGCAGAATATCGGTAGTTGCGTGGGGATGAGTCCCAACTTTCCCATGCCTTTGTTTTGTGTCTGCTGTTTGTTGTGGGGGCGGGAGATGCCTTCTTGGACCTGAAAGGCCCGGATTCGGATGTGTTCGAGTCCGTGCGCTTGCCAAGAATTGCCATTTGGGTGTGGTTCAACTTGAGGCTGCCTTTTCTTTGAGATGCCATCTCCAGAAACGCCGTTTCACTGCCCACATTTCGCCAGTGGCCCCTTTAAGGGTGTGGTTCAACTTGAGGGCTTCTGGATAAGCCAACTCCGGAGAAGCCGCAGCTCTGCCCGCATTTGGGGGTTGATTCAGAGAGACCAACTCTTCCCCATGGCCAGAACTAGCTCCCCTTTGGTGATTTCTTGCATGTTTCTCCTTTGGGTTCTGAATTCGCTTTCCACAAACATGGGGTATTTTGTTCACCCTTCTAGGGGGTCACCCTTTGTTTTTTCCAGGAAACCCCAACAAGTATTTGCTTTCCAGGACCTCGGCTGGAATTAGGTCCCCTTTTGTTTCTGGCGAATTCCAGGGCTTTTTAAAAGATACATTTTGCCCATTTGAGCGACGTTTTTTGGCCGCAAGCTAATTTAGTAGGGGGAGAGACATTATTATTGAAAACGTGCACCGCGCCACACGCGCGGAAGCGTGCGGAAGGCTTCGCGGAAGGGATTTGTTCGCGGAAGGTTTGCGGAAGCTTTGGGCTTGTATGAAATGAAATGTTTCAGTGCGTGCATGGAAAAGCTCGGAGAAACGATTCCAGTAGAAGAAAAGGTGTTGCTGCGTACAAGAAACGCAACGCTTGCTCGAAGAGCAGTTGCCGACAGCAAGCCAAGAATACCAAAATAGCCGGCGTATTTCACGGAAGGTTTGCGGAAGCTTCGCGGAAGCTCCGCGGAAGGGTGGCCCCGTGTTTGCAGGCAAGTTGCCACGTTGCATGGGTAGCCCAATGGAGCCCAAGCCTACACACGCTGCGGCGAAGCACTGCCTCACTTAAAATGACCTTCCTTTGTGCGCCAATACTCGCGGAAGCAAATCTTGTAAACCATGCCCCGCGGAAGCAAACAATGAAACACATGTGCCGCAGAAGTTCGCGGAAGCTTTTGGCCCGCGGCAAGGATGTGGAAGGGTCCGAGCAAGCTTGAATAATGTCCAAGCAAGTTTGTAGGGAATAAAAAGCCAACGCTCATTTGACACATGTGGTTTTTTCAACACCAATCTAAAGGGTTCAGCCACCATTTACAAGTTGCAATGTTCAGGTGTAGAATGTAAGAAACATGGGCTTTTTCAACACCAATATAACGGCTTCAGGTGTTTTTCATGCATCCGGATCCCTGATTCCTTTTGTCGGGCTCCGACTTCCAACCGGACACTGAGCCGAGACTCGGAGACTCGTCAGGACCGCAAGGAGCTGATCTCCGAGCTGCTGGGCTCCTTGGGGCTCCGGAGCTGCTCTCACACGTGCGCCGCCCAACATGGAAAAACATATTATATATATACACATGGCTGACCACAATAAAATAAAAACATGTTTGTTGTTACCAAAAGAAAGAACATGTATATATATATATATATATATGTACGAACATGTATATATATGTACAAAACATATGTGTATGTATATATATATATACTTGCCCCCCCCCCCCACAGAAACAACACACGAGTTTATATATATATATATATATGTTTTGTCCGACCCCCCCCCAAAAAAAAAGAAGAAGAAGACGAAACACATGAACATGTGAGTTTTGGAGAGTCTGGAAAAGATGCTTCAGCGTGACGGCCACTGAGATTTAGTCTATGATCTTGTCACAGATGAAGCCTTAAGCCCACACCCGGCACTCGAGCAGTTCTATGCCACTTCCTTGCGGCATGTTTCAGAGGCCACGTGGCATTTCGAGCACAGGTACATTGGCAATGCTGTGCTCAACGGCTTGTCAGGAGGGCAGCGAAAGCGCACAGCGATCGGCGCGGGCACCTCAATGACTCAAGACTTTGATGAAGCAAAAACGCTTGAAGCGGAAAAATTGCGAGGTGCGGAAGCATGCAGGGAATAAACAGGTGATGCCCACCAAAGTTTGTCATGGTTTGCTTGTGACATCTGCTTTGCGAGCTTTGGATTTGACGATCTACTCTCACAGCTCTAAGTCAAGACAGCCTTCCTGAGAGGGCATGCTAAATTGTTCGCTGCAAGTCAAAAGGGAATCCAAAAGAAGTCCCCTCAAAAGGAGTTTTGGCGGTTTGTTGGGGAGTCGAGGTCGGGAGTTTCCTCTGAACAACTATTTTCCTGAGTTGCTGGACTTTCTACTTATTGGGAAGAACATGTTAGTGGTAATTAACAAGTGTTTTTGTTTTTGATTTATAATAATAATGATAAAAGTGTTTGTGTTATTTTGCAGGGGAGTACTTAGATGGTCTGGAAGATAGATAGTTGCCATGGTAACCCCAGACCGTCTAAGTAGCTTAGGTGGAGCTCATCACTCGCCCAGACATCGTTTGCCTAGACGAGCCGCTGATGCCTTAGTGCTCGAGGAGGCGGAGAGAATCTGAGAACGAGCAAGCGCATCCCAGATGGCGATCTTTTGGCTGAACCGGGTGGTGTTCCTTGGGTTCCCCTTTAAAACAAGAATGGGGGCATCCCAATTGCACACCTCGGCGCCAACACAGGCTAAACTCTTTGGTTGAGTTCTCACTTAGGGTGCGCAGGTAAAACCATCGCCCGGGGCTAGATGCGCGATACTCCTCATGGACTTCCATTGCTTAAGGATGGTTTTTCCCCCTGTTGGTTTCAAGGGGAATCTATCACTACCTCACTTCCTAAGTTCCTGGACCCTTAAGTTTTTTGGGAAGACCCTTTTTGCGGACCGAAAGTTTGGACCATTCTGACCAGTCCACTCAAGAAGTGAGTTAAGCAAATGGAGGTGCAGCATACAGTCCATATAGATTATGTTTTTCAATATAAGCTTATATTCATTGTCATACGGATATAGACATATTGTAGTACGTGTATACATGTGAAGCGCCTGGTCCTTGCCTCGAGCGCTGTCACCGAGGACCAGCGGCCTTGACTCCTTTGCCGCGTACCAGGTGCCCGGCTGAGCTGCTCCGCTCGACGGATACACCGCGCGCCGTGGGAGGTAGGCCCCTGGAAGCCGTGGCGACACGAGAAAACTAACGCTTCCTCCCAACAGAAGGCATTTGGAAGATCAGTTTCCTCGTTTACTGGGACCGGGTACCTGTCAGGGGGAGAGATCAAGGACCTGGAACATATAGGATGACAATGCAACCATGCTGAGGTCATGAGTGTCTTGAAGGACCTCGGAAAAGCTGGCTGCACAATTATTTGCGTGGGACCTAGCTGCAGTTGGGCGGTCCCTGGTGGTTGTCCTTGTGGTTTCCCCTTTTAAACCCACAAAGAAGGGGTGAACAAAGACAGACCCATTTGTTGGTTTGTCCTCCCCACCAGTCACCCCGTGGGTTGGGAACACTGAACACTAGTTCGCAACCGAACTATCATCGTCCATTGGTCAGGAGGGCAACCCAAAACCTTGGGTTCGAGCTGGCAAATTGTGGTGTCCTCTTTGAGCTTCTTTTTGTTTTGTCAGGCGCGAAAGAACAAATATTTGGTGCCAAAGCAGAGCTTGCGAGTTTCAATGAGGTACTTTGCACCAGCCTAGCAGCGAGATCTTTGCCCTTGTGGACCAGGTGATATGCCCACGGCTGAGTTCCGCAGTTGCACAGAATCGTCATCCCTCCATTCACAGGCTCAAGGAGGACCAAAACCGCTTAAAAAGCAAAGCAAGCGCGACGAAAGAACCAACTTGGGTTGAAATACAAAACCCGCACCTGGTTTCATACGTTTTTTTTTGTTTCAGCCCACTTGTCGGATGCTCTTCGGATTTGGATTCATAGTCCGGAGCCGCTTAGTCATCAGACTCGCCTGCTCGTTCTGTTTTAGCTTTTGAGGCCGTCTCTACTTTTGGCTCCCCCGGGCGAAGGGGCAGTCACCATAGGTGCTGATTCCGCCTTCTTGTTTCCTTGCATGAATTTGGAGATCGAGCATTTTACTACCGGGATTTGATTGTTGACTCAGATGGACCCCTGCAAACTCAAATTCATATGCTAGGATTCCATATGGATCCCCCTTTTGCCTCATGTGGTAGGATTCCTTCATTTCAATAGGAAAATGGAATCACCCATAAGGTAGGCCCCCCACTCAGCCCCCCCCCACCCCCCACCCCAGCCCCCACCCCACCCCACCAACCCCCCCCCCCATGCTCAAGCTCAAGGCCTTTGTGATGGCCGCTGCCTTTGGGCGGGGGACCGCGAGCAGATGGTGGGCTACTTCAGCACTGCCCGGGCCCGAGTTCTTCTCTTTTCGTTGTCTGTCTTGCTTGCTTTTTGGTTTGCTGATGTTAGTCGTTTGTTGTTTGTTTGTTTGTTTGTTTGTTTGTTTGTTTGTTTGTTTGTTTGTCTTTTTGTTTGTTTGTTTGTGTGATCGTTTGTTTGTTTTGTGTGTGTTTCTTGTTTATTGGTGTGTGTGTGTGTTTTGCTTTGTTGTGTGTTGTTGTGTTTCGTTTTTGTGTGTGTGTGTGATTCCTGATTTCTTTATGTAGTTCTGTATTTATTTCCGTTTTCTTATTTCTTCCATTTTGTGTCCTTCGTTATTTATTTCTTTATTTATTTCTTTCATGTTTCTTTCTTTCTTTGTTATTATTTCTGTTCTTTTGTTTTTCTTTATTTGTTTTCCTTTCTTTCTTTATGTATTTCTTTCTTTCTTTCTTTCTTTCTTTCTTTCTTTCTTTCTTTTGTTTTATTTCTTTCGTTCTCTCTCCCGCCTTCTTTCTTTCTTTCTTTCTTTCTTTCTTTCTTTCTTTCTGTCTTTCTTTCTTTCTGTCTTTCTTTCTTTCTTTCTTTCTTTCTTTCTTTCTTTCTTTCTTTCTTTCTTTCTTTCCTTCCTTCTTTCTTTCTTTCTTTCTTTCTTTCTTTCTTTCGTTTTCTTTGTTTCGTTTTCTTTCTTTCGTTCTCTCTCTCTCTCTCTTTCTTTCTCTCGCTCTCTCTCTCTTTCTTCTCTCTTTCTTTCTCTCCCTTTCTCTCGCTTTCTTCCTTGTTTGTTTGAACGGTGGGTCACTTGCAGATTGGCTTGCCTCGCCCTGACCTCCCCTGGTTTGCCTGGCCTGGTGTGGTGGCTTGCCCCACATCTGCCTTGGCCAGGGGGCATCACCTTCTCCGTGTTTTGTTCGTTGGAAACTGGTAATATCGGGTAACTCTTAATCAGCCTGGTTTGGATGTGGATGTCAACCCCCGGCTTTTGCAGAGGGCAAATGAGAACCCCCTGGTCCAAACCACCAATTAGGGGGAAGCTGATCATATTGTCTATTGCTCGCACTGTTTCAGTGTGAACTCGTGACGCCCAGTGCCCAGCAACGGGTTTGTTCTCTTTCATTTTGGCACACGCGAGCCATGAACGCTTGGTTCAATGCTTTCCCCAAGAAGGACTTCGGATGGACGAACTCCGTTCGCACCACTTTGAAGCCTTGGGAGATCAACGTCTGTTCGTATTTGCGGGGGAATCAGCAGTTCAGGGTTTCTTCGGTACCCTTTCGGGGCTCGTTTTGTGAAAGGACCACATCGTCAGCTTCTCAGTTGGTGGTTTGGATTCGTGGTTTGGTGTCGTTCAGAGGTTTCCCATGTACCCTGCGCAAGAACCAGGGCTTCAAATCCAAACCACTGGGCCGATTCGTGGGTTGAAGCCCCGCAAACGTCGGATGGATTCGGATCCGGAGCGAGGTGGGGTATCCTTGCCCCGTGGGGTTCAATCCGGCGGACTTCGTCATCTTCCTGATGCAAACGGACGCAAAAAAAATCCGGGCGCAGGGTGCGGTTCTTTTGGTGCACAGACTTGCGGACTCCGAGTTTCCTCTCGAAAAAAATTTCCTGCAAGCTTCCAAGCCATTTTGGAGGGACATGGTGAATGCAATGAAGGCCGCATGTTCACTGATTTGGGTGTGTCTAATGAGGGACACCCAAAATAATGGTTTTCCCCTTTTCTCTTCTCCCTTCTTTAGCCCCAAGAATTCGGGTGCCCTCAAAAAGAAGAAGGAACCACACCGCCTTCAAACCTGGATCACTGGTGCTTGAGTTCAGGAGCCCAAGTCGAAGACCGATGAGCTGACTCAGATCTGGACGCGGAAGCACGCAGAGGATCGGCGAGCAAACAAAAATCCTGTGGCGTGTGTCACCCTTGGGTTCCACTGGGGGTCGGGGGCTGTCATACCTCTTCAATCCATGACCCCCACACAAGTTTCGACTATGTCCAAGTGGGAGAGAGCGGAAGCCTCTGGTACCGCCAAAACAAGCTTGTAACACATTTCATACCCCATTGCTTGAGTGGCCCATTTTTTGCATACCTCCAGCGCCCATACCTGAAATCAACAAGCCCTTGGTTTTCTGTTTGGTTCCTGCAAGTTTTGACCGCATATGGGGGGGGCGCGTCTTTTTTGACGGCGCCCTTTCGGGTTTGGTTTTTCAAGGGAAACCTAAAGGGACAGCACCCAGTTATGGGTGGTTTAAAGGGACACCATCGGGAAAACTCCGTCCTTTTGGCGTGTCTACTCCATATGGGTGTTCTCTGCTTTTCGGGCTGGACCCCTCCCAACACGGCGCGACGGTTTTTCTTTTGGTGTCAAATCCACCAAAAAAGGGTGCCCTCAAAAGAAGAGACACCCAGACCCTCAGGCGCACGTTGCCACGGGACCCACCTCGGGGGCCCCTTTTAAAGGAACATGGGCCTATCCTTTTTTTGGGCACCCCCTTTTTGGTGGTTGGAAAGAACAGCCAAAAGGAAGCCTAGTTTGGGAGTTCCCAGGCAAGACCAAGTGGTCTCCCAGGACCAGTGTGAGGTTCCATGTTTATGGCGATGGTGCAAGCGGAGGCGTTTGGAGTTATACGCTGGTGTTTATGCCTCACAAAGATGCGCGGAATTTCGAGGCGCTTGTGTTGGAAGCATATACTTGCCCTGGTCCTGGATACTCGGTTACTCCAAAAGTTGTCAGCCGGGCTGTTTGATCCTGGAGGTGCACTAGGTTTCCCCAGTAGTGCCCTTTCTCACCTCCTACTAAAATAGACTACAAAAAAAATCGGGTACCAACTTATTCTAACCTCTCTACTGGAGGACCTAGGAAATGTGTTTGTTATTCGGAGGGTATCCTTTTTTGGTTGGTTTAAAGGAAATCGACAAGAAACCCCCCAGTTTTGGTGTCAGCCGGGCTGTTTGATCCTGGAGGTGCCGTTGGCCTTCTATCTAGTGAGGCGTCTTGGGTTTCCAGGCCGCAGCCTTCTGCAGCGAGTCCAGCCTCACCAGCGGCCCTGGCCAGTTGAAGCCGCGATTGAAAAACCGCGGGGCCCGTCGAAACCATAGGTGTCCTTTTTGGTTGTTCTGGTTGGCGATTCCTGGTTTACCTGGTGGTATAATATCTACCAGGGAAACCCATCTATTTACCCTCAAAGGACACCTATGGTCGAAACGCGACTGGTGTAGTGGGTGGAGGGGAAATATGTCTTGGGCGATTGAATTCGCCCATAGCCGCAACCGCCCGAAGCAGAAGTTTGCGTTGGGCACTTATTTATTTTGTACTATGGAGATGACATCCTGAGCGACTCTCACCAGACATGTCATGTATGCTTCCTTGGGCTTGAAAGAAGTCATGGAGCACTCGGAGGGAATGTCAAATGGATATGACGGACAGCAACTCTGGCGCGTCAGGTCCCTATGACGAGCACGAGCTTTGCAGGCACCCTGCTTTCGGCTCGTGGGACCTCAAAGCCAGATTCTTTCGAGGCACTAAAACAGAGGGCAGACATGGGGCGCGATGTTCGATTGAAGAGCTCGGATCTTGGAATTGCTGCAGACGACGGCAATGTCTGGCAGTTTCATGATGCCTCTCCAAACATGACGCTCCATTGGTCGTTTGCTTCCTTCCCCCTCCCTCCAGCAAATCGCTGCGTCGAACAGACACTGTGCGAGCGGCGCAAAGGCAAAGGCAAAAGGTCGGTCGGTGCGTTGACGAAATCGGCGCTTTCGTCAGGATTCGGATTCCGCCCTTTTCGTCCGTAGGACTCCGAAAGTGCGATCCGGATTCAGTACCGTGCGCCCCCCAGAGACGACCAGTTTCCGGGATTCATCGCATCCCGGCTTGGGTGAAGAATCGGGCAGCCCCCAAAATGGAGACCAAAACGGCTGGGATTCAGCGCATCCACGTGGCGGGGGGTTGGCACCCAAAATGGAACCCTGGTGAAATGGACCCAAGGACAAAAGTTCAATATTTTTCTGCATACCTCCAACGCCCATACTTGAAATAAACACGCCAACGGGTGGATAGCAATGGTCTTCGTTTTGGTTCCTGGAAGTTCTGACCGCATATGGGTGGCTTGTCTTTTTGTTGACGGCACCCTTGTGGGTTTGTCGTTAAAGGGAAACCTAAAGGAACACCACCAGTTTGGAGGGTCTATGCCTTCTGGGGGTGTCTTTTTCTTAGGGGACCCCCCAAAATGTTGGGTTCCCCGTTGGTTTCCGTTCGAAATTCACCAAAAGGGACAAGCAAAGGAACCACACATGCCTCTAGGGCCCTAGCCATGGTTGTTGTTGGGAAGCATTTTGCATTTCTGCTTATTGTGGTTTAGTGGGAAATCCCCACTTAACTGCTAGAGTTTAAGTTTTGCTCCCCTTCCAACGTCAACCGCCTCGCGCCCTTGAGCGAGGCTCAGAAAGGTTTCGGGCAGCAGCTGCGACAGCTGGCCAAGCGCGAGCTGCGGGCGGTGGTGCGCGACCGCACTACGCTGGCGGTGAGGTCCGGAGCTTTGGGGTTAGTTCGAAGGTCGGTCTGTCGGTCGGTTGGAAGGCTGAAAGCTTGGCGTTTCAGAGGGAGCCAGGTTCGGGTGGGAATAGGGGGACATGGAGGAAACAGATGGATATATGAGCGATATACGATCGCCATGTTGCAAATTTCAGAAGGCGTGTAGCAGTTTACGTTCTGTGGCTGCCTGTGGCACCTGCCAAGCGCGATGAATCGCGCACGGAGGGTGACCCTGTCGGTGGTGCTCACCTTCCTCTTCGGCTTAGTCTTCCAGGGAGTTGGCCCAGATCTCAGCATGCAGTGTTTGTCCACGAGCGGTTCGCTTTGACGACACATGGATATGGATTTTCATTGGGGACCCTCCAGGTGCAAGTATTTTACATGACCAACTACTCTTGAGGGATTCCCTATTGAAATGCAGAGCCAAACTGCTCAATCCTTCAAGTTCTTGCCTGGAGATACGCGACCCTCATTGTGGAAATGGCAATTCGAGGCTGAAGGTGCCGATGAAATGAGCCATCAGCTGATTGCCCTGACTCCCCTCGACCTCAGGGCTCTTTGCTTGAAGCTGTGGAAAGACAGGGCTCCTTAAAAGATACATGTTGCCCATTTGAACATGGCTTTTTCCACCCAAATAGAGGGAAACCACCATGTACAAGGCAATGTTCAGGTGTATATTGTAAGGATCCCTGAAAGAGAGTCCTTTTGATCTCGTTTGAAGCAAGGCTTGAACACAACCCTGCGCTAGATGGACTGTGATGCTCTTCCACCCCGACCTGTGCATGACAATGTGTTGGTTCCATAGATGGCATAGCTCGTGGGGTGTACGAAACCCTATTGGCCTTGACCTAGTGGCTTGTGCAATCCAAGCTGAAGGCAGCGGTGAGAGTCACAAGTTCGGGCTTGCGGGTGCTCTTACCCTACAGGTCGATAGGCATCATCTTGTCATGGGGGCTGGGGGGGGAGGGAGGGGAAAGAGGGTTTGCGGCTTATTGGGGCTCCCTCCCTCCCCCCCTCCCTCCCCCCCAGCCCATGATCTTGTCATCCTCGAAAAACTCACATGTAAGAAACTCCTGCCGAGAGAAAGATAGAAAGTTCCGAGTTTCATCATGGCACAGGCAGGACAATCTTGGAGACAAAGGACCAGGCCGATTCTGACTGCTGTGTGGTGCGTTGTTGCCATGCTCGTGATCTAACATGGTCGCAGCTGGCTTGAAGACGTGTGTGTGTGTGTGTAATTTCACATGAGCAGAGTCACACATCTGAGTTGGGCCTTCGCACCCGTTTTGTTGTCATAACCGAGGGCCGATGTCTGAACAAATTTGGGAGCGCCAATGGGCTCTCTCCTATGGGCTCTGACTGCTCTCAACTCTCATGGCGACGCACTGAGAAGATTTGTCGTGCATCTTGGGGAAACACGTGGCAAATCCCCGAATTTCCACACGAGGGAGAAGTTACCAGGGCCGCACCAATTGTTGGTATCCTTCAAAACCTCCCCCGAATTCCGACTCAGAGAATCCCCCCCCCCAAATCCCCACCCCGCCCCCAAAATCCCCCCCAATCCCAATCCCCCCCCCCTCCCATGTTTTCTGATTTTTGCTTTACGGCCCAAAATGTGTGTCGCGCCAGAACATCTTCGATCAGATGTGGACTGGCCTTACCTACGCCGAAGTCACCGCCTTGCGCAAGAGAAAGCTTGAGTGGCCAGCGCCTGAGGCCGGAGGCGAGCGCAAGCTATGGCACTACCATTGCCTTGCAGGTTAACATGGGTGTGTTTAGGGCCGTTTCTTTTTTTGGGGAGGCTTCCCCCACGAAAATAGACCACACCCAAAAAATCGGGTACCCACTTATTCCAACCTCTCTGGAGGACCTAGGTGTCGTTCTTGGAGGCCATCCTTTTTAGGGGTAGCTTAAGGGAAGCCAAAGGGAAATCGCCTCATTGGGGTCTTTTGAAAGACGACATCTGGAACCCCAAAAGCCAGGGGGGTGGCACGGGCACCGGCACCCCCTGGCTGGGGTTCCATGTGGATCTGAGTACCCCTTGAAAGACCAGGAAAGAAAAGAAAACACCAACGTGCGCATTGTGAGCTCCCTCTTCTCTGTGGGCAATACAGTCTTCCATTTGCTTCAATGTGTTTTTGTGTCATATTATTGCTGGGATTTGTGTGTGCGTGTGGTTTTCTTTTCGGAAAACAATGTTTCCCCTAGACTGGAAGTATGTCTTTCCCCAAATTGGGTTTGTGCGCTTACACGCGGTTGCTCGTGGGTTCCCAGGATGAACTTGCTCTATTGTTTCCACCGAAGCAAATGGATGATGGCTGACATGGTTTGCCCCACCTTTTGCCTTGTCCTCGTGGGCGTTTTGCGACGTTTTGAAAGACATGTTCCGAGGCATTTCAATGCGCTGGTGCAAGTGGCCCTCGTGGCGATGTTCAGGCACGATTCAGTGGTGTCCACATGGTCAGACCTCCACGGAAGTCCAAGGCAACAGAAATCCTTATGGCCGCTTGGTTGCTGAGTGATTTTTCGGTGAAACTTACACTTCCACTTGCTTAGGCCCCCTGAAGAAAAGAAACACACTTCCAGTAGTTATTAACCTTCCCTTCAAAACCAACAAGGGAAAATAACACATGTTCACTTCGGCCAATGGAAGAAACCCAAGGGCGCTCACTTTGTGCGGTAACCCCGCGGCATCCGCACCCGGCATCCGCTGCATCCGCCTCCGCCTGCGCAGTGCCTGCCAGCCGGTGATCCTCACCTTTCCATTGGAGAGACCAGCGGGCACCTCAGTCCTTCCATCTTGAGCTATGACATCCGGTGAACACGGGACGCGCACGACCACTTCCATTTGCTTAAGATTTTTGTTTTTTTCTTTCCCTCTTGGTTTTAAAGGGAATGAGCTAATGTCTATTGGACATATGTTCGATTTTTTTTTTCCAGGGGACTCTAAACGCAAATGGAGGAGTCGAAACCCCTCCACACTCATGAGCTTGCGACCGTTACAACAAATTCCTCCGCATCCTAGAGACTTCGACTCCAAATTCCCATCGGCCCCTTCCCATTGATATTTTGCCGCGCAAGAATGGCGAGCCTTATCCACCTGTTTGTGTGTCAAACTCCACTTTTCTGGGGGGCGGATCTCGAGAACTCAAACATCGGTTCCGTTAACAAAAGCCAAACCTCTTCCAAAAAGAAACCCGACGGGGGATTAAACGAAGTTGCTTATTCACAGCCCAAAGCAACACAAAAGCATCACCATTTCCGAGCCTCAGGGTACACTCAAAACACGAAGGCGACAACATGAAATGTAAACCCAACTGTGCGCGACATTAAGCAAAGCCAGGCTGGCGCTAACAAATACTGGCGAGCCACTCCGGCTCGATACTGGACGGATAATTGCTCGGCAGGATCCACCGGCAAGGGAGACTCAGCGGGATACTCGGCGCAATCGACTGGTGGGCTGTTCTGGTGGGATACTCGGCGGGATCCACTGGCGAGCAGCTCTGGCGGGACACTGGGCGGGATCCACTGGCGAGCAGCTCTGGCGAAGTACTTGGCGGGATACTCGGCGGGATCCGCTGGCGAGCTGCTCTGGTGGCGGCGTAGACTTCCTGTCGGGTGGGGAAAAAAACGTGAGGGAGGCAACGACTTTGAGGGGCCGCCTGCTTGGACCCCTCCCTGTGAGGGGGTGCTATGTGTTTTTTGGGTTTGTTTTTTGCGGAGGGGGAACGGGGGAGGGGCGGGACTTGCAATTGCCCAAGAAGATGGTTTAAGGGGAATTGATGTCACTACTGGACATATTGTATCATTTCTCCCTGTGCGAAAACGTGGATGGAAGATGACTTTGCTGCGCCAAAACATCAGGGACCCCGGATGGGGGGCTATAGGTGGGGCTATCCCTGGATACAAATTAAGGAGAAGCCCTTAACAAGGCCTTATCAAAGCATTAGTACCCCCTGGGGTGCATGAAGTCAGATGGGCCCTTTGATGGTCGCCTCAGGTTTTCTTGCGGGAGTACAGCAGCGGCACCTACAGACGCTCTCTGGCAGTTGGACATAGCAGCACTTGCTCGTCGCTCTCCGCCATGAGTCGTCGACCGCTGCACGAGGTGTTTTGCCCTACTACCTTTCCAAGATGGTGGTGGAGGTTTGGGTGCAACATGTATCGTGGGTGTGCTGCGTTCGAGTTCTCGCACATGTGCAGTGTCGAGCAAGGAGGCTCATGTTTTTGCAGCACGATTCTGTGTTCTGCGATTGGATACCTCAATCTTTCTAGAAAACCTGGAAGCTAACATCAGAGCGACTGAAGGAAGCATCAAGTATCCAAATCACCCTCACATTTGTCCCCGAAACAACGGATGTCGGGTGGCAGGTGCCGCTGGTTTTCGTCCAGTCCTTGATGACGTGCAGATCTCAGCGCTAAACTGTGCACCTGAAAGATTATTCCCCAGAATTAGCTCCCGTTTTTGTTGTTTTGTGTTTTTCTTCGAATCCCATTGTTTTCCACTAACCAGGCAACAAATATATTTTTTGCTGGGGTCCCAATTCCAGCCTGAGAATTGGTTTGCCCTTCTTTGGTCTCCCAGTTTCTACCGAGGTATTGGATCACTCTTCAGTGTTTTTGCAGACCAGAAGAATGCTAGTGCAACTAGAGCTCAAGGCTTGCAGGATGCCCGACTTCCCAAAAGAGAGATGGGGGGTTGTCAAAAGTATGAAAAATATGGACCCTTTTGGGAGCTGGTTTCGCCTGGTGCCGCCATTTAAAGGGGATGCCCAAAAAGGGCCCTACTTTTCTTGGTGGCTCCCAGCCATCCCCTTACCCTTTTAGCTTTTTAGTGTTTTAGTGGTAGTTTCCGTTTAACCTACTGAAAATTAAACTTTTAGCGGGGGATCTGAGGGCAGCCCGGTTTTGACAAACAGAAGGGTGCGACTCCCGTTTCTGAGGCTGGGGCTGTGCTATGTGGTAATGTCCCACACCCAGCACTCGAGCTGTGTGTTTGTCAGCTTTGGAAATCAGATGCAGTCTTGATTATTTGTTTCATGTTAACCTCTGAATAAAACACCTGTAGCCCTTAACTCATGACTTATGACTGTCTCTGGGACCAGAATGCTGGTTGACTGCGCGTGGAAATTTAAATACTGCTCGTGTTGCCTGCGCGATGAAATTACTCTAGTTGCCGCTGAGGTCTTTGAACGGCAACTTTTGGCGTGCTGCCCAGCCACGAGCGTCTCGCGTCTTGAGGGACAGTCGAGGTCAGGGCAATTGGTCAAAGCTTTCAGTAGTTTATGGCCCATTCGGGAGGGACTTCATAGAACTCACGAAATTCTGACGAACTCTGACTCTTATTTTGGCAGTGGCTCATGTCATTTTGCCATTGAAGAGACATCATTTTCGCCGCGGCATCGACGTCGCTTGGAAATCAAAGAGCCGAGGGCATTGCTGTGGACCATCGTGCTGCTTTCGGCGACCCAGCTGGATGGGGTGGGAGTGACTTTGTTCCAGTGGGGTCTGTTCCAGGTTTTTTGGGCCAGGACACAAACCTGGTGCTCCGAAGGTGCCGAGTAGTTTCAATCGATTTCTTCTTTGTGAACCATTTTAGACATGTGCGCGATCAAATCGACAATGGAGTGAGGGCCAATATGTCTTGCAGGTTCATGTTAGGATCACGTTTTTCGATGGTTAGGGGTGATTCCATTTCTCGTTCCCTGCGTCCCTCGCACAGATGCCAAGAAGCGACCCTTTCCGGGAAAAGGAGTGAGTACCAGAGTCCACTATTATTTACTACAGACAAAATTCTTCATCCATAGGCTTAGATGAGCTTTCCACCGGAAAAAAAAACACGGCATCGCATCGCTCCGCCGAGGTGTGCTCCGTCTCGGTGGCTTTGGCCATCAGCTGTGCGGTGAGGCAGCCAAGAGAGACCGGCGCCGTGGGGTTGCGGCCTCAGAAAAAGCAGCGCGAGGTGACGTGGCGGGCGGTCAACCGAGGATATGTTTTTTTGTTTTTTCCGTTTTCTGTCTTTGCTTCTTGCTTGTTTCCCTTATGTTGTTCTCTTTCTTTTTTTTTGGGGGGGGGGGGGCGATGTTTGTTTGGTGATTGTTTGTTGCTATTATTATCATTTATTTAAAGGCTGCCGCCCAGTGCCGCCGACCCCTTCAATTAAATGAACGAATTCTTGATTCTCCGGCGCGGCGTTCGCGAGCGAGAATCGGGAATGCGCCAATCCATTTTTTCCTGTGGGGGGGGGGGGGACCTTTTCAGCTGGATGGGCACATTCTTGATTCTCCGGTGCGGCGTTCGCGAGCGAGAATCGGGAATGCGCCAATCTACTTTTGTTTTTTTCTCGGGGGGGGGGGAGACCCCCTCAGTTGGATGGGCGCATTCTTGATTCTCCGGTGCGGCGTTCGCGAGCGAGAATCGGGAATGCGCCAATCCATTTTTTTTTCCTGTGGGGGGGGGGACCCTTTCAGCTGGATGGGCGCATTCTTGATTCTCCGGTGCGGCGTTCGCGAGCGAGAATCGGGAATGCGCCAATCCACTTCTTTGTGTTTTCTTTGGGGGGGGGAGACCCCCTCAGTTGGATGGCGCCAATCCACTTTTTTTTTCTGTGGGGGGGGGGGGAGACCCCTTCAGCTGGATGGGCGCGGCGTTCGCGAGCGAGAATCGGGAATGCGCCAATCCACTTCTTTTTTTTTCTTGGGGGGGGGGGAGACCCCCTCAGTTGGATGGGCGCATTCTTGATTCTCCGGTGCGGCGTTCGCGAGCGAGAATCGGGAATGCGCCAATCCACTTCTTTTTTTTCTGTGGGGGGGGGGGTGTGTTGTTTTCGCACAGATTGATCTCCCGCAACATTTGGCTCAAGGCCCCTTTTGCATAATCACGACCATTCGAGCGTGAGGACAAAAGAGCCATTGCAGTCCGCTTACAGGATTATCCATCAGACAATCCACCAGGGACAATCCATCCTCCAATTATCCATTGTAGGCATACTGGACTCTCTCCGGAATAGATTCAGGGACCAACAGCGACCTCAACTACCACAGGGTTCCAGTTCCCTCCGGGGATAGGCACCTGGGGCAGTGGGCCTCAATTTGTGGTAGCGGAGCGGGTTTTCCGCAGAGATCCAAGGGAAGATGTCATCAGATGGAGAAGGTTTCATGGAAGCCTACACAAGTTCGGCAAAGCCGAGCTACACGGAGGAAACACTTAATTTATCGATGACCGCCAAGCAGCCGCCATCGTACAACGGAAAAGTCAGCTGGTTCAGGTATGAAGAACTCGTGGACGACTGGGTGACAATCACCACAGTAGAAGCAGCCAAGCGAGGTCCATTGCTTGGAGCAGACTCACTGGAGATGCTTACATGTACAAGGCCGTCCTCCAAAATGACTTTTTGCAAGATCCTGATGAAGGAGTTAACTATTTCAAGAACACGCTGAAGAAGTACTTTTTGAAAGGTGCGATCAACGTGTATCTGTACAGACTCCTCAGTTTCTTCAACCACAGAAGGCAGAACCAAGAGTTCCTCATTTTTACCTCAAAATTCGAGATCCTTCTCATGAGATTGAAGGCAGCATGGATGGACTTGATGCCAATCTTTACGGCACAGTCTCCATCATTCCGACAGTCCGTACAGGACGCAAACGCGAGAACAATTGCTCGACATCAGCAAGCAGCCGGTGCTCGAGCACCGCCTCCAGCCCTGCTAAATGAGGACGATCCTACAGTCCTCAGACAATATATCCAAGGAATGCAGGACAGACAGCGGGACGCATTTCCCTTCGGGGATAATCTCATTGCACAGTTTTTCATTATACCAAGTGAGTTGTCAGATCAACAAAGAGAACGACTCACAAGTGCAATGTCATTTAGGAACATCTCACTCGAGAATTATTCCTATGAGATGCTGAAGACACGCTACCATGAACTCTTCATCACTACGAGGACATCGATCCAAGATCCATCCATCCGACCTCAAGGAGGCAGCCGAAGCAACACATTCTTCATCATCGAACAAGGTGAATACGAAGGAGAAAGAAGGCTTCTGGGTTGAGGATGAAGAAGGACTTGAAGGATTCATGTCAAACAACGATGAAGAGACGTTCTGGGTCCTCGAGGAGAACGATGCACGTATCGCGGAAAACAACAACTCCAAAACCTGCAGTACCTCATCCAGCAGAGAACATGTTCGTCGAGGACCTCACATCTATTCCTGAACAAGCACATTGGAACTGTGTACGTAAGGGAAAGATCCACGTTCTCGAGATCTTTGCAGGAAGTGCCAGATTCAGTCAATGCTGTGCACTGTCAGGTCTTAAGGTTGGGACTCCCGTGGACATCCGCACAGGATTCGATGTAATGACATCCAAGGGACGACACATGGTCATGGAGATCATCAGGGAACAAGCACCTGATGTCATCCTTATGGCACCAGTCTGCGGACCATGGTCAAATATGCAGAACATCCAGCAAGACCAGCAAAAGGTGGGGGAAAAGCGGAAATGCTACCTTCCCATGGTTGAATTTGTGGCATCCATTGCGCGTTACCAGTTGAAGCACAGAAGATACTTCATTATCGAAAATCCTCAGACATGCAGGATATGGTATCTGAAATGCATGCAGCAATTGTTTTCAGACCCATCCGTGACCTGGGGAGATTTCCATTTCTGCGCATACGGACTAAAAGATCCTGAATCCGGGCTCAGAAGTCTCAAGCCCACGAGCTTGATGCACTGCTTACCTTCCGAGGTTATGAGACCGATCTTCAGAAGGTGTAAAAACTTTTCCAGCTCAGTAAAGCATGAACACCAACCCCTAGAAGCAGAACCAAACTGGCACAGGTGTATCCTTACCAGTTCTGTCAGGACCTTGCGCGCATCATCTTACGACACTTGTAGGTGAAACCGCGTGACAACGAGGTGTACCTCTTGGAGGACCTTTTTGAACCATTCACCATCAAGCAGGTTGATATCCTGAGAAAGGAGATGGAAGCCATTGACAAGGAGTTCAACATGACCAGCAGCAGTCTTGCAGTCAGAATCCAAGACCTGCCGTTCAACAAGGATGTTCAACCATTAGTCATTCAAGATCCGCTAGTTCAGAAATTCCAGAAGACGATGAAGCAGTACCCACCTGGGACTGAAATTGATATCTTCAAGCAAGATCCTAATGACTGGCGATGTCAGAACATGTGGAACGGCTGCAAGAAGTTGAGGCAACTGTGCATCTCATCCACGCAGTATGATGCATGCACTGCATACGTCCACACCATTGGCATCAATATGCCTATTACGTCACCTCCGGACGATGCAATCATATCCTTCTGGCAGCCTGATCAGCTGAATAGAATTTGGGTCTTGCCTGCATCAAAATGCAATTGGGAGAAGTATGATCCGAAGACGTGGCATGCTGTGATGTTTTCATCCGTTCATGAGTCGTTCACCGATGCGCCGGCCATCAGGCCGATGCCCATCGAGACGGATCCATGGGATCCCACGGATGCGCCTCAGCAACCTGACACACAGCCACCACCTGATCAACCGGACCATCCCATGCCTGATCCAAGACCTCCAACACCTCCGGACGAGAGCATGTCAGATCCTCCTCCGGATCCTCCACATCAGCCTGATCATCCCATGCCGCCAGCACCACGCAGTGTGTTGCCAGACAGTCCAGTGGAGCCTCCACTACCGCCACACGACAAGTCTGGCGGAGGAGATGCAGCGCTTAAACGTCAAAAACAATCCATTTCATCCTCAAGTGGACTCAATCGAGTGGGGGGTGATGTCTCTTTGCCGTCACAGTCGCAATCATCTCAGCCAATTCTTCCGACTGTCGTGGTACCTTCACCACCTGCGATTCTTACAATTCCCTAAGCAGAGGAACAAGATGAAGATCTTGAACTGCCGACACTTGTGCAAGAAGAAACAACCGGCAGTCCGTCAAAGAAGCAGAAGACTGGGAAGAAGAAGAAGAAGCCAGATGACAATGATGAGTCACCTGAGCATTCTCCCAGACATGATCCTGCATCTTCATCCAATTATAATCCGAACAATCCAGCCAATTTGCCGGTTCAATATGAAAGTGAGGAAGAGCTGATTCCTCATGTTCCAACCTCATCCGGCACTGGAAGTTCAGAAAGAACCATGAGATACACTGACCAGGAAGATGGAGATTCAGAAGACTCTCAGAGGACCAGATCCTACGATGATCACCAAGCTGATCTCGTTCTAGATGAAGCGCATTGGTCACTCATGACAGCCGAACAGAAGATCTGTGCGAACACCGGATCCTTTACGGTTCCGAGAGATATCGAAGGCAACCCTGTCCTTCTTGGACGTGTGAAAGGGACCTTCAGTCCATCGCCCCGATGCGGATTCTCTCATCAGAAATACACAGATCAGAATCATGTTGACCAGCTATGCAAGAACATGACCGACGATGACCGTGCACTCCTAGTTCTGTATTCATCCAAGCAAGAATCCTTGAAGGCTTCATCCACATCCGCACTCATTGGCAAGAAGCGGAAGGAAGCTACAGCCACGGAAATCAGAGCTTATCAGAAGCAATTCCTTGAAGCTAAGCAGCTTGAGTGCAAATCATGGCTTGACAATGAAGTGTTCGACTTAGTCGATACACGCAAGATTCAGGTCAGGAACTGGGTCACCGGTCGATGGGTCCTAACCCTGAAGCGAGACAAGGATGGTAACTTCTTGAAGACCAAGGCTCGCTGGACGCTGGGTCTCGAGGCTTCCAAGACAAGCAGAAGAATGATCAGCAGACAGACAGTCCTGCTGCATCCAGGAGTGGTTTCCGCCTTGCAATCCAAGCAGCCTCAAATAAAGGCTGGAATATATTCCACATGGATTTGAAGACAGCATTTCTCCAAGGCGAAGCAGATGACCAGTCTCGTGACATCATTTGTCAGATACCTC